CCTAACCCTAACCCTAACCCTAACCCTAACCCTAACCCTAACCCTAACCCTAACCCTAACCCTAACCCTAACCCTAACCCTAACCCTAACCCTAACCCTAACCCTAACCCTAACCCTAACCCTAACCCTAACCCTAACCCTAACCCTAACCCTAACCCTAACCCTGGTTGATGATCAGTTGTCAAAATCATCGATTGTGAAAAGGAGGGAAAGAGCGAAGCTCCTGACCTCTCAGGCTAACTATATATCCATCGACAAATAAGGTTCATCCATAACTACGGCAGTAGCTGTGAAGGTATGCCCATACGGCAGTAACCATGGATAGTTCATCCATGTCGTAACATCTAAAATCAAGACATATAAGCTATGGATGGCCTTGGAATAATGTATAAAAAGGGGTATGTAGTGGCTGTTAACCCTCCTCCTTTACCGGAGCCCACCGGCTGCAAGGACTAGGTAAATGGGAAAGGCATCCATAGGGGTCCCTTTTATACCGAGCTCTTCCTACGAACTCGCCCCTGAGTTGGCCTTTGATTCAACCCGCACAGTACACCATTTTGCCGGTGGGTAAGTTCAACTCATCGTTCCTGACGCACCAGGGGAACCGTCTCCAGGAAAGCATGTCCATTAATAGGAATACGGAATGGGGAGGGGACCTCTAGGTAAGAGATCTGATTGGCCCTGATGTCGTCTTCGTCGAAGGAAGATAGAACTGCACCTCCAAGAAGACTCCGTGCTCCAGCAGTGGTCTCAGACTTTTGAAGGCTACCAAGTTGGTCAAGGGGGGGTCACAAAGTGGTCCTACGAAGGAGCAAGGGATAAATTCCGTTTGCAAACGTTTCAATTGCCTTTGTTGCTGAGATGGTAGGCTGAGTTCATAGATTGTATGCATCCCATATTTGCTAGGTTGACTTTCAATGTGCTTACGTTGCGATCGTAATATCTTAATGTATATTACCTTGAGTTTTAGCCACTTAAGATATTTAACAGCTCGTCGATTACAACCAACGGAACCATGTTAAAGGGTTTATCAATATAGTTAGGTTGGGCTAAGCCATAACAGGACAGCTGTTAGCTAGTTATAACTTACCATCATTTAAAGATGTTGCAGGTGCCTCAAGCACCATTGGCTCCACTAGAGCCATACGGTTATATGTTGGCACTCCGCCACTATAGTTAGGAATCAAGTAAGCTTTCTTCTATTCCTCTTCTTCTTGGTTGCAGCAAAGCTGCAACAAAAGAGCTAACCTGATATCCTCGATAATGAGGCATGTTAGTTATATAATGTAAACTCGGAGCCCTTTGAGGTCGTGTGACCAACCTTACATGGGAGAATTTCAACTATTGCTTATTAAATATGCATATATCGTGGCTATCATAAATAGCAATGTACCCTACAAGACATTGGGGGGAGGGAGGGAGTTCATTCCAGCATCTTCTAATCTCACTTAAATGGTTTATTGCCATTAATCATATCATTTATAACGTCATTTAGATCTAAGGAAAAATGCCACCATCTTTAGCCGAGGTCCAGGACGCTGCGAGAGATGTAATTCGAATCATGAAAACTGTTCCCAGTCTATCAAGGGCCCAAATTGCCGTAATTGGCGGAATGGCTGTATGGAACTATATACCCAAGGGACGCTCTACCGAGGTTAGATGCCTAATGACTTACATATATTCAAACTAAAATCGAAAGCAACTCACTCATTCATAGCATATTGATTTCTACATAAGCTTAGATGGACCAAAGAGTGTTAAACCGATACTATTAGCACTAGACAACAGTCCATTCGTCGAAAAAGCCCAGTGGTTCTATTATGTAAATTCTGATAACACCTGGATTCAAATAGACTTCGTTGGGAGTTTCCAGGTAAGTATCATGGCCGAAAATAAGCTAATAACGTGGACTGAATATTTAACTATTATATAGGCTCCCCACGCCCCAAAGGATTCCATGATAATTAAAGACATCCCTGATGGAAATATTCCTTACCTCAAAAGGATCGATCTCATAGTTTATAAGATATACTCATGCGGTCTCCGTAGTGACACCGCGAAAAGTCAAATCGATGCCATGGATGCGGAAACTCTCTTGAAAAAGGAGGTCGAGTCTAATGGACGCGTCGTACTTCAAGGTACTCAACTATCGCATGTCCACAACAGCCTACCCGCTATTCTTCAATACAGTAACAACGACAAGAAGTGGTGGATGATAAACCTCGGTCTTGTGGAATCTGTTGAAAGTACTTAAGAATATGCTGGCCAAACCTCTGGTACCTAGTAGCTCATCTTTTGGATTTGGTGGATTTGGTGGAAGCTGATATTATTAGGTTACTGATATGATTATTTCACATATTCTTAATCTAATGATACATTTTATGCATATGTTTTATTATATTTGAGCTTATATTTGGACTTTAACTTGTTAGATAGTGATTATGCTCCTATTTTCTATGGTGCAAACTCATAAACAAATTACTCTATTAACATTAAACCCGTGTGAGCTGCCCAGGTACCCTTTCTGGTTTGTATAAACCCTCTTGTTAGTTTCTGTGTCTACATAGTCGCAGTTATAATGAGTATGCCCAAATGCCCAAAGTTTCACGTCGTTACTACGCCAGCAATACTGATCGCTGAGATCGGTCGAAAACCCGGCGGACCTTTTGCTTTGGCGGTGCTGTGCTTCTACACTCCTTTCATCCCGCGTTGGACTATGGTGTGTGAAAATGACGATTTTTCTCCCAGAACCGTGTATTTCTTCAACATGATTGTTTAACCATTCAAGCTCGCCATCATGCTCTGCGCTATGTTGTTCAACCGTCCAGTTTTCGATATGGTAGAAGTCGTTCAAGCCAAAACTAACGTCATCTGTAGAATCCGAGGGGACCTTAGAAAAGAGTGTGCAACCCAAGATTGTCAAATCGGCTCCATTATCGATATCATATCTTCTCTTGTCGAGAAAGACGAACTCGCCAATATAGGACTGGGTTTCTCGCTCTCGACGTACTTGTTGTTCGAAACGGAGTATAACTTGCTTGGTACACTCCCAGCTTGAATAATAAGGCTCATGATTACCTAATAGGAAAAACACAACGCTAAAGTTGGTGAGCTGTCTTTTCAAGAATGCGAGAAAGCGTTCTTCGTGCTTCTTAACACAACCGATATCACCCAGCAAGGCGAGATACGGCGCATGAGGAGTGATCTTAAAGTCGTCATATGTATTATAAGCCTCCAAGTGAAGGTCGGAAAGTATTTGAATTGCTTCCATTGTCGAGATGAGAAAATTTACTTGATGGTTCCAAGGCGGGGTCACACGAAAAGAACAAAAATGAAAAATAAGTACGGACTAAAGTAAGCAGAGGCTGCAGTAGAGGCTGCAGAGCCCTTATGTGGTTAACTGGTAACTAATTGGCAGAACTAAAATTTGGTGTGGGTGGCCCGAGCGCCTCATCCGTGATGCGTTTTAAGAAGTTACCCCTGATACTATTATCCACATATAGGGCTGACACAAACTGACAGGAGGAACCAACGGTGGCCGAGTAACCACCCTGGAATAATGTACGCTGGACACGATCTCATTTAGAGAAGATAACGGGAACAGTTAGAGCATCATCATATATGCCACTTAAGGTTCGATATGTAGGATACGCTGGAACGGACGTGACCCTTCTTTTCCTAGGCATAGGAATAGAATTTCATGTATAATAATTAACGAATGGGATTCAACCATTTAGTTGTTAGTTGTGTTTGGTTAGGATAATGTCTTAAATAAGGAACTTTGGGTCGTTTTCTTACGCTGTATGATATTTATATTCTCTCCTTAAAAACACCAACACCAACAACAGTAAAAGACTGTCAATTTATTTCTAAAAGACGGTTTATAAATATCAAGTTATCTGTTTAATGTAAGCTTAGTCCGTACTAATATACTTGGACATATTCGAGGTCTCGACAGTTTTTCTCGACGTTTATTTTCACCATTATAGATTACATACAAGACTTATTCAACCCCGATTGTCAACCCCGATTATCTACCTTTTTATGCTTTTCATTAGAAAATACTCTAGCCATGGCTCAACTAAAAGTAGATACACATGATCAAGATTTCGTCAAGTCTATCTCTCAATTATTGTCAGATGCCGGCGTACCTTCAGTTTTATGGGGTGATTATCTCCTTACTGTGTACGGAGTACCGTCTGTCATAGGGGTATAAATTAGCCATCTATATTCGATTAATGTGATGGTTCATACTAACTAAGTGTAGGGAATCGATTTCATTATCCCTGATGAAAAGCTCCCAGCCGCCGTGGCCGCGCTGAAAAGATCTAATCTAAGAAGATGCCCGGACCCTAGATTATGCGCTGTATCTCGTGAGGATACACCACAACCAGCCCCATCTTTCCATATGCATATTGGAACGTCGGAATTGGATGTTTCTATACGAGCGCGTTCTAAAACCCTATGGTTTATTCCACCTGTTCCTGAGAATTTATATAGCGATACTAGGCCACAAGATTCGCGCTACATTTTCGCTTCTGATGATTCTATCCTTCCACCTCCTAGACATGGCAGGGGTCGCGGTGCCTTCTCAAAAGAGGGGTTTCCTGTTGTCGTCCCGACTGCACACACCATGCTTGAGGCGTACATGCGCCTATCGATTGCACATCGGGACGAATATGGCGGCTTTTACATCAGTATGATGGCATATGTTGCCCAGTACATCGATGCGGACGGACTCTTGAACGATACAAAGCTACCGGAATCATGCCGTGAATTCTGGCATGATTTCAAACTCGGCCAGCGAAGAACTAGGGAAATGATGGATGAACTCCAGAACTACTTTGACAACGAAAGTACGGGGGAAAGACGTGGTGGTCGGTAGTCAATCACAGTATTGCTTAACATCTTGGTATGGTCGAATAGACTAAAACATCACCGACAGCTTCTAACAGGATAGTCTAGGCAATATGAAAGTATTATATGGCAATGTTTCAATCGCGCCACCCATTGAAAAGCGACTACGAACTGGCATAGTTGAAGATGGAAGCCGTGAAGTTCTTCGGCCTGCAGTAGTGCTGAGTGCTCACCGCGCCGTTGTTCTGCCCACCCTACTTACCTCAGTTAATCATGAGGATATATTAAGCTACCTTGCGCGTCAATCTGACCTAGCTTCAATAGGTACCTGGTTTTTCGGGCTGGATATCTGGTATTATCCATAAGCAGTTGTGTGTGCGGAAAGGGGGGATCACGTGACCTCACATTACTGCAATTCATATCATATTTGACTTTCAAATTATGAAGTTATCGCTGGGTTATGGGTTAATTAATGAGATGAATTATGATACAATTTATTCAAACCGACGCTCCTTTAGAAATCCTTTAGCCACTCATCATCTCCCGTCTCACCATACCCGTCACCGGGCTCCATAGCGAGTAACTCTTCCATAACATCATCGTCAACAACGTAAGTCGGACCTTTCTTTTTCCTTCCAGGGGAAACGATTTCAGCTTTCCCAGTTAAATCCACGTTCATGTTTAAAGTCCGCCACGAGAACCACTCGTTAGCAACCTGAGCTAACCTGCTATCTGGGTAGTCACCTATGACGATGACGTACACGCCGCGTCTCCTTGCCGATTTTACCATGTCGCAAAAGTCAGAGTCGTCTGAAATGATAATGGATACGACGTTTTCATTTTCCCGGATGACTGTACCGAATCGACCTTTGAGCATCGCGTCAGCTGCCTGAGGTGTTTGCTTGACTACTCGAACCAGAACGCCGGCCCTTTCCAAACTTTGAAAGACCTTGTGCTCGTTTTCGGGAAACTTGATCTTCATGTGAGCCGTTCTGCGTTTTTGAATCTCTTTCAACAATGTCGTCCTTTTTTTGCTGCTTTTAGTGGTGCGAATATGAGTCCATTTCTTTTTCAGTTCCCGAGCATGAAGCTGGTCATAATGCTTATTCATTTTTTCCATTGTGGGGGACTTTGCTCCGCACACGGGACACCTATATGGCTCGGACGGCTTGTATAAACCCTTTGCTTCGTCTTGCATAAATGCCTGTCGTTCCTTTTTCAATTCGATCGCGGCAAGTGGTAACCCCCTAAAAGCAACGACATTCGCCATAGCTGAATACTCTACGATCTTCCCTCGGCTCGCACCGAAAGAGCGGATTGCGTTAGCAAGAGTCTCGGGGAGGATGTAAGGCCTTTTATTGTCTAGATCCCAGAGTATTGCTACATTTTTCTTTGCTGTCGCTTTCCTTGATGGATCATTGCCTGAGGTTGTTGATGCTGGACAAATGTCCCCAACATTTTTTTCCGGAGAGATGTTTTCTGTCGTAGTTACCTCGGGTATAGTCTGAGCCGTGCTTGAAATTCCACGGAATTGGAATTGGCAACCTGGACGATGACCTGAGATGTGTCGAGCATGAGTCTGAAATTGTGATTGGAACTTTCCATGCCTATGATTGCGGAGATACCTCACGAACTGGTGGAGCAGTGGACTTAGTCTATCGGGCGGCATTTCAGCCAATATGAAGTAGAAATGAAGTAGAATGTAAAGAATGATAGGGTTAATATCATGGATTATCATGTATCATGCGCCTTTTCAACAACATTGAATGTGTCTAAGTACCTAGGGTAGTTACTATGTACGCATTTGCATTCGTATAGTTCAAACATTTTTTTTTCTTACCTAACCCTGGGCCCACTGTGTGTGGAGTCTAAACTTGTTGCTCGCACGGAGCACGGAGGCACGGTACCTCGTGCTAAACTACCTAACCTAGGTGACACCGTGACAGACAGTCTCTATTAGCTGCTATCCCCAATCGTGAAATCTCTATCGACGGCTATCAGCATTATACAGAATACGACATCTACGCACCAATACACTGAGTTGATATTTCTTACTCGAAAGTCTGCAATATTGATTTTATGTTCCCTGGCTAAGAACTTTAAATGCTAGATACCTTCGTGCTATACTCTTTCTCCAAATCCTACAGTCCTATTCTCAATTACATGCCTTAGAATGCCTTCGTGTCTCCGTTATTGTATCTACTCGGTTGAGTGATACCCATAAAATAATACAATCATCGAGTCTTACCCCCAAGTCGTGCCTAATGATATGAAATAACGGTCATCAACATCCAATAACGCCCATTTTCGCTGTTGATATCCTAACATACGCCCCGCCTCTCCCATTTGTTACTCCTGTTGCTAATGTACAACGCATCTAACGTAACTTATATTTGTGCGACGCATCTCACATCACGATGCAATCTTTCTCCCTTCCGCCACCAGCCTGTGCCGAGGCGCCACTTGCGGGAAGAGGAGGACCCCCAGGACGTCCCCTTCCGGACATGCTAGAGCTGACATTGCTTTGCCCCGTTGTTGCAGACCGCTGGTGAGACGTTGCGTTCCGTGGACTGCTCTCAGGATGACTCGGGTGACCTGCAGGAGGTACGTATGGTGTCGTTTTGGAGGCTTGCTCGTAACTAGGAGGTGCATCGTCTACATTATTATCTCCCGGCCTATGTGTAGCAGAGACCGGAGGGATCAATGATCTGACCTGTTGAACTGGCCTACTTGCACTAGCAACTGTGCTGGTAGAATGGTTTGCCGAACTTCCCCTAACAGGTGGTATCGGGGCGCTGCCGCGACCTTGGTTTCCGCGGATGGGAGTACCTTGCCGTCCTTGCTGTTCTATGAATTGCTCCGATAGCTGGCTTTCGCGACGACGAGCGGCTTGCTCAGAACGATGTCGCTCCTCTTCTTCCTCTTGGAGTTGCAAGGCTAATGCTAAATCCCTGTCCTCCTGTTCGTGCTTCGGCGAGAGTGATGTGCTTGGATCCGGTTCGCTTTTCCCAGGATTTTGAGAATGCCGAGGTTGGACAACTTGCCACTCGGTGTCATGAGCACTAGCACTACTACTAGCATTTCTGTTCGATCCCTCGCCTGCATACCATGCACCTGTATTGGCCCCGGATGGCCGCTGTTGTTGGGGACCACTAACTATGCGAAAATCCCCGGAGAAGAACTCAGTACACTCGCCTCTAACATCGACGAGTGATTCCCAGACAATTTCATCATGCGTATAATAGCCAGCGTCTGTAACTAAGGTGAAAAGCTTCTTAGTTTGGGGGTGCCTGTACAAGGTGGAAAAGTGATCGTTGCGAAACAGTATGGCCACTCTTCCAGGGGGGATCGCATGAGCAATGACTTCGAGACCCCAAGGCGTCAGTTGCGTGGCAGATATTTCGAGAAAGGATTTTATGATGATGATATCTTGGTAAAGTTGTTGTTCTTGTTCAGTAAGACCAGTATCAGAATTGCTTAATTTATACTCAAGCTCTTCTTCTCGAAATAATATACTCTGCACATCATCATAGGAGGATGCCTGTCGGGTGAAGGAATCATACGCGGGGTCTTCTTTGGGAGGCAGCCAGCCATGAATCAGAGGAATAGAAAAGGTGGCATATAGCATCATATCTCGGGTGGTCTCAAAGGTTCCAGGGCTGTAACTAGGGGAGGAAGTCAGGGGGTCTTGGCTGTCAGGCACAAATCGTGGGTTGACATTCATGCCAGTATGAAGACTCTTGAGAAATGAGTACAGTTCAGTCATATCTGGCAAAGAAACCTCCGGGTTCGTATGACGATGAGTCATCAGCTCATCAAAAACAGCTTCGAGGAGAAAATTCAAGCTGATCTGCTCACGAGACCTCAAGGTCTCGACTAAATTGGAGTTCGCCTGGTTAGCAGGCGTTGTCAATGTGAGCGCATTGACAAGGGCAACAAGGGGGCAAGGCCCATTGGCATTTTGTACTAGTATGGGTGATTTGCGTGGGTTCCCGGATGCCGCCATGTCGAGCCAATGAATGTTCTTGATCTGATATGTTTCTGATTTACTCGTGACGCTTGACGAAAGGGGTCTTGACGATTGTGCCACCAGATCTTCCTTTGTTACTCGCCGAGGTGGGAGCGATGGCGGCACTTCCACTGTGGCTGAAGCTGATGCGCTGGCCTTCTTGAATTTACCGTCGCTTCCATCCGTGAGATTTTCCCGCGTGCTTGTCTTCGACAAGTTTGTAGATACAGTTTCCTGCATAGGTTCGTGATCGATTAGGTTCCAGTCATCAACTGTCTGCGATTGAATCTGCGAAGCGTGTACATCTGGCTTTTCCCCCATGTTTCTTGATTCGATAGCGCTTCGCGCATGCTGATTGACACACATACGTTCGGTCTCATCGGAGGCTCTCGGTAAAGATGAGGGAGAAGATTTTGGAGGAGATGTATGGACCCAAGGCTGAAGTTGTTCGGTGTTCAAAGGTAACCTAGTTGGAGAATCTAAGGCTGGATTTGAAGTAGGGTCCCTCGATAGCACTCCTGAGTCCCACACATTGCTTTTAGGCTCATGATCGGACAAGGGTAAAGCTGGGTGTGGACCATTGGAGATCTCGTTGAGTGCCGGCTGCCAAGGGTTTGTGCTTGTTCCTGGTTCGGAGATGTGTAGGTTGGAGAGAGAATCGGTCGGTATGGACGGTGGGGGCGCGTTCGTGGGTGGTACGGATAAAGCGTCCGTATTCTGATTATCCTGACTAAAATCTACAGGTACAGGTTTTCTTTTGAATGGATTCGTCTCGGAGCGGGAGCGTAAGGGCTCAACTAATCTTGGCATATTCTCCTCACTCAATTGGAGGTCATCTGCGGTAGCTGCATTATCCGTTCTTCTGCAGTCTCCTAGGAGGTTTTCTTCTTCCTGATGGTGGCTCGGGGGGTTGGAGGTGGGGTTAGATCGAGATACTTCTGACACAACCCGAGATGCATTTTCGCTCCCCGGAGCGCTTATAGGACCACGGTATGGCTGATTCATCTCATCCCTCTCGTGTACCTTTTCAAATTCTAGTTCTGAATCGCTAGCAGGCCATAGCTCCTCTCTCACGCCTTGTAAATTGACCGGGGGTGCAGAGGGAGAGGTGTCTTCTGAGTTATCAGTGGGAAGCGGCTTTCGTGCAACCATGGTGGTATTTCGGTTAGGTAAATACGGCCGAGTGACGCGATACTGTGGATATGACAAGACTCCGCGCTTCCCGTGTACTTCATTCAAGTCGAGGGGATTGAACAGCCAAATTGACGAAGCACGAATATTCTTTTAATGTGATAGGTAGTATTTATCAAGGCCTAGATTGCGTCATAGCCGTGAGAAAGGTGATAATTGGCTCCGAATATACCTGGAAGCGAACGACAGCGTGATCGGGAATGCAGCAAACACTTTGAGGAACGGTTCAAAGGGGGGGCTTTTAGCGGGTATTGAATGATCGTTGTACAGGGCGGCGGGTTTACAGAGATGAGGGCAAGAAAGGTCACGTAGACAGGCTGACGAGTATGTAATGACTAGTACCTAGGCAACGTTAGCAATACAAGGGCCGGGAAGCAAACAGTGGGCCAATGGCGTCAGTCATCCACATGGACTGGAGGATTTAAGTTAAATGTATTACTATTGTACCTAGTATATGCAGGGGTATTGTGGCGGTGCTATGTACAATAACCTACTCGGGAGTAGCACTGGTTCCTAACCGGATATTTAGCTTTGCCGCTATCCGCTCCGAGTATTAGTGGGTATCTATTTCAACTTCCATCAATTACATACATACTACCATAATCCCTGAGAGTAGGTACCGACTAACCTTGGAGACATCTGGACTTACCAAAGCACAAACTGTTTACATCAATCTTAACCTCTGAATCATTCATCATGGTCATTGTACAAGACTGGCTCCCTGCGAGCCAACAAAACTATGAAAAGGTCTTATTTTGGTGGAAGATGTACCCTCTGGTGTGCTTTGACTGACTACAATCAATTTACGTTTAGGGTGAAGCTGACATCTCACAGTTAGCCTCAGCGCAATGGCTTGTTTCATGGTACGGCATGGGAAAGACTTCAGTTCAAAGTAGGCTCAACCTACCCGGAAGAATCGCTTGGATAACCATGGAGATGCCTGGCTTCACAACCCTCCTATACATTATGAGCACACTTCCAGCCCAGCAAGGCATTGCAGAACTACCTTGGCAGAACAAAGTGCTCGCTGGCTTATTTGTCATTCACTATACATATCGCGCCGTTATATTCCCTATCATACAGCCTTCTATGTCCCCCATTCATATTTTGGTATGGTGCAATGCCGTACTCTTCCAACTTTCGAATGCAACTTGCATAGGCAGCTGGTTGGCAGCATATGGCCCAACCACTCAAGAGGAGTGGGAGGCACAGAATTGGTCTGTCTTACGATTCTCTGTTGGCCTCGTCATCTTCTACGTTGGACTCACGGCCAATTACTTCTGTGATGAGGAGCTTCGGGAGATACGTAGGAGCGAGTTACGTCGTCAGTCCAGACTAAAGAGAAATGGAAAATCGATCGAAAAGCATTACGAGGTTCCTCGAAATGGGCTGTTCAAATACATGCTCTACCCTCACTACTTCATGGAGTGGGTGGAGTGGCTAGGATATTGGATTTCTTCCGGTATTACCTGCGCTCCAGCGAGGTGCTTCTTGCTAAACGAGTTTTTCGCCATGCTGCCTCGTGCTGTTGCTGGGAGGGAGTGGTATAGGAATAGGTTTGGGGAGGAAAAGATTAAGGGGAAATATGTTATCATCCCCGGCATTTACTAGCCAAGGAAGACGTATATCGCCCAACTTGGCAGAGTACGTAGCAATTTTAAAGCCTGTTCATAATACATAATGTTATTTGAATATAATGAATTACTTTGTTGGTGAAAACATAGGATAATAAATTCTCTTTGTCTAAACGATAGTAGCCTTAGTTCGGCATACAACTTGAAAGATGTCCGTAAAGAGAAATGATCACCACGAAACAATCAATTAGTTAAGAAAGTAGTCGTTCTATATAAAAATTTTATATGTAATCAAAACTACCCAGGAATACGTTTTAGCCCTAACTCGATAGTTTCGCATCTTACGAAGTATTAACCATTTCTAAAGAGATAGAATCTTATAACTATCACAATGCCGATTTATATTCACGTTATCCGTCACGCGCAGGGTTTACACAATGCTCTTAATACCAAAGGTGGTTGGCAGTATAAAGATCCGTACCTAACAAGTTTGGGGCTTCAGCAATGTGCTGACGTCCAACGTGACTTCCCTTTCAAGCCTCAAGCTATCATCGCTTCTCCTATGAAGCGCGCAATTGAAACTTCCATTTTATGTTTCTCGGGTTTCGTAGCAGAAGGTCTCCCGATAGCGCTATTGCCAACGCTTCAAGAAGCTGGAAATTCGCCATGTAATGTCGGGTCGCCTCTCTCAGAGTTGGTGGAGGAATTTAAAAAGGCCATTGACCCTGATATGCATAATGTGGCTGAGGACTGGTGTAAGGGTAAAGGGATTGAAGATGATGGGCAGCTTAAAGAACGTGCTCGCTTGGCTAGAATTGCCATCCGAGCAAAAGGTTTAAACCTTGAAGGCTACGCCAAAGATATCCACATATGTGTTACCAGTCACGGTGATTTTATCCCGTATCTAGTTAATGATTTAAACGCTGGTATGTTTAATAATGCTGAGTGGAGATCTTACGAGTTTTCGGATCCAACGTATCAAAGCAATCAAGCTCAATTGAAGGAAACCGAATGGAGCAAAACCCGTCGGTCGTCGCAGCCTACCCTAGGTGCTAAACTTCCTCCAGCTCTGATTAGTCTACAACGAAGACTATACCAGGATTTTGTTGCTCGACAAAAGAAGGCCACTGAATCGGGCAGTCTTTCGGAGGTCCTTCGTATTCCTACAGCTCCAAGCTTCCCATTTCTCTTGCGCCCATAGTACGCAGAAAGATAATTAATCAAAATACCTACCTAGGTACCTAGTAGGTAGGAATGGAGTTTCAAGAATAGTTATATTTCAAGTGCTATATGATTTTATTTGACTTAAATGATTGACCAATAACATAACTAAAAAATGAGCGAGTGTCGTCTACATAACCTATAAAAACAGAGAAAGGAATACACATAATTGTAATTCGACAATTCGTCGACAGAAGGCCCGATTTGCCGTTTTATCGAGTTTTCCCCAGAGAGGACCAAGGCCACGATACAACAAAATGGTCAGTACGGCTTTTGTCCAGTAAAGTTTCCAGGCGGAGAGTATCTGCCAACAACATAAACGCCACCTTTAGCATCCTTAGCCCACCCCAGTCCAATCTTGGTAGTGGACTTCCACACGCATTGAGCTTGATGATGGAACATATGTTAGCCTCATTACAAAAAGACGGTGCAGCCCCGGGATTACTTACTATAATGTCCATATGAACCAAAATCCCCCTGTCCGATAGGTTCGCCATGGTAGTTTTTTTCTTCTCCAATCCACATCTCTGTAGCCATGACCATGGGTGTGTCCTTCGAGTCGGAAGCCCTGTGGTTACGACCGCTTAGGTTAGTCTCTTGATTGTATTATGCTGCTATACGATAACTGCAATGAGATATTATCTTACCCTGCAAGGTTCTCGCCCTGATTCGGTCTTTGGTCACCCGTTGAATGCTCTAGCTTTCCAGTCTGCACTAGGTGCTTTGCGTAGTCTTCGGCATACTTTGCAAGCTGGTTGTCCCACGCAAGGGGGCCAACACCCTTTGACTTCCGCTTCTCATTATGAATGTTCAAAGCCTGCTGCTGGTCAGGGTCGAGAGCAGCGGCAGCAATGAAGTCCTCGTTGATGTTCACGGAAACCTCGGGGTCTTCAAAGATGGCAGCCCCGGGATCTTGTGCTACGCCCCCCCCAGTCTTTGTCTCTATTGAGTTGTTGTCCGGTACATTCAATGCATTGACAGCTACATCCGTCTTTCCGGGTGCCTTGATGGGCTGCTGATTGACGTACATCTTTCCCAATTCTGTAAAGTTTCCTGCTCCATCCATGAGCTGGGCAGCTGGGCTGACGAAGTCGTCGGCAACCTTGCGTTGGAAGTCGAAGAGTCCATATTCAAATACCCATTCCTGTGTGTCCAACCAATTGCAGATCTTGACAGTGAATGCCACAACAGCATTATAGTCTCGGTCGATGCATGCGATCTCAGTGACCATCTTTTATATCGTTAGCAATAAACTGACCTTTTTGTTTGCCGTTATACTTACAACTTTTTGTTTAGGCCACTTGTTGTGCATGTCCTGAATGTACTTAATGGCCTCATCAGGGTTCTTTGAATAGTAGTGCAAGCAGAGGAAATCCGGTGGTTCGCTTGCGACAAGTGACATAAACTTCTCGATCCATTTACGACCATTCTCATCCTGGTAAGATGATTAGCGTGGCTTAATCATCAATAGAAGGGTTTTCTTGACATACAGAGGCAACCGCGGGCGAACCAAGCTTCTTTCCCTTGCTCTTCCTTAGGGGCAGCATCTGCTTGTACCAGATATCTCTTGCCTGCTCGGGACTTATTCCGGCACGCTCGGGTTCATTGAAGAAGAGAATAATGGGGTATTTAGTATCCTGAATCATATTCCAGTCGTTGCCCGATGTGCTCTGAAGGACGCGGACCATAGGCCGGAATGGCGCTCGATCCTTGAGCTCAGGGGGAACCCAGGCATTCCAATTTACCACAGAGGCAACTGGGCTCTTATCACCAAAGGGGACTTGGTTGATCTTATCAGGGATACCGGGATTTTCTGGACTACCTGTGTTGGTCCAATCCCAAAGAATTTGACGTTTCTTGATAACCGTTTTGATTTAAATTTGATGGGACTAAAGAGCTTGGTATATGGGGTCTGATAGTTTGATTCATGTGCTTGCTAACTTGCTAAGACACTGAGGATATGGCTTTTATATATACTTCTTCAGTACCTACACAGCAACTTCATCGCAAAAGTGAATAAACATGTTACATCTGGCTTAGATGGAGCGTAGGATACCTTATGCTGACATGAAAAGCTTGACGTAAACCGTACGCCGTTTGGGCTAACAGGAACTACGTGGTAGGTACCAGGTAATCAAACGCACATGTGCCGTCCCTAGGACGAACCAATCCAAATGCTGTAATATATTTATTGAATATTCAATAGTCTTACCTAATACTCGAAAATGATAGGTGTTCATGTAGCGCTTCACGCCTGGCTACCGCCTAAAAAACAAAGACCTAGTGCTGACCTCAGTATATTACGTATTGTGTTGACTGGATTTCCTATTTGGTTGCTCGAAGAGCTTGGTATTGCCTACTTACATAACTATTGCCATTCCCGTAGGAAATATTTGAAATTGTGTCAAGCTGTTGGCTGACTTGATTTCCTTCATCCATAAGTCATAGACTTGCTACCTGCCAAATCTGGACAAACTCAACCTAGGGCAACATGACAGGATACGACAAGGAATTACAGCTCAGCCTCGAGAACAGCCATTCTAAATCAATATGAATATTTACATCGCTATGTCGTATCCATAAGATAAGATACTACCTTGGATTTGCAATCCAGGGGGGCATAGTTGGCCACGAGAAACTTCCACAATGGAATAAAACAGTGTGCTAGCCCCCAGAGACGAGTATATACGTCATCTATCACTCATCACCAGAACTTTTGTATCTTCAATAAAACTGATAGATTCTCCAACAACTTAGTTTATTGGATCTCGAGTTAGGTCAGCTTAGTTATCACAAATAATCCTTCGGGGCGTAGCCTCGTTCTTATGACCATGTTGTCATGATATTAAATCTCGTGACAATGAAATAATGTGTATGGTGGCTTGATTATAGACGTAGGACTTCAATTGGCCTTGTTCTTCTTGTGATAACAGCCAATTTCGGCTTCATGTAAGTATGGCTGTGTTGGTCAGCTTTCAATTGGCAGCGGTTAACAACAGAGTAATCGTGACATACCAGGCTGTACTTTTCATGCCTGTCATGTTAGACAAGCAGCAACATGTATACCTCGGGGGCCTCAGGCGTCGAAGTATAAAATACCCCATGTCTCCGGCTTAAACGCGTCTTCATATAATCAAGCAAAGTGATAATCAACAGTCAAGTGCCTAGCAGTTATAATCAGCAAATATGCATTATCTCAAGATCTACAACAGATCTAATCACCCTCAGAGATTCCAATGTCATGGATACTATAACGACAAAGATGTGACGATTAATGCAAACAGCGAAATCAGCATCGAGGCCCCTGATGGTAGTAAAGGTGCAATCATTGCAGTCCACGACGACATCATTGGCGAGCAATGTGAAATCAACAAGGCCGGCTGGCAGGGGAATGACTTTATCGATATCAGCAACATTGTCGGCGCCGGCGGCAATATGACCTGCCAGCAGATTGGCGACCCTCCAGGAAAGTTTAAAGGTCACGAAACCTTTATGCAAGCATGCAACCAGGCCTATCATAAACTCCCGCAGGACAAGAAGAACCAGCTCCGTGGCCACGTGTTTTTGGATGGCAACGGTAATGTCAAGCGCATCGGCCCCCCGAAGGAATTTCAGCCACTGGAGGAATTTGTAAGGACTTTCGCAAATGGTCGGACTTACATTGGTGTCGGTGCTTGGTACGTCGTGGCTGCTCTGTAACTCGCCATATGCCAGCTTGTTACTAATTATCCTCAGGGGACCAAACACTGGAAATCCGGCAGACAATGAGCAGAGTAAGGCCGGAAACGGCAGCAAAGATATCCGTATTGTCTATAGTGTAAGGCTGAACCCCAAATTAGTAACTATGTTTGTGTTCTGAACATGCGATAGGACGGAAACGCTGCCCCTGACCCCAATAAACCATTCACGGGCCAATCGGTTGATTCAGCCACAGTTAACATGCTAAGTTTGGCGAATAGCGATGATTTCGCGATCAAGGATGCCAATGGAATCGAAGAAAATGGAACCGCTACACTGATGGTAGTGAATGAGCTTGGCCCTGGTATTCAACTAACCAACAAGTCGGGTAAGAAGAACACTTACTACTTCTACGACAATTACTGGAATGGCAATGGCGAGGCAGGTGCCAACTTCGACCACCCGTTGAAGCACGTCGAATTGGGGCCCAACCAGACTGTCCACGTGCCTCTAGATTTGAAATTCAAGGGTCGTGTCCAGCGGGGAGACCAACTACCGGCTACCTGGGGCGAATTTCAAGTCAAGGCAGCAGACGATGGACGCGCCCATGGTGACATCTCGCTCCAGCAAGGGTGTGATGGCGCAGCCACTGTCGCGTCAACAGATGGAACCAATGTGTCGAATGGGTTCGAGAAGGACATTCTAAAGGATGCACCTGGAGCGGCAGTTGAGAAGAAGCCCAATGGCGAAAAGGCCCTTGCAAGCACCGAGGGTAATTGGAAAGGTCCTGGCAACCAGGCTGCAACGGATTGGGAATATAAGCAACTTGGCTCTACGAGGGCTTACATTAAAGGTGGATCTGGAGTTCCAGATGTGGCCAGCAAGAACAACTGCCTTCACTTTACCTTTTTCGTGCCTTAGATACAGTCTTTTGGGTCATCTTCTCGGGTTTTCACGGTTTAAATATGGAATGGTAAGACCTCTCTGGTAGAATGGTCGTTGGAACACTCTTTTCAATGCAATGATAATTAAGTAGACATAGCTAGATAGATATATAACATTCACTTGTTCACCTGCAGTAACAAAACCATAGATTTCTTTATAAGTCCATTCTGCGTACTCCGTTTGCATACTCGTTAATGCACGAAATAGACACTTCCACCTTAACTGTAACTTATGTGCCCGGGTTGAGAGTTTCAGTTCCTTCCTAACTATGAGGTTTCTAGGCGCTCCGAGATTCAGACGTGTTACATAAATGAGTTAACGAATAGTTATGTTGGCTAATTAGGTACGTTGCTGAAAGAGAAGTTAAAACAACATAAAAGGGGCGGGGTTCGGATTGATCAACTTCGGCAGGCAGTCATATACCTACCTAGTAGGTACGCGTATGAAATGTTGTGCTCTGATCAATAACCATCATAATGAAAGGAGTTTACATGTACTGGTAGCTACCTAGGTAACAGGGATACTTTATAGACCTCATCCGTCAAATTTGAAAGCCCAATGTATAAGTAAGTGGGCATCTATCCCATCGGGCTATCCCCTATAACAGTGATAGCATATACCTTAGCTACATGCCTTGCCCGGGAAGCGCGTCTAGCCACCCTTCAGTATCTTCCGTAACGGTATTTCTCACCGCGCACGCATTCATCTCTGCTACAGTCTGCGTTTTCAGCACGCCCTGCACCCCCGGACTTCCGCACCCGTGAAACATGCACGTATCATTCATAGCACGCTGCAAGGAATCTCCTTTCCAGCCGAAAACGTAGTCCGCGTGTGTGCCATACCCTTTACTGTCCATGTAGGACCAGACAAAAGGCTGTGAACCATCCCGAGGCCACATGTTATTGAATGCCGTGGTGTTCCACATTGTTTCATACGCAAGTTGTGGCGTCCGGACAGGGTGCGAGTCAGGACAGGCACCCGCCTCGACGAACCCGCCTTTGGTGGTTGAATACATATGAGATTGATGATCGGGGCTATCGAGATTCTTCCCGTCCCAACATCTGAATGTACCTAGTGTTAGTAAATGATAGACTCGTTGACTTGAAGAGCACTACGAACGCAGGAAAGTGATGTATTGCCATAATGCCGCCAGGACAAGGTTCCCGGGGGAAATCGGGAGTCTCGTAGCCTCGGGTCAGCGGTGTCTGCAAACAGGTATATCGAAGCCCTGGCTGAGATTTTGCGCCTTCAAAGCTGTCCACCGTAGGACTCCCCACGGTCATGCGGAACCCCTAGGTCCATATAAACGTAAGTTAACTTATGTTTTCATTACTTGACCCTTAGATCCTAGGCGTCATGACTTACGGGTTGAAAAGCGGTGATAAATTGGTCACCGTTGCTACTGAAGTCCTTCTGCGTATAGTAGATCGTCATCCCACCTTTAATGTTTCGATCATCACGGCCCTCTGTACCCAACTGGGCGTTTGGGTACTGTGGAACCCGCTTATAAGAACCATTCTCATGCCTGAAGTACATAACTGCCGTCCAGTAATTGGAAAAGTCTTCCGAGTAAACGCACGTCGTACAAGTGCCCTTCTCTCCTATATCCCCCTCCATAGTCGCGTTGAAAGCATTTCCACCAACAATCTGATGAACGTGTGCTGAAGGAATTTTGCCTGGCTCAACAAGGGGGTCAAGCCGTTGTAAAGACACGGACGCGCAGCCGAACCGGAGAGCAGCCTGGGAAAGCCCGGTGAAGGGTAACAAATAGATAACCTTCATTTTGTACCTAGTAGATCAACTGCGGGTTTGATATCTTCAGGAGGGGCCTTTGGCAGTCTCTTACGATGTGCCCATGTTATATACCCGAGTAACATAATTTTGAGTCGTTGCCTCCTGTCTTTCATAGGCTAGAACTTGCCGCGGGAAGGTTATCTAGTATGTATGAAATGATTTGAGGGCAATTAGCCGTCTTATCTCAATAATAACCCTGATTTAGGGCCTATAGTAAATGGCGCCTTAAATTGGTGTCATATGAAATGGCCTATTGTATTCCAGATATAGATGAGCGGGTAAAGTATGTTCAGCTCAAACATCACTGCCGATACACCAAGGTAAATTAAAATTTCCGTAAATATGACGACTAACAAGTGTACCTAGGTGGATAATCTTTTGCGCGGTATCTGATTGAGACTCATCTGAATTGTCTCCAAGGATAACATTACAACCTGGCTTCTGTATGGCACAGGTTGCGGGAGATATTCTACATTATATTTATTGACCACCAGATATCCTTCTGTAATTGTCAAAACACTCCTGAATAGCTTGAGGGCCACGTTGTTTAATTATTTTCAATCTGTCAACTTCATTTAAGGCCGCCAATGTCTGTAATGCTAACATACTTCGAAAAAGATACCTTGGCCGAATTCTTGATGCCTGATTTCACTTTGAGGAGTTTAATGTCCAGTGACGAATCAATAACATTTGAGTCGTTTATTTACAGTTATCATTGATCATTTTAGGGGGGTCATTAACAGTTACAAAAAACGACTGCCCCTTTTAACCGATGATAAAGTGGACTGGAACAAATTCCATACCCACATAGGTACCTAGGTACCGAAATAGGGGCTTCTGGTATAATGACAAGTACATAACTAAGTATTAAAATTAGCAAGTTTATGGCGATGGAGGGCTGCAAATTTATCCATTATAAGGCGATAAGCCCCATCTTCGTAATTATTTACTAGGGTAGATAGGTATGTACTTATACGAACTCCAACTATGGGCGTGATGCAACAAATTCAACAGCAACTCATTCACAGTCGGGATCAAAAGACATGTTTTCCCAACCTTGGAACCTACACAACTCTTGTATAACCAAATACAGTTCTACTCGGCGCTATGCACACCGTAAATTATTACTCACATCTTATCATCAGGGGTAACAATATCTATAATCATCACACTCCATCCAAGCCTGAGGAAAATCCAAAAATTGGGAACCTGTATGAACCGAATGTTTGAGACATGAGGCAGACAGACTGTGCGAGACGCGTCATATATGTTTTTGAGACCTCGTAGTTCTTCGTCATGCTGATAGAGAAGAACTACTATATAGTTAGATATCAAAACAACCTCGGAAATTATAATGAGTGCAGACTGCAAACTCAAATACAATGGGTATCCCCCCTTCAGATCAAACCCAAGCCAGTAAGCCTTTCGTATCGTCATGATCATCATCATGCAGTAGTAATATCTGCATAAATTCCAGACTACCATTTCACTTGATAGGGTGTTGGTAAGCTCATCCATCTTGCACAGCTGTTGAACAAAGCCCTCCTTCATCTGTAATTGACCTGGGCAGTTGCATTTGCATTTGCCTGGAGTCGAGTCTTGGGTAACTAATGACTTTCCCGAACACGAAGGAGCCGAGCTGGTTAAGAATCATGATGTGCCCTGCTGCGATAGTACCTATAGTCGCGTTGCCGGCTCATTGTGTGCCTGCCCATGTTTCAGTAACCCATCGAAGTATATCCCGCAGACTCCGTTGGATGGTCGGGGACATTGCATCATCGGACAACGCCAATCCTACCTTCCTCTAGACACCTCCGTTTTGCTAATAGTTCGCTTGGGTAATCGTGAGAGTCACGATCCTCAGAAAAGCTCGCATTAAACACTTCGGAAAGGATTTCTCGCTTATGTTTAGGCGAAGTGACTTGTGGCACTATAGGGGTTACTAATTCTCTGTTGGCAAGCTCTTTAAAAACAGTAGTCATCTCTTTCTCACGAACTCCGCTTCCGTCATCAGAATCAGATTGGGGCTTTTCGAAAGTATTAATGTGGAACTCGTCAAAATCGCCAACGATGTCTTTACCGAGGGCTTGTCCAAGGCGCTCTTTGAGGCCTAGAATCGGCCATACAGGCACATGCTGATATCGGATTATGACTCGTAAATCACCAAGTGGCGTCTGAGCGGGCTCATGAAATAAGGTCAATAGTGCTATGGGCACAACACAAGAATAGACGATGAAAGTGGCTTCTGCTTCGGATGTCACCAAGATGCGAACCGGAATGTTCTTTGGCGCAAAGCCTTCTTGCGTAGAAATGCTTGCATATGCATGCTGTTGAGCCATGGCGAGAGCAATGGCAAGAATGTACTGATCTTCCAGGGGCTTTTGAGGGATGAGCTTTCGCGAACGCAATTGGTGGAGTTGCTGGATTGGGATGTTCGGCGAGCCATCAGGGCAAAGCTGGATCCGGTAACACTTCCGTCTAACATGGTTAAGATAGTCTAAATTCAAGTAGCCTAGCACTGGTGTATCAAAAGGAGCTCTGATGATCCCATTCTCAGACTTGCTAGCGAAGGAGCTTTCGGACGCGTTTGAACCGTAGGTGGAAGTCGAAGAAACGGAATGAAGGGTCGGCAGATCCGATAGGTCAGATTCACAGGCTTTCTTCCACATGGCTTGACAGCGAACTGCGCATGTATACTGTTTACCCCCACACCAAATGGTGAGATCTGATGCCATTGGAGAGAATCGACCCGGAAATGCAGTTTCTAGGACGTTCCTTACTGCTTGAGTCTTCATGAGGGCAATGATGCCCGGACCCATGATGGTGTCAATGTCTCTACCCATATCAATAATCTCCCGAGGTGCCCGATATGATAGCGGGCGTATTCGGGACGAGACAGAGCCCGAAGGTATTGGCGTGGCCTGCGGAGGTAGCTGCACAAAGTGACACCCCAATAGCTGCTTATGAAGCTCTGTCCAGCCAATTGGAAGGACGTAGAGCGGGATTGTCGCGTGATCATGTAGAATGTCATACAACGAGCCAATTTCGGGCGAGATTGGCTTGCGGTATTCAGTAAGGCGGCGTAGTCGCTTGCACTCCACCTTCTCCTCAGCAGGACTTGCCATGCGTGATCTCTTAAAGGACATGACTACGACTGTGTGTGATGCCTGTGATACCTATGACACCTGTGATGCCTGCTTGATCTAGAGCATATGCTGCTTAAGTAGCTAGGGTGTTAGTCAATATTGTACATTGTGGGATAATAGAGGTATGTACATACAGTTAGGTGAAAAGATGCTTGCTTAAGATGCGATGAAATCCTTGAGGTAGGCTAGAGTAATGCAGGGTGCTGTGACAATGGAAGGATGCGCCACAAAAGACTGATAGGAATGATTGCCTAGGTAGGTAACTAGTAGCGAGTGACACTTGACGATCCGATAGATAGATAGATAATAAGTTCAGGTTATATATTTAAAGTACTAAATTGTACAAGAATTTGTGCATCCGTGCTGAATCGCCAAAGAATAATGATAGCAAAAAGCGCTACAAAGGCGCACAGAGATAAAAGAAAGGAACTTTGGAATTGATGGCGTGGAGATGAAGTTGGACGGGTGTTGCAACAATCCTAATAGTTACTTGGCGGTACAATGAGTGGCGAAGAATGATGAGCGAACTGCAGTACAAAGGGAATACGCGTTAGGAGGGGTTCTGGCTCTTTATTTGTATGCATCTCACCACAAACGTGGTAATCAAAGTCTGGATCCACTAAAGTACCGTCACCACAGTCACGCGAATTCAGGTGACCTTTTTATTTTAAAGTCTGTTCTAATTTGGACAAGGCTAGGCTGCAACTGTTTGAATGACTTCCCGAGTTTGAAGGTAGGTACCGCCAAAGCATCTATAGCCAATCGGAGCTCGTAAATACCAAGTCCACTCAGATCCACCGCCAAAGCAATCCATGTACGGCATAACTAGGTAGTTAGTAGTTACATAATAGCTACCGATATTTACCCGCGGAGAGTGACGTTTCCCAGCACTAACAACATTGAATGTCGACTCCAGAGTCCAGCCTCCAACTACATAGGTACCTAATCAACGTACCCCACACCATACATAGTACTAGGTACTCCTTCTCAAATCCCAACATTGAAGATACCGAGAGCTCCTCTCTCAAGACATCCTTTTTCAGCATAATCGAGCTACTTACCTTACCTCGCGACGCCTACCTCATACAAGATGCCGGTGTGTACATACATTCAAACGTCCGCTACTAATCGTTTACATGGAGTCCGCTAACGCAAAGTAATAGGCCTACAATTCCATGTTTAATAACGATCCTAACATCCCACGCCTCGTTGGTAACCTCCCGCTTCTACCCCTCCGCACGAAAACCCGTGGTCCAGCATACGTGCTCCCACAGTCGAATCCGCCACTCCCTGCGAATGAAAGCCCAGACCCGGACTCGGAATCGTACGACATTCTAGACGAAGTGATCTCACTTTTCCGCGCCAATACATTCTTCCGCAATTTCGAGATTCAGGGCCCGGCCGACCGCCTCTTAATCTACGGCATCCTGTTTGTGAGCGAGTGTCTCGGCAAGATCCGCCCTCAGCACTCTTTAAGAGATGCTACAAAGGAGGTTCTGAACACCGCCCTCGATCTCAACTTTGCTATTCCGGGAGACCCTGGATTCCCCTTGAATCAGGTTCGTTTCAGCCGACTTTCTTTGTTTCTTCTCTTTTTGGCTCTCTTGTAACCCTAAGGTATGGCTTAGTTGTTGAGTAGCGAAGATCTAATCATGCGTAGATATACGAACCTCCTCGAGACAGGCAAGATGCCGAGCAATTACGGCAGTATTTGTCTCAGGTACGGCAGGAACTGGCCGCGCGGTTACTAGCGAGAGTTTACGATGAGGAAGGAGATGGAAAGCCGAGCAAGTGGTGGCTGAGTTTCACAAAGAGAAAGTTCATGGGAAAGGCATTGTAACTGAGATGATACATTGGCCAGTAGATATACAGGATTTTGGGGTGGAGATCCCGAAGATGCTGAGAAAACAGAACGGCTAAGAAGGTTTATGCAGAGTGCGTTGTAATGCATAAAATCCGAATGAAGTACTCCCCGCGGGAATATCTATCTCCAGTCCAGATGACTTGAAGAATGAGATTAGTTATAGTCAAAGCAACAAAATCATGTCTCGACACCAGCGTGAATACTAGGTAGTCATGTATCTATTATTTACTCGAACCCTCTTCTTTCGTTTCATCAAGCTTCCTCTTCCTGGTACGTGCCTTGCCCCTGGCTTCCACCTTGCCTTCTGCGGGCTTCACTTTACAGGCCGTAAAGACATAACCCTCCGCACCACCTTTACTCGTCATCAGAGGGTGTGTTCGTCCTGGAAGGACTTGCCATTTCCGAACACGGCTTGTTTGGATAGAAGCTGCTAGTACAAGGGATGGGTTCAGCGGGAACTCTTCACACCCGGCCCATTGTTCTAGCTCTTCCAAACTTTTGCCTATTGCTTCTTCCGGTGGGGTCGCCACCCATGCTCCCCGGCGTGCAATGCTATAACAGTCAACCAACGCAGTCAGGGGCTCGATCGACTGAGAGTAAATAGCAATCGGTGCCCCGCCGGCAAGTAATGGCACAGCATAACGCATAATGGATATGGGATCCATCGTGCTCGCAACAACTAGCCCAGAAAACTCCCCCTTCCGTGTTGTATCTACGACATGTCGAATTCTGGCCCAACGTCGTCGTTTGCGATGGTAGGTGCCTCGGCGGTTAGCTTTCCATGAACGAAGCATTTCAGGGGACATGCTTGGCATTTCTGAAGCGTAGGTCGGATCTGACATCGGTTCAATGAGCTGCAGCCATGATATTGTCATGAGATGTCTGGATAGAGGGTGGTGCGGGGATGGTGTGGGGTTTGTAATGTCGAAACCGAAGTCACGAAGCAAGGCCAAGTTGGGCTGTTGATTAGCGTGAATAACGGTAAGCGTATTGGATTGCGCCAATGGTGTGAGCAAGTCGTCCAATCGTGTCTTGTTGTCGTCTTGCGATGCTAAAGTCATCTCGGGCTCCTCCACTACCACCTTGATGTCGCCCTGAGGGCCGCTCATTTTCGGTGACAACTCATCTGAGTTGGACGTGGCATTTTCATTGATCAATGCTTTTCTTTTTGCCACCTTTGAATACGCTAGGTTACTTTCTCCTGCAGACTGGATGTTCTCCGGTGGGTACAGTAAGCCCATTCGTTCTGCCATAGCCGCTACCAGCAGACCACCTGTATCGTCTACAACTAGCCATCGACCTGAGGGCATTTGAACATCCCCTTCTTTATCGCCGTTGGGTTCGAGTTCTTGGGCACTTTGGTCTTCGCATCGATCCTCTCCACCAAAATGGACATTAGCCCAGCACCCCAGCAAAGCTATCATCTCTTCTCTCATATCCAGAATCTTGCTTGGTTCCTTCGCTTCCAGCTGCCACTGAGCAAGCATGGGTACATCCATGGGCAGCACAGAGAACCTTCGTATGTACTTTTTCGTCTTGAGTAGCTTGTATTTGGCCAGTGAATACTCCGTCTTCTGTTCGATGGCAGTGTGTGACACCATCAACTTCGCAATTAAGTCTCTACCTGCATCCGTACCATCCTTCTTGAGGGCCTCAATCTCTTCAGTGCTCAGCGTTTGCCGTGCCGAGGCATTGAGCTCTGCGCGGTCGGTCTTAGCAACAACGGCGCCGGATTCAGGATCAACGAGTGAGTATTCGACCGCAGATTGGACAGCATTTTCAGTGTACTCGTTATCGTTTGTTATGAGAGATTCACCTCCGAGAGGGGTAGTCGATGTCGTAGGCGATAGAATATCATGGTATAACTCGCTGGCGGGCACGATACGCAGTCGATTAAAATCCTCTCCAGACCTTTGATCTTGTAATTCGTAGGTCAAGTTGAATGGCCGGTGGATGATTAGATTACTTGGGAAAGATCCGTATTTCCCAAGAGAAATAGTTCTGAGGGGCGGAAACCGTTAACTTATACATCTATGTGCGCGGACTTTTTTTTTGGATACATGGTACCTACTGTGTAGGTGTTCGGTGTGTGCAGTAGTTAGAGGATTAATTGACATACGTGTTTGGGGTGATTTGGAGCACACGGATCTGCCCAGAGGGCAACTTGAGACCAACCCAAGCATGCGGTTGAACTAAAGATTGCATATTGACTTTGTTGCAATCTTGTCGCATGCAGCCTTTGTTGCAAGGGACTTTCAATGAGCGATGAACTTGAAGGTTCGCAAATGCAAATTTTAGACGGCAAAAAGTTGGAGGACCTAGTTAACTAATGTGGGGGGTTTGGGGTGCAGATTTGGAGGGAAGCTCCTAAGAACCCCACATGAATAACCTACCCTGTACAGTTGAGTACCTACTACCTACAACTTGTATATGCAGTGTAACAACCTTGAACCACATGGCAATTATTAAGGTTATGTAGCACAAAAATCAGCTCCAGGGCTACATACATAACTTAAATACATCATTGATAGAATTCATTATTCCCCATTAACAACCCCACCACCATTGTTCTTTGGATAGTCTTTCCTTGCTTTATCATTGTGGGGCATTTTACCAAACTGCCACTCGGGCAGTGTGATGCCGGTTTGCTCATTGATCGTAGACATCAGTGGTGGGAGGAGTTGATAAACCTAGTTTTTCATTCATCGTTAATTTTCATACACATAAACTTTGACTAACCCAACATGCCGCAAGAACTTACATTACGAAGAGTCGAGGCAGTATCCTGACCCGATCCCAGTCCACCGGCTCCCGCTCCGGACGACCCGGCCTCGGCGCCTGTGTTCCAGATACTGATCTTGGGCTGCATTCCGTGAACGGCTGCAGCATTAGCTTTGGAGAGCTCAACATAAGTTCCCTTTTCGATCATCACTGCGGTGGAAATGATTAGCACCTAACCAACTTGTGGAGATAATAACCTGGAATGGAGAATTACTTACTGTACTGTAGAAGACCCGATGGGCCACCAAAGGCCTGGCTCATTTTAGCATAAGCATCAGCCATGGCAGCTATACCTTGGGCTTCCTTCAGTTTTAATTCTAGATTCGCCTCGGCATTTTTTATTGCAGCATCGGCCTGGGCTTCAGCCTCGGTTCTAGTGTTATACGCCTTCGCATCTGTCGCCTTGTTGCTCTTTTCATAGTTGGCGCGCGCCTCAGCAGCTACCTCGTATGCCTTGGCGTCGGCGGCTTGCTGCTTACTCTCACGGGTGATGGCTGCTTTAACTACATCGACGGCGCGTAGGCGCTCGAGTTCGGCTGCTGCGCGTTTCACCTGGACTTCTTTCTTTAGGTCCTCGTCTTTCGCCTCTGTAGCACGTGTTGCTTCAATGCGTGAGATCTCAACATCTCTGCTAAGCACTGTCTTCTGTGTCGCCAGGTTGGCCTCGGCCGTCGCGCGCTCCACGTCGCGGTCTGTCTTTTGAACAGCCGTCTCCGCATTACTTCAGAAGTTGCAAGTCAGTTCACAGAAGGCCGAAGTGCAGGGTGAATGATGAATGCGTTAATCAGTTAGGAGAGGCTTACATCTTTGCAATAAATCGTTCCTGTTGACCGTGTCTTTCGGCCTCTCCGACGTTACCACGAAGCTGGGCTTCCGCGACGTCGATGCGTGCTTGATTGGTGGCGCCTTCGTGTGCCTTCTGAGAGAGAGATTGGAAATAGTTGGAGCCGGCCGCGTCCTTCAGCTCTTTGACGTTGGCGTTGTAGATCTTGAGGCCAAACTGCTCTAGCTCACCCTGAATGGCGCGGAAGACACGACGCTTGAACTCCTCTCGCTCCGTAAATATTTCTTCCATGGTCATGCTAGAAACCAAAACCCTTGTCTCGCCCTCGATAATGCCTTTGACGATGTTTTCGAGGTATTGTGAGCCTTTCTTCTGGGCTGTGGACTCGGCCAACAACATGGCGTACTTCATCAAAGAATCTCCGCGGTCTTCGTCGTGAATATGGCTATCCGTAGATTGGCTTATATTAGGGGCGTGAAGATTCTTGGAATTGGCACCTCGGTTATTGACATCCCTAAAAGAATACGTTATTACTTCTTGGATAGCCATAGGATTGGCATAATTGGTACATACGGTCCAATAGTGAACACTACAGGGAGGAGAAACTGGAGCTTCTCCTTTGTCATTGCTATGCGGTCAGGTTAACAAACAAGCCAGGCGTAGTTCTGGTTTGAGGGTAAATACCTTGAAGGTTCATAGAATAGTCATGGGGCTGGACTGAGAATCGAGTGCATCTTTGGAATGGGAGGATCCATGCCGACTTGGTTATGAGGACATTTTTTATATTCATGCCAGTGATGGCAAGATACTCATCGGGGGCGGCGATTTTGTACGACATGGCGATAGTTTAGTGGGAAATCCTCCCCACGACTTGCTGCAGTTTGGAAGCCGTTGGATGATGGTTTTTTCTTTCCTTGATGGTAGAATATATCTATCAGGAAAGGGTCAAGAGGCAATAAATAGGTGATGTTGATAGAGTTTCACTACGTTTCCATTTACCCAGTAAGAGTTGTGGTAGTACAGAAGAGGAGAACTCGATCCACGAGGAGAGTCAAGCTATTTAAGTACGAGTTCAAGTATAGCAAGACTGAGACTGAAATTACAAATATGAAATTCGAACGGAAGTCCCAGCCACGTGCTTCAACGTTAGGCTTTAGTTAACATCCGGGGAACTAGGAGAACTAGGAGGTTAAACAAATGTCTGCCCCTAACATCGGTAGGTGCTTGGTAAATATCACCTCCTTCCAGGTAAAGCTTGAGTGGTTTCCTCGCAAAATTAAGTGTGTCTAGTCAGCAACTCATAGGATGATTTCAGGATCTGATGCTAAACACAAGATCTACTGCTGACAAGGTAGCAAAAATTCCTGGTTTGCCTCGTAAGGCATAAATAACTAGGTTACATAATAGGGGCCTGATGTGCTAGGTTAGGTTACCTTCCTACCAAGTCCATCAACCATGCGACCTGCGTGCGGAGAGATTTGAGCCATCCATAGTACCCGGGCGTGGTAGTGGCTTGGTTTAGGATGTCACAGGGTTGTAAACCAGTTCCCGCTAAGTAAGCTAAAGCTCAGCTCATAGGCTTGTGCGGTTTACCTAGTAGCCAGGCACCAAAGCAACCACCCTATGATCTTTCAGTTTGGAACAACTCGCTTGCCTCTAACTCACGGCTTCAATAGTAGCTACCCTAAGCTCGGCACAGGTATGTGTACATTCGAACCACAAACAACGAATTATACATAGATGTACAAGCCTACTTAGGATCTAACTCATCATACGTCACGCTGTTACCAGAATAGGACCTCGGTCTTTGGGGCTACTTACTGCAGTCTTGGTAGTGAGGCTTAGCATTTCACCTGATCTCTAGCGCATCCCAAGCTGACATGTATGCATTTTAACGATGTCAATTGTTCCCTTGTTGTCATGATATAGGGCCCTTAGTTCTGTTGCCTATAACGAGAAACCCCGCCTTCGTATTATTAGCGAATTCCATTTCTTACTGGTGCCCAGTACGCCACATAGTAGGTACCTTGTGGCAGCAAACTACTAGATCCGACTGGATAACTCCAGTCCTGTTCGTTACCGACCCGAAATCTACGGGATTAGGACCAACAACTCCTCATCCTCCAACTCGCAACAAAGCAACATTTCCCTCTAAGTACACTGAACTTTCGACAGGTTCTAGTAGCCAGTACGAGTTATGGATAGCAAGATACCTTTTGACGAGCCTCCTCCCTATTCAGCCACATCAACTACTCCTCCATATTCAGAAGAGTCACTGTTGAACGCCTTGGCGTCTCATCTACTTCACCATATCACACTTCTCCCCGATCGGATCCGAGATACACAGCAGGTGTGGAGAGCAGAACAATCGCTCAGCGATGCATTGCTTCTGGATCATATCGTCCCCATAGTGGAGCAGTTTTTGGCCGAACTAGGTGCTCAACGTAGTCCTGTCCAGTTGGCCACGCTCACCATAGTCCCAGCGAACGCGATACCTCGGGGTTCTACGATCAGTAGCTTCGAATATATGAAGCGTCGCGGAGAAGAATGTCGAGTAGCCAGGCTCTCCATGGATAAAATAATGGAGAAATCCAACTCTGCCACCATTTCCACCAATTATCAACATGTGAGCGATGATCCGAGCTGGGTCACAGGGCAGGAGTTCAACGACTGGGGGCGTTTTGATCAGCCCAACTTCCTAACGGGAGACAAACCTAGCACGCTCTGGTGGAAAGATGAGGAGATGGCGCAACGTTTAGCAAGTTACCTACAGCCCAAAAGAGAACGGGTAGCATCTATGGAGCGCGATTCAATATTTCAAACTGCAACAGGCCAAATGGTACCAGCGAAGAAAGAGACCAGGAGTTGGGGCTGGGGCCGGACGAAATATGCAAGCAACCAAAAATCCCAGGAGACGGCGACAACGTCAACACCCTCGAATACTCTTGTCGATGTAGAAAAAGGAGGAATGGATGGACATGGTGCTGAGATGGTGTTTACGGCTCAGGAAGTTGCATTTCGTCATGAAAATGAATTCGGTATCTTGGAGAGCTTCCGCGGTTGGGGTATCGTTCTAACTGTAAAGGTTAAGACTTGATATCCACTTCGTGTTGCATTGAATAAGAGACTTTGCTTCGTACTAATCTCATGGCTGATAGTATGTGGCTGAGGGGTAGAGGTGTGTGTAGGAGGGAATTCAGGGGCATTGCCCCATGGATATTGTAATAATCACCTCTACGTTGTAGAAATCTAATGATTGTAATACAGTTCTTGTTCATAAGTACCAAAACCTATCGTGGGGCATCATAACTGTCGCCACGAGGAATACTTGAAGTCTCAAGCCACCACTGCCTCAGCTTTTCGACATCACACCAGTCGAACTGGACCGGGTTTTCGTACCACCAGCTATATCCTTCCTTCGGCCGATCACTAGCATATTTCTTCAAGCTGCCGCCATCAAAACGATGATTCTTTACACCAAGCAATAATATCACACTCCCAACTAAGGGTGTGAAAGTCTCCGGGTCTAGAAACACGTCAAGCCGGACGTGCTTGTTAGTGGAGGGATCCGTGAGTCGAACTCGTCGTTGAGTGTATGGTGGTAATCCGGATGGTTCAATATCTGAGATGGCAGATACGACAGCAAGCACGTTAACGCTCCAATTCTGCTTGTATGGCAGCTTAGGGATAGAGCGCAGCTTGGTGAGCTTTAATGGTCTTCCACAGTCGATGCTTGCCCAGGGCAAATAACTCGTATCAGGTTCCGTGGAATTATGGCCCGCAACTGCCGTTCCTCCTGGTCTCGTCGTGAGATCAAGTCTTTTCTGAGTTGCTTTCGCTGCAGCGTTTGGCATGACTTCGAAATCATCTTCTTCTTGAATGACTTCTCTTGGGATATCAGTACCCCTGTCAATACATTGCACGCCACGATTTTCCGGTCGTGGCTCTATTGCAATAGGGGATGTCATCGGTTCAAGCGTAGATTCAGCCGGCGCATGTTCTAAATTGTGTCCATCGAGAAAAAAATTGTTCCATCCCACAAGGACAAGATCCTCGACTACCAGGTAAACCATCTTCTCGCTCATTTCCTCGCTACCGTGCGAATTTTTACTGCGAACATCCTTCCATTCCATTCGAAATCGCTCCAGCTTGATATAAGATCCCAATGCGAGTTCTCCCTCATCCAGGAATCTGTGCATATCGGCCGAAAGCAGTGCTTGGATGCACAACTTGCCATCTCCTAGCAAGAGGTGAACGGCTCGCCATCTCTGAGACTTGGAGGTATGGACAGAATCGATACCCTCGACCAGAAATATTGAACCCGGGACGCAGTAGCCAGTTCGTAGAATGTCAGAGATAAGGGGGGCGGGCTCGAATGGCTCCGGTGTGATACATGTTATATCTGAGGTTTCATGGAGTGGAGGAAATGAGGAGGTCGACATGAATGATGGCTTACTTTGATCATGACTTTTTTAATTTTTACCTAATGTTTTTTTTCTTGAATTTTCAGAGTACCCTGGTGAAGACGAGGAAGAGGTGCAAAAATAAACGGGTGTGGATTATAATGTGTACCAAGGATAAGAAAGAAAAAAGACAGCATTCAAGTCGCGTCACGTCTTTTTGTCTACTCTAAGGTCCCTAACTACACAAGGTACTAACCTAGCTTACGTAGGTAGTTATGTAACTATTGTATTGTACAATACTGTAGTGGGATGGTGGGGCAGACGCATTGAAAAGTTGCGGGGTTACATGAGGGGCTACCAGTACCTTATGTAAGCTTGCACCTTAGTAAATCCCCCTTTTAGTACCTAGTACCCTAGGTTAGGTAGTACATAAAGGTTGGCCGATTCACATCCCATCACCATCTCACAACCGCCAGTCGCCTTACTGTGCTTTTTGATCCTTAAGTTAGACTCTTCCAATATGTAAAGCTTCCATTGAGCTTTTAAGAGAATCCTTTGTATCATCCCTCATTGGCCTTTTCTTCAATTCCTCCACGTGCGCCTCAATCATCGCTGCCATACTTCGGAACTTGAAATATCTCTTCTTGCTCGTAATACCATCTCCACGCCAGAAGCCATATTTGTCACAGTGGTCTTCATTCGGTGTCGTCTTCGAATTCTGGGCCGTAGGAAACACGGGTTGTTCCAGAGAGTCTTTGGGGCGCATGCTGAGGTGGTTTGGCTTCTTGAAAATAGGGGAGCTGCTCTCAAATTTCTTGCTGTTCACAGGAGTCTCCTTGATCGGGGAGCGTGGCGGTGATGTCATATCAACATCCTCGTCCAGCCCTTCGTCTTTGATGTGGGTATTGGAGGAAGAGCGGGATGCAGCCATTGTCATGGGACTTGTATCGTTTCTCATTTATGGATAATTTATCTGCAGTCGAATTGCCTAGTGTGATCAGGTCAGTAATGCAGCATTGTAGATGTTTTGTGGGCAATCGGCTCACGTAGTTTAATGGAACGGTTTCTCGTGCTGTAGATGGAAACCCTTAATCAGGTAGAGAGAATCGAGATTTCGTGATGATAATGTTGATATCGACGTAGGTAGGTATGCGCATAAGTATTTGCGTTATGTTCATGCAAGGAAGTGTCGCATAAAAACAAATGAGAAAGCCGTGACGACAATTTCAATGTTTTCACACTGATGTATAGGAATACACACTGATGTATGTAAGGATATATTTGTCTACCCTCTCATCAATAAACATGGGTATGCTCTAGATCACTAGACGCGAATAAAAAAAAAGTTAGAAATGCATGCAGACCTTAGGCACATAGGGGCCTAGGTATCTGACATTCTTAGGGTACCTTATACCAATCTACTAACTTTAAATCCATTCAGGGCTACCTAGGTAAGGCACTACTATCCTGGTTAGATCCATGGATGAGGAGATTTGTCCCATGATATACCTATTGTATATTATACAGGTAGTCAAGATTGTGTCTGACTCTTATTGCTTGCAATCCAGAGTAACATTCACTCCAGTATTTACATCACCACCGTGATCTAAGAGTGCGAATGTATATGACCCCTTCTCCAGCTCCCATTGACCCTTCCTGTTAATAATGCTCAGATACCTAGCCACTTCCAAGTCCATTGAGATCGTATATTCTTCACCGACGGGGATGTCGACACGCTTCAGGGACACAAGCTGTCTCACAGGCTGCACGATTGAGGATTTGCGTGATAAAGCATAAACCTGCGCCACGTAGCTGCCGTTGACCAGCCCAGTGTTCTTCACAGAAACAGAAAACGTAATTGTGTCCTCGACTCCAAAATCCACAGAGGATGTGCCGTTAACCATAGCTTCAAATCTCAAAACTTCAAAAGTTGTATATGACAATCCATACCCGAACCAATAGGCAGGAGAGGATTCTACATCCAGATAATTCTTCAAGTGCGCGGTTGGCTTGTAGTTGTAATACATGGGAAGCTGCCCTACGTGCCTTGGGACTGTAACGGGAATGCGACCGCCTGGGCTTACCACGCCGAAGAGGACATCTGCAATAGCCTGGCCACCAGATTGGCCCGGGAAGAACGCATTTAGAACAGCGCTACTTTGGTTGTAGTATTCTGGGATCGCGAAAGGTCTGCCGCCTTGAAGAATGAGTACAACTGGCTTCCCCAGTTTGTAGATTTGCTGGGCTAACTTGTCCTGTGATGGAGAAAGACCCAGTGTACCGCGGTCCCCGCCTTCTCCATCACTATTCCAAGCAGCGCCAATGGCCAATATAACGACATCTGAGGAGGTTGCTAACTGAACGGCTTTCTCTACCGCGTCACCATGACGGCTTACGAGGTTCCAGAACAATAGTAGTTGGGAGTTGATGGAGTTGACGTTTGCCACCTTCTTATATAGATTGAAGGCCTGGTATTCGATACGGATGTGATACGACTCCCCTTTCCTAAATGTAAAGGCTGCGGAGCCCTGTGGATGTAAGGTGCTATTAGCTAAGATGTAGTCGTATTCCAAAATGTTGCCCATAATATTTCCTGTTTTCTGGAGCCCGTCTACTCCATATTCAGTCAGTAATTCCCCGTCGATAAACAGTTTTACTGTCGTATTTGGTCCAATTGCTGCCCCAATCCAGCCGTCTATATCTTCATCGGTTGGTGAATGTAGCTCGCCCTCCCAAATGGCACTGAAATTATTAGACGGTAGACCCTCTGGTGGATACAGTCCCCATTCGATTGCCGGAACTTCTATTTTCTGTATAACGGGCTGGCTGAATCCAGTGTCAGAGAAATACGTCGCGGAAAGGCCTCCAAAGGTCCCATTGGATGACAGGAGATATGGTGGGATTATGTATTGCGCGTTATATTCCCAGGTATTCGTTCCCCAACTTGATACTACTTCAAACCCCTCTTTACTGGCGAACTTGAGAATTCCCTCACGGATAGTTTGAGCTGCCCCTGCTGGGTACTGCCCCCATGCACCAGAGTAGTCGCCATAATTTAGCGCATCGGAAAAGGGGCCAACCAGGGCGACTTTGGTAATATTCTGCGCTTGCGGTCGTATAGGCAGGGTATAATTCTTATTTTCGAGAAGCACAATGCTCCTCTGCGCGGCCTCTAGGGACAGGCTTTGATGGCTTTCGACGATCTTCTGGGGGTTTGTGTGTGGTGGAATGAAAGGGTTGTCGAACAGACCAAGGTCCCATTTAACACCTAGTATCTTCCGTGCAAAGACTTGCAGAGTTTCCATCGCCACAGAACCATTATTGACTAAGTCTTTCGTTGTCTGGAGCTCGTTAGCTTTATTCGTATCATTCAAAGATGAGCGGTGATGTTACGTTAAGGAAGACTTCCAGGGGGTAATCATAGAATTGGATCATTCCCCCGGCATTGAACCATTGCTGGATAGCGTCTGCTGGCGAATCGGCAACTTTATGGACTGATTGTAGTTCTATCATTCCTATAGTCTGTTCAGCCTGGAACACAACTTGTGTGATGTCCTAAGATTTCATACCAGTATCGTCGGCAACTACGAATCCATCAAATCCCCAATCGTCAAGAGCTTGATATAGCATAGGATGGACATGAGCTGGGATATCGTCAAGCTCATTATACGCCCTAATATGGAGTTAGCAACACGGCCACCTCTCAACTTGAGTTAGGTATGCTTACATCATTACCCCTTTGACCCCGCCGAGTTGGATTGCTGCCTTGAATGGTGTTAATAAGTCCTGCATCACCTGCCGATTACCATGGCCCATGAATGGAGCTGTGTTGTGTCCGGATTGGGGAGATCCATGTGCGGCAAAATGCTAAACATTGTGAGAAATTATCTATCGGCCATTACGTCAAATTGTGCCACATACCTTCACGACAGGAGCTACTGCATCCGGCTCGGACCAGGAGCCGTTCTTAGAGAGACCGGACGAAAATGCCACTCCCATATGTGCCGTTAAGATCTTATCTTCTCCCCAAGCCTCTGCAGATGTTTAGTGGAAATAATAGCTTCGGATACGCATGGAAGAAGCAATGCCTACCTTGCATACGTCCCCATCTGGTATCTTGACCGATATCCAGAACTGGGGCCAAGCATGCATGAATTCCAATCGATCTAGCCTCAGTCCCAATAGCACGACCAACACGATATACGAGGTCAGTGTCGAACGAAGCTGACAATCCTAGGCTCTGGGGAAATATGCTTTGTTTAAAAGATCCAACTCCATGGAGGCATTCCCCCATATGCATAAACGGGATTTTGAGTCGCGCCTTTTTCAAATTCAACTCCTGCAATGAATTGTAGTGAGAAGTGTTGACGGGATACCTATGTGACTGTGAACATCTATTATACACTCCACTTCTGAGCGTAGTGGGCATACCAGTCGTGCATTACGCCAATGGGCGAATCTGGGGTAAATCGCATGGTGAAGTCTACATAGTTACTTCTAGGTAAGTATTATGTAGTATTCAGAGCATAGGGTTAGGACCATATGGCTAACCATAAAGCTCATTCTTTGATTCGATGCCTATTATATCATCACCAAACATGAGGTGAAGCTGTAAAACTTGGCGCGCCATAGCTTGTTAGTCGATGACTTCCATATACCTACCTAGCAAGGTATCGCAATTGAAAATAACACACCAATGTCTTCAACCGTCATTTGGGAAATTATTCTATCTATTGTTGATTCTTTATCCGAAACGGTCTCGTGGTCGACATCCTTTCTCCGCAACTCTCGTTCATCAGCGAGCTCGACATTGTGGGCCTCGAAGCGAGGAACGGCCAGTAAAAGGAACACAAAGAGAAAGCGGTACCACATTATGGGTATTAATGACAAGAGTATTTAGATTAGGTGTCAAGCACGATAGCATTCAATTTTAATAAATGAATACTAGGTAGATAGAATCAAGTTGGAGCTGGAGTGTTCTATACAGTAGGTACTAGGGTAAATTCCTCAATGATGCGTGGAATGAGCTAGGGCTGGCGACGTTACATCCTCTCTGTACATTGTCGTGTCTTCATAATGTTACCTGGCGCTTGCCGATACTCAAACATGACTAGCCTGTAGTTGATTGCGGGGCGAGTGGGATCGTAAGTATCAATGCTACCGAATGCTTTTCTTCGTCTGTTAAAATACGGACTCAGTGACCCCCTTTTGAAGTCTTTCCAGGCGCTCCTCTGTTATCTCGAAGCATTCAGGTAATCCAGTATCAGCCCAAGAGCCACCTAGAATGAGCTTTGCTACTCCAGGAGCCGAAGTGAAAATCCTTGCCATGCCTAGGTAGACAGTTACACGTTAGCATCGAAATTCCACGGTCAATTGTTGATTGAGTAGGTAAATTGTTTACCATGGCCATTGAACCCAGCACATATCCACTGCCCAGGCAAGCTCTTTATCTTCCCCACAAAGGGTACAGAGTCCGCAGTCATCCCAACGATTCCCGTCCATGCATGCAACAGCCCTTCTCCATGTAGAAGCTTTGCCTTCTCACATGCTGGGAAACACTCCTCAAAATTCCTAATGGCATCTTCTTTCACCTCCTCGTTTATGAAACTATCATCCGGCAGTAGGCGACTGGCAGCTGCCTCCGGGCTGATGACCGGGTTCGCTATCGGAGCACCGAGGATGATGATTCCATCGGGCCGGCGCTGTGCAACAGAGTAAAAGTGTTTCAGTGTATGTCGAAGAGACATGGTACTTGGAAGGATGTTAGAAGAGTTAAGCGGAGCCGGTGGAACAAACGCGTGTGCCTGAGCGCGATTAGGGGTAATGAAGCTCGATAAGTGAGGGAGTAGATAAGGTGCGAATGCGTTGGTGCAGTGAATTACGGTCGAAGCCTTGGTTATACCTCGCGGCGTTGATAAGTCCCAGTAGGTTTGGGAAGCGGTGGAGGAAGCTGACTTAGCCACTGAAGTCACCGGACAATGAGTGAAGAGCCGGACGCCCTTTTTGACTGACTGCGTAAGAAGCCATTGGGCCAGCTTGGCCGGGTGACTTGAACCGGCCGGCCACTCATAGGCAGAAATAGCCTTCCCGACGCGAGTAACCCTCCATGCCTCCTCCCCATCATAGAACTTGATGTGTGAGACATCGCCGCCGGCCGCTTCATACTGCTTAAAACTTTCTGCGTTAAAATCGGCGAACTCCTGTGTCAAGCATACATCGAAAGTCGTTGTGGGGTTAAAGTCACACTGTACCCCATGTTTCTCTACGAACTCGTGCACTTTATTCAAGACAGTTCTCTCGTTGGCGATAATCTTAAGCGCCTGGTCTACGCCGTGGAGTTGGCGGTAAACTTGAAATCCACGGAACGCATCTGCATAGAAATTTTCAGAAACATACGCTACAGGTCAGGTATATGTAGGTAGATTTTATATTCATTCTGACCTGGTCGAACATGCCCTGCATTTCTCGAGCTCGCGCCACTCGCGGCTTCTCTCGCTTCAATAATAGTTATGTCTTCCGCCGGCACGCCTCCTTCGATCAGCTCATATGTCGTCAGAGCACCGGAAATTCCAGAGCCAATTACAACATAAGCAGATTCTGTAGGCACTGGCTCATCTCGATTAATGTTGAGATGAGGGAACGATCGGGTGGTTTGCTGCCAAAAAGATATACACGGTTCAGGTACCGGCAACCCAGGAATTGGTTGGGGCATAATTCTTACAATCTAAGCAGATACCTTTCAGTGCCAATATGTAAGCCCAGAATATCCCAGAATATCCTATTAGGACAACTCTGAAAGAGTACAGACAAAAGGCCGCCGTAGGATCAAAAGTGTCAACGATATCGCTGCGGGGAAATTAACAAAGTGGCCTAGATTGAACGACGACTAGTTCGAGAGGGGCCGAAGCCGCAACATGCCTAAAGTAGTAAACTTGATAAGCTCATACTTTGATGTGTTTAATCAGGATTACTTATCTTATACAGGAAGTAAAGTAGCTACATACGTCGTCGTCGTAGTAATTGTAGTAGTAATTAAAGATTTAAATTTCATATTTGTGAAGCGCAATGACCCCTTTTCCCCTTTCCCCTTTTCCAGACCTAGTAGAGAAGAGCACGCCGAAAAAAAGATCATTAAAGTTGAACTTTCCATAACTACCTAGGGTACCTAGTAGGTTACCTGCCTACCTATGCATGCATTTTAACCAAACGCCCACCTGAATTCATGAATCCAATGCATAGTCTCGTCTAAACTCAAAAGGCAATACCTATGCGTATACAATGCTCCCAAAATTCAAACATTTATTGCCATAAACTCGCTTTCCACCCTCCCTCCCTTCTTCTTCCTTACCAACCCCTCATGAACCCTCTCTTTCGTATCGGGGGTAGCACACCTTTCTCTTTCGGCACATGCTTCTTCTGACCCTCAGCTGCAGCATCATACACGGCATAGGACTCGGCGTTTCGTTCGGCGCTCCGCCTTTGGCGGTCCATCTTCCACCGCCCAAAGTAGCAGCAAACCGGGAACAAGGCTAGGTTAAGAGCGGCCCACGCGAAAAGAACGCCCAGGTTAAGCCCGATCTCAGAGTGTAGGTCGAACAAGATCTGCCGACTAGCCTGCACGATGTGGTGCAGCGGCCACGCGTATCCCCATTTGAAGAAGCCCGGCGCCAGCTCGATTGAGTTGAAAGAGGTCGCGACGTTGGTTATGACCCACTATTGCGTATAGCAGTTAGTATCTCCGAATAGGGGCATTTTTCGGTCTAGGAGTGACTTATGGAGGTGAATGTGGTGTGGTATACTTACGAAGATAAGCCACGCCGCAGTCCACGGCTGTCCAACGATTTGGGCGACGTTTTCACAGGCTATACCAAGGGCGTTCATGCCTAGGAAGTTGACCATCCAGTATACCACGAAGGAGCCGCGGCCATATGCCGTAGCATTGAACGCGGGTTCTGTTTGCGACGCTGGCGGTGGCCAGAACGGGATCTGGTACGCGAGCGACACCAGTGAGTATATGAGGGAGACGAAGAAGTATGTTGTGACCGTGGCACAGATACGCATGATAATAAGTTGCCAATAGTGTAACGGTGGATGGGCGCCTGGCATGACGAATTTCTAGATGACGAGGTTAGAAGGACAAATCATAACATCTACTTATCCTTGATCCGACCTGGCTTTCTCAAGGATGGGGGGAGGGGGGGGGGGGGGGGGGGGAATCTGCTCTGGCTTACCATGTGGATCGGTAGGAAAAACGCGAACGAGAAAAATGCTACGATGATGAGGTAGATTAGACCGATAGTGACAGCGGGCGTAGCGGTAGCTGGACCAAACGGCCGCAAGTCGATCGTGAGCGGCGTAACGCCAGGGTTTATGGCGGCGGGAACTCTTGTCAGCACATCGAGCGAGAGAGAATCATTCGTCATGACGCTTTGCGTCCACGATGGGCCGAACTGCGCAGCGAAGTTCCGCGCGATCGTCTGCAACTGCGGGACAATGTAGTTCGCATGTACGGTCTCTTGACGCGCCGACTGTATGATGAATTGAATAGCGCCGATGGGGTTGTATGAGGCGTTACCGGTAGCCACGGCCTCTTGGAGTAATGCCGTCGCGTTTGGGTTGATTATGATGGCAGCCCAGGCATGCCAGTCGTACACTGCTTGGCGCACAGCAATCGGGTCATAATTATAGTGTTCTGGTGGTACGATGGTGTACCCCAACGTTGGCTGCATGCTGCGCATCTGTTCCACTACATCTGTCACGGCCGGCCCTACGAGCGGCGTCACGTAGTCGTACGGGGCAACCTGACCATCGAAATCGACGACGTGGACTGTTATGTTGACCATGTTCTTGTTCACGTGGAATAGGACGGCCCAGTACATGCACAAGATGGCCATGATGTATAGCACAAGGATAAGAACTGGAGATCTAGATGTTAGACTTCTTCCTGTCGTGTATAGCTCGACATGATCTCAGGGTTCTCTGGAAGACAATGGGATACTAACGCATTCGAGCCCATTCATATGCAACCTGTTTACGGATACCTTGCATCCTCGGGTCCCAAAATCCAGTGCTCCGGTGTGGTTCTTCATAGCGACCTTCATCAATACGAACGTCATCGATAACATATGGATCGTCTTGGGGTATGGTGTTGATAGTGCTGTCGGAACCACGGCCAGCGTCTAACAAAAACCCCGGTCCCAAATAATCGGGTGAGCGCCCTCGAGCACGTCCATGATACGCACCACGATAGGGATGTTGAGCAGAGGCGATGACGAGGTTCGAAACATCCGGAGGATAGTTACGCGGAGGCATCTCTTCTGTTGTTGGGAAATCAGACTCAGGAGAGATTATCTCAAATCAGGTGTTTAGGTGCGGCTGGCGAATACTTGATAGCCTCATGAGGATCTACGTTTGCAGGTTGGCATGCCAAAATGCCGAGCCATTATCTTTATATTATGTTAGGGGAGTGGCTGGAAATAATCTCGCGTCCGAGGTAATCATATTATGCCCATGAGATTTCGGCGTTAGGCGCTTACTATTGGGATCAATGTCTATACCTACATGTACTAGCCCAAGAGGCTGTTAGGTGACTACGGCACTAGAACAAGTCGGGGTCATCAATCTCGCGAGTAGGAGAACCGCGGTGACATATCTGATATAATTGGTGATGTCACACGGTGTGGGCTAACCGGCCCGGATGTGGCGGGCCAGATTCCACAGCTATTAATGCGAGTATGTGTATTCATAGTATTGGATCATAACCTGATCATTCTTTGTTAATATATAGAGGACATTGCTAAACCTAAACTTCCCCAGACAGGTTCAGAAAGTCATGGTCACAAAGATCACGAAGAAATATGTTCAAAATTCATTAGTTCGTCTCTGAACATTTCGAATTTCTTTCGGAGATATTAACCTATAGATCGCCCACCGCCCGATTCTATGAAGCCCGAAGAGGCCCCCCCTTTTTCCTAATTAGGGGGCACAGAGCTAATCAGATCCATCAAAGCGATCGTCGCATTTACAGAAACCCGAAAATTGAGAAAGCCGAACAGGCGACGTAGGACAACATATTGGAAATGCACCATTCAGCTGTTTCGGGAAGAAAAAGAAAGAAAAAATAACAATAAGCTGATTAAGTTGAGCCAGCTTCAATGTATGTAAGACGGCTCGCTCTGCACATACATAAATACTACCTACCTAACCTAGTAGCAACAAAGAGCGCCACATCGGTTTCTTGGTTTTTCTTTCTCCGTCTTCGGATATTGGTCACCTGGCGTTGGCTTCAGGATTTTACCTAGGTTAGATAGTTACCATACTACTAACCACCGCTAAAAGGGGATGATGCCTAAATATAATATGTCGGCTTCCCGGTAGCTCGTCAGTCCCGGTACACATCTATACCTACACGCAGCAAGTCATTTGAATGCTCCGATGAAAGGTAGGAGCGGAGACACGAACTACGAAAGCCTCAGCCAGATATCCGTTACCTCGACCGTGATAATAGTCGAGTAAAGATCATGATAAGATCCACTGACTACCCCCTTCGGTACTGGGTATGCAGAGACAGATGCCTCATCTCTACCGGATACTTAGGAACCTTCCAGGTTTGTAGCCGAAGCGCTCGAGTGTTCCTGGGAAATTAGTGGCTGAATCACTTTTGTCTCGTAGGTGCTTATCGGGCATTAATGGTCCTCTCAGCAGATATAATACAATTTGAATGTCCATTAAGATCTTGGTCCATGCAATCCCTTCTTATCTCTTCTCACTTGAGTCATTCGCAGTTTGTATAAAAGGAGACATACTGTACCTACCGGTATACCGAAACTTGCATATGCTGACTATTACTAGGCATGTAGATATCGATATGTAAGCAAGGAGATATCCAGGCTGAAATTCTCACCAGCATTAGCATCAGGGTAATATCACGGAGATGTCGATGCAGTTAGTTAATGTATCGCGAGGTTAAATGGCTACAACAAACATACCACATGCATATCACGTTTGCTAACTACCTAGGTATGTATAAGTACTGCGTAGGTACATACCTAGGTACACGCAGTATGAGCCCAGACACTAGGGGGTACATATAATAATGGAGGGAGATAGATGATTGACCTAATAATGTCTTCCATTCAAAGGGTGGGACATTGGCTACCTACTTATATCTATTACGACTGATATATGGGCAATCCATCATGATGCACGATGCCATTCCTATCCTCCGTCTTCATAAATAGCGCTCTTCCGAAGCGCCTCGTAAACATCCTCCTATCCCAAGTCTCGCGACGCTAGAATCCAAGAAAGTGGGCTTTAAAAAAGAAAAGTGTTGTGTGTATGCGACGAATTCCAACCGAACTCATCCCTTTTACCATAATGCAACCTTCGCCCCAACTCCGGTAAGATACACAAATATCGCTGGCATTTGGGCTAGAGCCTACGCACCTAGCACTACTATAATCCGATGGAGAGCATGTCCAGTCTCGCTAAGACAGGCTCCAGACTAGCCGCGATACGCTCCACACGCTTCGCAGCAATGATAGCAGTGGTATCTTCTTCAGACGAGTCAACGAGGTCGATCCTAGCCAATGCCTTCTCAGACTCGATTCCGCCAAAAATGTCGACTGGGGTGAGACTATCGGTGTCCAACTTGATTGATTCTGATGGTCCAGAAATAGTCACATCATCATCATAAATATCCCCGTCAAGGTCGGCAACTCTACTGATCTCGGCCGAGTCGTTAGACTGTTCCGGGATTTCTGATGTTTCGGTAGACAGCACCGGTGATTCAATAACAGGAGCCTCGTCCTTCTCAGCATCGGGCGCAAATGATTCGCCGATCCAATTTGTAGATTTGCCGGCCAGAGCCTCAGTGTCAATAAAAGGAACGTCAGGCGTCTCTAGAACGGCAAAGACTCGAGGTTGGTAGTTGAAAGCATCTGAGTTCAGATTGAGCATCGAAAAATCCATTGTTTGCTCTGGCATCACGACCATTCCGATCTGTTGATGCTGGTGATTCTGTTGACCAGCATTGAAGGGATTGACATCCTTAGGAACCGGGCGAGATTCTGGCTGCCTTTGCTCTGGTTGTGCCTGTTGTTGTGGAGCTGCTGATGGGTTGGAACTCAAATGATCAAGAAAGTTAGAAAACGAAGGAGATGATAGTAGCATGCGAGTGAGATCGGATAGTCGTCGGTTCTCTTCCATCAATGCACGGTTCTGGGCTCGTAAATCGCCATTCTCGGTAACCTTGTTCGCAATTTCACTTTCAAGTTGGGTGATATATTCTGTCATACTGTTAGTGGACTGCTGCATTGGGGATACTATACTTATTCTTACCCTTTCTCCTTGAACGGAAGGCTCGAGCAGATACTTTGTTGCGCAATTGGCGTCTTTCTTTGCTGCTTAATTTCTTGCCCTCCTCGCTAGCCAGGAGTCGCTCGTCCTCATCCATATCATCCTCCTCCTTCTTGGGCCTAGGAAGCTGAAGCATAGGAGAGTTGTCGCTCCCATCGCTAGAGGTACTGCCAGCCTTGGACCTCATTGAATTTAGTAGCTGTGTTATCTTCTGTTCAACAATCGGATCAGAAGGCATAGGAGCCTTTGGCCGATGTTGCTTAACTTGCTGATTCTGCCTCTGCTGTTGCTGAATGATATGCTGCTGTTGTCTTTGCTGTTGCTGGGCCTTTGCTAGTGCAGCTTGTTGATGCATGCCGGGGTACATCCTTCCCACACTACTTGTCTGGCTCGGAACGATAGGCGATTGTAAACCCCGAGACTCGCCCCCAATAGCATTCGGGTTGACTGTAGGTTCGGGGAAGAAGAACGACGGATCCTGCTGGGAATCAACAAAGTCGATATCCATATCCCCACCGGTGCTCATGTTCTGCGACGGTGCAGTATTAAAATCAAACATATCATCATTGGAGCTCATGTCCGGCGCCATGTATTCTAACGTGTAGCCGGTAACCTGGGAGTTGTTGTTATTGATAGCCAGTGTGCTAGCAAGAGCACCCGGAACGAATGGTGTCTGTTGCTTGTACTGATCATACTTGTGACTAGGACCAGACAACGTCCGGTTTGACGGCAGAGTGTTCGGTGTTGAAGTTACCATGCCTGGTGTCCTAGCAAACTGAGACTTGTTGGTTCCGGCAGGAGAAGCTGATGGTGATTGATATGCCATTGCATCGTACTCGGTAAAATCCAACAGATCCAGAGGGTCGACGACACCCGTCGGACTCGTCGAGGATTGGCTTGAAGCCGACATGATGGGTGTTTCCTTAAGTAAGTGCGATTCCGTCCACTTTCAAAGACAGGAGATTTGACTTGGCCGATCGTGGCAAGTGCTGTGAAGTATTATATTAAACTGGATCCCGTCTATTTGATGGACATACAGTATCGTCGGTTGGTTATATGGTGTGTGTGTATGTATGTATGCTTGTGTGAGAGTGAGTGAGTGTGTGAGTGAGTGCGAGTTGTATTTGTTTTGTTAATCGTGATGATTTTTTGGTTGTGAAGTGTACAAATACAAAAGAGAAGGAAAGAGGGAAATAACAAGATTAGCAGAAAGCGTGGATCAGTTGGGAAATTTGGCTGTTATGGGTGCCTGGGCCTGGGTGCTGGGAGTTCTGGGGGAATTCCCCTTCTGAGTCCCTGTGAGGCCCAGTGTGGCTTGGCGAGCACTTGGCCTTGTCGGGCAGGTTGACAGGGGTATGGCCTTCGATTAAAGAGGGGAGGGACGCGTAAGCCAGTGCAATTGTTCTCCCCCTTCTCGGCCAATGGACCCCAACCGTCCTAAGACCGAGAACAATCCGCCCCGAGCCAATCAAAAGGCCCGCTTTTCTTGTCTTTGCGGTACGGAGGTACGGACCCGTTGGAAGCACGTTGAATAACTTGAATTGTATTGGACAGGTATTATACATATTATACATGTTATACATATTATGTAACATTGTACTCCAACGTTCAACGTTGTGAATTCTCGTTACCACCAATCGTTATACTGCAAAAGCAGCTTCGAAATATCTCCGCAGTTGTAGGATGACGACGCAAATCCCTCTACCCAATACATTGCTCTGATGGCTCCAAGGATTACAGGCAGCTCTTGACTGGCGATGATGATGACGATATCAAACACGACAAATATCAGAAGAAAAGCGAGTCGAAATGACCAAAGAAGTATTGGGCAATGAGAGAGCCACCATGAGAAACTGCCTACTATGTACATACAAAATTGTTAGCAGGGGTGTACATAGCACATTACATTTCATATCATTGATCCTGCAACAACCACAGTTTTTCGGCGACGGTAGCTGCCGATAGTCCGGGGAACAAGTATACATGTATGGATAATATATGTAAGGAACACCGTAGACAGTTGATGCTGTAACTTGTCAGCACCATGTACGGCATCATTGTATTAAAGTTATTGCTGCGGCAGGTGATGTTGTTGTTCACTTGAATTGCCGTTGTTCATGTGTTTGATATTAACGAATATGATGGCATAGATTAACATACCTAGGTTAGGTAGGCATGTGCATACCTATCGCCTTACCTCCAGCTCTGTCTGTATCCATTATTTTGGAAAATCCCTAGTAAAAACATGGGTGGTAAACGAAGATTAGCTCGTGGATTAGAACGATCATTGATCTAAAGAAGAACACAGCCACTACCCTTCATCTCACCACCTGCTGGTACCTAGACAAGCACATATAGCAAAGTGGCTGTCACGGTACTGCACTTCATTTGCCAACTCATGGATGTGTGTATAACGCATCACGATTATTAGCATAATAGTATGGTACCACACCTCAGAATTAGGAATCTTCTTCCCGAGTCTTTATTATGCCGTTCTATCAGATTAGGTAGGTGCATTTTCCCCACCTACCTGTTATGCAATTAGTTACTAATGCACTCCGCCCAGCACTCGAGAATTATTCAAACCAAGTTCAACGGTTGACCCCTATTCATTACCGATTAGGGCTTTAGCGTTTAAAAAAAAAAGGTTTAGCCACGGCAAGTCGGCCATGCTAGAGCGCCGACATGTATGGAGCTTACATACCTAACTAGTACCTTATTAACAACTAAGCGGCTAATCCTAGTCAGGGTTGGCGAGTGAGGCTTAGAGTTATCGAACTTATGTCTTCTCAGCTCGACAGGGATCTAAGTGTCTCTTTTGTACATGAAGTTCAATGTTCCCGAGGTTTCTCTACGCATTATCCTAGATTCCTAGGTACCCTAGGTAGCTCGGGTTGCTACCAAATAAACATAAGTTCAACCGTTAAAGGTTTTCACAGCCGTAACCCTAGCATTAATGATACAACCCTTAAGAGTCCAATTCAGTTTAGCTTCCGGTCATGCAAAATGAAATTGAAATGTCTGCACTAATGATATTCAATGCCGGCTCAGGCTTTGAGCTATGTACTATGTAGTTAGTTATGTACTACCTAGTATGTATTTTACTAGGTTACTAGGTAGGCTTGAGTACGTAATTAGTAGGGGTTAAGTAATGGCCTCGGCCTCCAAGTCGCAAAAATAGATTTATTGAGCCACCCATCCACGGCGATGATACTGTTTCACCTCATTCGAGTGCAGAGGTTAGCGGCCATAAAGCTTAAGTTGTGATAGTTGGAACTTTTTAGAGAAGAACACCGAGCGAAGAAAGTTTGACAATGCCATGCATGATATCTAGTACTGCATGCAGGCAAGGCGAATAAGTGGAGGTGCATATAGTTATCGTTGATATCACCCGATCGATCAATCATACCACGACAATAATTAGCTGTTTAACTTCCTCTCGCCTTTAAAACGTTGATTAATATTCAGTAGGGCACCCTGGGTAGCTTAAACTCAAAGCACCCCCTCGTTTCATATTTACATATGTACTATACCTAGATACCCGAATGTTTCTATGTAGTTATTGACAACTACACTAGAGGAGAAATCATTTCGCTTATGTAATGCGCTGAATGGTACAAATATCTCCTTTTCTATCTTTGTATCCCCCCTCCCCGCCAACATCCCCCCCTTAACCTTTCTAGATCTCGATCTCTAAGGTCAAAGAGCCATATTGTGTTGAAAATAGCCAAAGAAGTCCCGAGATACACCATTGGCTTTTCATCAAAACGACGATATCCGGTGGAGAAAGCAGAAGCCTTGTCAGGCATTCTCCTTTACAATCCAGGAGTTTCTATCAGGGGTTTCTCTAACAGAAACCATCTATCACGCTGGGAAGTATTCCTCGTTATGTCAAAAAGCATACGTCTTGGCGCCAACATATAGAGAGATCAGATATCCGTCGATACTGAAGGGTCTAGGCACTCTTTTCTCCCGCTGGCCGTCTCCCAGGACAACTCAACAAAAGCGTGCCTGGTATCAGCGATGATATTCGTGACATATCATATATGGAGGCATGAAGACCTTAACAATTCGAGAGTGGGTTTCTACTTCGGATCTTCAAGCTAATAGCTATACATAAGCTTTGGTGCACTCTCCTTGGCAGACGCCTTGTGAAAATTCGAGTTTCGGGCCAAGTAGTGCTAATAAATCAGGTACAAATACAGCCCAGAGTCGAGGAAGCGCCCAGTGAGACGCAGCTTATCACTTCTCCCTAGACTGAGTATATCATAAAAGGATTGGCTAGGAATATTGACAGTGTTTCCATGAATTCATATGTCAACAACTGGTTGGCCAGCTTCAGAGACCATAGAGCAAACTTGGCGTTCAGCGAATACGAAATCTGCCAGATGCTGAAGTAAAGGGGAAGGAAGAATAAAGAGGGGCAACGTACGGTGATTGCCTACTTCGTACAATCATCATTATTTTCGATTCAATTTAGTTCGTATTGTCATTAATAGATGATAGCATAAAGAGTATTTACATAGGTAACCTATGTGAGCAGATATTTACCTATGTCTCATTGCTCTAACTTGCCTCTTCATCATAAAAATGTCACACCTCACGTTGTAGCGTACTTAGTATTTATGAAGTTTATTACCGACTACCTACGGAATACGCTCAACGTACCGAAGCTAAAAGCCTTTATACACATTTACAAGCCCTCTCTTAGTGTTACCTAGCATGTATCGCATGGGCCGCCTATTGCCTATGACTGAGTAGAACCGCCCTATATTTACTTACCAAGTTGATCTCCTAGCAACCCCTACCTAGTACTCAAACGAGATGTTGTCGAATGCGCCTGGAGTGTCACCAGTGCAAGGCGTACATACTATCGCATCCGTGTGCATTTCCGCCGAGGTTCCATCTTCAAAATCGAAATAAGGATGGTCCATGTGAAGTTCTGAGGATGGGTTCTCTGAATCAACCCCGTTCATAAGCACATCGACCGCGTACGCAGCAGCAACGTCCCCATATGAGTCGGTAGCCGACATTAGTATCTGCTGTTCGAGCTGTGAACCCGGTGACATACCACCAAGCTCCGAGGCAGGTTCAGGGTTCGTCGCGCACTGGTGGTCCGGAAAATGCAACTCATATTCTCCTGACAAGTCTTGTACCGGATCTGAACCCGCTACATATACCGAGAATGAGCCAGCGGGCACTTCTTCGGGCGGTCTCATGAGTTCCTGAACGAAATCGTCAATCTCCCGAACGATACTTACATCCAGGCCAGACTCGCCGTAGGTAATGGCTGATGATGGCGGAGGGTTAAAGAAGGGAGGCTGGATCATACATCCAGTCGCCCCAGCAGTGACACAAGACATACACGGATACGGGCGGTAGCCTTGGCGAAAGGTGCAGTTTTGGTTGGTCATTGCGCAGCGCAGGCACTTACGATGACCTGGCTGTTCTGTAGGGCAACCCATCCTGATGCCACTCGCAAGCAGATTTCTGTCGTCCGTCGGGATGACACAGCCTTCTCCGACTAGAGCGCACTCGTAGCAACGGAAATCATGCATAGGATCGTTGGCTAGGCTTAGCTCGCAAACATTACCGCGCGACATGCATTGTGCGCAAGATCCTCCTGAGCTCATCGAGTTCGCCATTATCTCTGCTTTGCGGATTTGGAGTAAAAAAAAGGTGTGATAGAGCGGAGTCCTAGGCTGATAGGTGTAGCAGAAGCTTGGTTGCCTGAATGCTTGGTACCTACCTAAGCAAAGGACGGGCTTCGTTGTTGGGTTGTTTGAGTGTGGTTTAGGTAGGCAGGAAAATGGATTTGGACATTTGGACGAGCGAGTATAATATATTAATGCCAACAGCTATCGTGTTCCATTAAGCTAGCATCTTTCGACATCTCGCAGTTTGTATTGAGTTGTTTCATGAAGTGCTTGCTAACAATACCCATTGTCGGGTTACTATTGTTCTCCCCTTTTTGTTCCCCTTTTAACATGTGCCCATAGATCAAAGATTGAATATAGAACAAGGAGGAATTAAAGGGACCATAGTACATCGATTGTCTCACTTATCCAGTCACGCCCGCGTAGCTGTTAGATTCGAATGAGACTGTTTGTCAGTTCCCCCACGACTGAAATGGGCCACAGCAATTCTGACAAAGCAATCTATTATGCACCCCCCACAAGCTGCAGTGCGACAACAACCCAATCTCGGGAACGGGAGGGCTAAAACGCTTTCTTGTACGACTTAGGGCTGATAGGTAACATCCACCGGTCACCTCCCTACCAAGTACCAGGCCAATAAGCACATACGTGAGGCATTACCATGAAAAAGCTGGAATGGAATCTCTTCATCTATAAAATTCGGGTATATCGTATCTTCAAATGCTTAAATCATATCCTGGATATTCATTGCGCTTGGTAATCTGAGCTCGAAGCCCTTCCATCATCCCTGAAGCTCCGCAGCATGCTGGTTCGGTCTTGGCCGCCCACCCTCCGAGTACACTTCCGACGTGAATCCGTGCCCCTGTCCTGCATCTAACTCTGCGCCTCTCCCGGTCGCCTCCATTTCCGACGGCCCCATCGGTTTATAATACTCATATGGTTGGGGGGCAGGAGAGCCAACATAGGTCTGTGGCGTGGAGGGGAATGTTTGCGGTGTTTGCGAGTACGGCTCCATGTTATCGCCCGCCTGCGTTTTGCTGTTCTGCGATCGCCGGTACAGTATCACGCCCGCGACTAGGGCTGCGATGCCCACGGCACCGACGCCGACTCCTACGCCGAGACCAATTTTTCCACTTTGCGTCAGACCTGACTGCGACGTTCCGCTTTCGCTAGTCACAGACGCGCCTGCGGAAGTAGTCGTTGCCGCGTCTAAGATGCACGTTAGTTGAATCAGCCACCGTGGTTACCTAGTGATTAGACCGTTTGTACTAACCAGTCGTCGCTACGGGGGCTGAAGCAGATGTTGATATACGGGTTGCGCTTGCGGTGGCTGTGGATGAGGAGGTGACGGCTAAACCATCTATTAAAAAGGCCGCGCTTAAAAAGCCACCACTCTTCTGCGAATCTGTCGAGCCCGTTGCGTTGACTACTCGGAAACCGTATATTTCCGACGAGTTAGTCGAGTCGGTGGCTACCTCCCATTCATACCAGGTCTGTCCCAGGTTGGCTGTTGAGTTTCCGTTTAGCGATTGTCTCTCTTCCGAGACCTATAATAGAGCGTTGTTGTACAACCAACTTGACTCACATGCAAGCTGGATGGGCGAATTAAAGCTCCATCCGATGATTAACCAAAGGTTCGAGGTATCGTAAGTCGTATCCCAGCTAACGTTCATCGTCGACCCGACTCTGTATGTCGACTGCGACCCTCTCGGTTCGGTGAAGGAGCCATCGGCATACGTTAGAGCGGGCTCCCCTGGTCCTGGAAGATCTTGACCGAAAGCAACTGAGCTCAAAAAGATGAGGGTAGCCAACGGCCGAGACCACATCGCTATCGGAGTAACAGGCGAACGAACAGGCCAATATCGAGAGGAAATGGAATGATTATGACTATATATACTAGGTAGGTATACTGTATAAATCGACCGCGACACAAGCGGATAATAATGATGGTCAACAAACGAAAACTGACGAAAAAAAAAACCTGAAGGGTTCGGGTGCAGTGAATAGGTGGATAGGCTGGCAGGTACCACACTATGTAGTTATTGTGCTATGTAAATGGAACAGAGTTGGTAAAAGTTCCCGGCCCCAAGATCCTCTCGTCAGTCGTCATGCTACCTAGTAATTTACAGACTTCCAAGGTTCCAGCCGCACTCATGGGTGGGTTGAATTGGGACGTGCTAGCGCTTGATGTGCTCAATCTTACCTTGTGATAGGTTCGTTTGAGATATTATCTCATGGCCAAGTGTGAAGACCCTCCCATGCAACTAAATCCTACATCATCTGGCGGGAATTAGTAGCTAATTATTCCTAAAATACCCTACCTGCCCAGCCCAGTAGGGCTGGTAGGTGATATTGTGTTGGTATCGTATGAAGTACTTGTACGTTGCTGGCGGGCAATCACCCCATTGGAATCTTGAAGAGCCTTGGAGACTTTGGAGATTTCCCGCCCAAAGTTATATTTGGTGAGGATTTAACTACCTCGGTTTACTTAGTAATTCAGTAATCGTACCGATGAAAGGCATACACAGTAGCACTATGGACGGTCTGTCAATATTATTATTATCAGGGATCCATGTGTCTACAAGACTACAACTAACCTAACCTAGGGGTTGTCGGGGCTAAGCAGGCTGCAACAAAAGGAGCACCCTCCTTCGATTGGTCTAAGGCAGCAGCCAAATAGCATACGGCATAGTATGGAGGTTTGTTTACTTACCTAAATGCAGTAACTGTCTACCTAGCCAAGTGCTTACACTATTTAATAGTATATGTGAACAGGAGAATATGATTTCGCCCTTCTATGTTTCGAGCATCAATTGTATGTTGAATTTCCATTTTACCTATATATATGTCACTATAGGACTATAGGTTTTATATATGTAAGACCAACCTCAATGATTGAAGGAGCACATCGTAGCATCTACGATAAGTAATGTAGCGTGCCCACTGTATTATGTATGTACCTTCATGTATTTAGCCCCTGTTTAATCCACATCCATGGATATTTAATCTACATAACTATCTCTTACCAACAGAGTAGTAGTATAAATAGTCGTATCTTGTAAGGCGAATGATATGCCAATACCCTTGTGCCTTGTGGGTAAGTGTGGGTTATGTGTTACTAGGGCTGTTTGGAGACAAAACTAGCAGGTACCTTTAGTTAATGGTAGTACATACAACTTTTGAGTCAGGTACATGGATTTGGTATTTAGAAACGACACCATAGTTAATTATTAATTATTAATTAAACATCGACAGATCTTAACAACCTAATTATGTACATTATCTCTGATCATTCAAATTGATGTCTCTTCAATGATACTCAAACTCGTTTCGAACCATGCATATGTTGGATCTCAGCATCCAATCGAACCAAGTCCTATGCTAACTACCTACCTATATAACTAAGGCCTTCAAGGTGGCGATGCATACCTAATACCTACTCTACCTACATATGTAATTACTAATACTTGATATAATCTACACGCGTCTATGCGTAGTATACATATGTAGGCATGCAGGTTTTGTATTGTATCCAATTGTACCCCAAAGTTCCAACTTTTTGACCCCTGAATATACAATATACCTAATACTATTTATGGATTCCATAGAGGGGCTCATTCGCCCATTCTTCACCTTAGGCTAACCCCTACCCCAGCTACCTAATCTGTCCAACATGTGGTACATTGTGCATTGTGGGCAGTGCTTCTCAAATGGATGTGCTCTTTTTTTTTTTTTTTTTTTTTTCAATTCTTTTTTTTTCCTTTTGGTTACTTAATATTTGAGCTTTAGTGCGGCTACATACCTACCTTTAGTCTCATGAAGCAAGGCGCTTCAATATTCTTCCTTTCTTTGTTCTAACACGCGCGCGCGGCTGTTCGAAACGCCTGCTTGCATTTGCATGTTTTCGACTTTGACCCGCACTCGTTTAATTTCCTGTCGTTGGCTGCATAGTACCCCCTTCTTTCTCCCTGTACAACCACCGAGTCGATTCGTGTACCATGTTTTCTGCTCTGCCATCACTATTCTCGCGCTCCATAACTCGAGTGCTTGCTGTGGTCTTAGTATTCTTCCTTCTTCAGCAGTATCTCTACTTCCGCCACTCGGTCCCAGCTAGCCGGGACTATCTGAGCGGCCATACTCAATCCTCATGTGATTCACTGAAAGGGCTCGACGACGTGTTCGTCATCCTTCGGACAGGTTCCACTGAGGCTCCCAGGAAGCTGCCAGTTCACTTCACGACCACTTTGCGCTGCGTTCCCCACTATGGTCTCTACTCTGACTATGAAGAAGAAATTGACGGACATCATGTCTACAATACCTTAGACGAACTCGACCCCGAGCTGGTGGCCACACACCCCGATTTCGAATATTATCGCCGATTACAGGAAGGAGGCAGAGACGCCTTCACACCCGAGGAATTGGCACAATGGGCAGCTGCCAAGAACACGGATGGTGGCCGAGATAGCCCCTTTTGGAAATTGGACAAGTGGAAGTTCCTGCCTCTGGCCGAGAAGGCTCTCCGCCAGCGGCCTGAGGCGAAGTGGTATCTCTTCATCGAGTCGGATACCTATATACTGTGGCAAACGCTCTTGGAATGGCTGTCCTACTTCGATCCATCCAAACCTTACTACCTGGGCATGCAGATGCAGATAGGTGATATCATCTTCGCCTATGGCGGCGCAGGATTCATTCTCTCCAAACCAGCCTTGCAGACGCTTGTCGAACAGCGTAAAGCTAATGTGAAGATGTACGACGACTATACGGCTAGTCATTGGGCCGGTGACTGCATTTTGGGAAAGGCCTTGAGGGATTCAGGCATAAACCTCCTGTGGTCCTTCCCCACGCTCGTGGGCGACCAGCCCGCTGATATTGATTTCAACACCACGTTTGGAGGCGCAGACAAGCAACCCTGGTGTTTCTTTGCCGCAAGTTATCACCACCTTCCACCCGCTGAATATAGCAAATTTGCTGAGTTCGAAGCGATCTGGAACCAAGAGGTAAGTTCGTTCACATTCATAATATTCAGGAGAGCCCTTGCTGACGGAAAATAACCCTCACCAGAATGCTTTCCGCATGCGCCATCGAGATGTGTTCAGGTTCTATGACCTACCCCGTATATCATCTGAGGCTACTGATTGGGATAACCTATCCGACATGGAGCAGCCTGGGGTCGATTCTTTCGAGGCTTGTCGTAAGAACTGTGGGCGCCAACCCGACTGTATGCAGTTCTCTTTCTCGCAACAGTCTTGCAAGACATCCAAGGGGGTTATGCTTGGACACCAGGTGTCTGAGACCACCGGCGAACGAATAAAATCGGGCTGGATTATCGAACGAATGGAGGAGTATACTGAACGCATGGACGCGACATGCGGCAATAGAGATTGGATATTACCTTGAATACTTCCTAGGTTTCACTCACCACTGGCGTAAAATATATGTCGGTATCCCAGATCGCTATGTCTATCGCATCATCAGCCTGCAAAATACCACCTTGTTCTTGTGGAATTAGCGCCCAAATCTAGATTCTATGTCGAGACTAAGGTCAATGGGTTACGATGCACAACACTCTCCGCATAGCTACTCGAGCGACAACTCCATCGGAATTTGTCACAGGCTTCCCGGGACTGTGCATGGTGGCGCCGAACTCACGAGCCCGGACTCTCTCTTGTAAAGGATAAAACTAGCAGAGCCTCCGGCCTGTCACGTGTGAAGACGATCTTGCGAAGAATGAGGCGCCGTGTCTGGTTATTTCGCAAAGGCCCGACTTGAGCCACCATTGCAAAGGCTGCATAGGTATCAAGTCCCTCCCTCGTGTCCTAATCGACTAGGGAATGCAATGGCATCGATGACGCGGTAATGTCATATGAACACTTCTCGTATTTGTGGCGTTAGCAATTCCCAAAAGATAGTGTAGGGAGGTATATAGGGGAGGGAACACGACTTCATAGCCTACTGAGACGTACGATGCCCACATATGTATATAATGAAACCGTTACCAACCTGTACGTAGGTCTGGACTTCAAATTTGCAATGATCGCCCCTTGTACACTGGTATGGCACCGCGCCTAAATACTTCAATGCTTGTACTACTAGGCACGTGTGCACACGCCTCCGTAACGAGTGAATACCTAGGTAGATACCTACCTATTTATTCTAGGACAATACTTCCTATTTCATCGTGACATCTCAAAGCGTTCGTATAACAACCGTTGGCATAGTATTTACCTTTGGGTATAGTTAATCAATCCTCAACCACTAGATACCTACCTACCCATATGTAGGTAGGTAGATAGTCTATTAGTAATCATGTCAGCGTAAGCCCCCTTTCGCCAAATACTTTCATAGACCCCTCCGACGCTCCGATATAAGTGTAGCGTAGGGAGTCCAACTTAGTTCCCGTCACTTCAACAACCTTCTCTTCGCCCGGGACAAGATCAAAGCCATTGTCGCTGAACTTCGCCCCCCGAGTCTCTTCGAAAACAAATCCTTTTACAGGACGAGCTGCAGATACAACGACGGAGCTATCGGATAGCGCTCTCAACTCTACGCCCCGGTCTGAGAAATCTAAGTACTTCAACGGTTGTGGCCAAGCAATATCGGTTGAAATGACTTGGTCTTCTGTTTTCATAACAGCATAGATCACATAGGGGTCGTATTTCCCTAAATCGAAAGGCTGCGATGTATCAATAGACTGCTGGTCCGTAGCTGCTACCTCGACAGCATGGTTCTGAAAGACTTCCGTTGTGCTATTTGCCTGCGCAGTCGTTTTATCGAGCTTCAGAGAAGATCGCACGTCCTGGCCTGTGCGAATCGAGATGAACCGCACGGTTATGTCGACTTGGACGGGTTTTAGTCGGCTACTCACCACCCAAAGGTCGAATTTCGTATCACGAGCGGGGATAGTAGGATCAGCATGTCCCGCCGTCCACTCATGGTAGGTTCGTGATATTCCCACGTCTAGAGGCCTCAAAGCTCTCGCCATGGCATAAAACGCCGGTTTCTTGACGAGGTAGTAATCGACCACGGCCCAACTCATTGTCGGCCAACAGTCATTCAACTGCCACACTAATACGCCTCCACATTTTCGTGCCCCTGGCTTACCCCATTCACGGCGCCATGTCTTGTAGGCAAAGTGCATGGTCTCGGCTTGTACAATTTGCGTAAGATGTGTGTATGATGAGAGGTCATACTTCACTTGGAAGTTTTCTGCGACATAGGTAATCATCCGGCGTTCATGGTCGATGGCCTTATTGCGAAAATCCATCATCATCGAACCTGGATACCGTTGCTGCGGGTCTTTGATCATTCCACGTATTGTTTCGAGATGGGGGTATGCCTCCATACCGAACTCGCTAATAAACCTACCAGATAATTCATGGGTTTCTTGGTATCTGTTCATCGCACCATGCCATACTTTCTAATATTAGAGAGAGAGACGGAGGAAGGGAGGGAGAGTGAACGGCAAAATATTCTGCGACTTACTATTCCACTGATGGATATCTCCAACTGTCTTGTCCGTAGTGGGCTTCCCATCTCCCCATGGGCTGCTTGGATGGTATGCTACTAAGGGATCCTCTTCCTTGACGATTTTCGGCAGCAAGTACTCGTACAGATATCTCGCGGGAAAACTCGACTTCAACCACGATTGGGGATCTTTGTCCCCTGCATAGTCATAATGAAGATGATAGCGCTCTTGAACTTGATAGTCCTCATTATTCCCTGCCCATATGACCATACAAGGGTGAGATCTCAATCGCCGCACATTCTGTCTTGCTTCTTGTTCGACAGATTCCAGGTACGAGTGATACGTTGGGTAGCTGGCACATGCAAATTGAAAGTCGTGCCACACGAGGACCCCAAATTCATCGCAGGCGTCGAAAAAGGCATCATCTTCATAAATTCCACCTATAGTATTATTAGTACGCACTTGTATATTCCGATTGTAGTTGTATTGGCAACCAACCACCCCAGACTCTAATCATAGTCTGGTTCCCCTCAACTAAAAGGCGGATCCAATCACGGTATCTTTCAGGGGAAATTTGAGATAGAAAACTGTCAGCTGGAATCCAGCAGGAGCCGCCAGAGAAAATGTCGTATCCATTGATTCGGAAGTAGAAGGACTTTCCAAACCCATCCTTCTCTTGAATTAATTCACTGCGTCTAAACCCGATGAGCTTAGTTTTACGGTCACCTGGCTTGAGGGTTGCGTTCAGTTCGTAGCGGGATTGAAGCCCGTGCCCGAATGGATACCACAATTCTGGATAATCCACCTGGAATTCTCCTATCCCTAATCCGTCAGAGTTGACAAGATATTCTTTCTCCCAAATCACCTTGCCCCTTAATGAGAGTGATATGCTGACCGGCGTAGATGTTGTACCGGCGACTTGAGCGTAGATACGGCCTGAACACGTCTTCAAGTCCTCACTGATTTCGTATTGAATCCATATATCATCAATTCTGGAAACATACTGCTCGAGGTAGACAGGTCGCCATGGTCCGGCCGTCATCAGAATAGGACCCCAATCCCAACCCCAATTGTATTGGGCTTTCCTCACTGGAACTCTGCCGACTTCTGTTTGACGTACGTAAAACGTATGCTCATTGCTGTGCTCTTTCACCAGCTCCCTACCGCGCAGCAAGGCTGATTGAAAGATGATTTCGAGTAAGTTATCCTCTTGAAGCAAATTTGAAATGTCTTTTCGATGTGATAAGAACATATTATCCGATTTGAGGATTTCTTTCCCATTGAGGAGAATAGTTGTAAAGGTATCTAGGCCCTCGAACACGATGTCGGTAATACTCGATGGGCTTGCTGTGAATCCAACGGGCTTCTTGAAATGGACCCTGTACGTCCAGTCTTTCTCGGCAATCCATTGCACAGCCAGCTCGTTGAGATCAACGAATGGGTCTGGGATCCTGCTGGAAAGTAAGCCCTTGACTTCACCTTAAGTTAAGCTCTGATGTAGCTGAGGGTTGTCTAGAAAGAAAGGGGGCCTTTTCTTTACTTCTTGTTCGCGAGGAGATCAAGATGGACTTGAGTTGGAACGTTGTGGACGGGTAGCCAGTCATCGACTGATGTGCTATCGGCTGGCCGAACGGACCATCCATCGTTTAAGTTGTGTCTTATGAGAGCCATTTTCAAACGGTATGCAATTTAGTCCGAAATTGACAGATGCGCATGATTGTCTGGTAGAACGCAAGTTACTGTTATGTATGTACTATCTACCAGGCACAACTCGGTGAACTTGGATGTTGATGAGTTAGGGTAATGAACTCGACTCTACCTGACAACTTGAAGTATATGTACCTAATGCTGTTTCCGGTATACGGAAGATTGAAGTTTAAACCTTGGTGCGGGGAGATACCTGGGTTAGCATTTACTACCCTACCTACCCTAGGGGCAGGTAAATAGTTGATGTATCCATCGCATTCAACCGCATCAGGGTTTCACGATGTTACATAGTCACTGGTACTTACCTAACCTACACAAGAGGGGAGGTACATACATGTATGTAGGAAAAAAGCTAGAAAAATGAGGTTTCTATTATGTACCCTAGGCACATAGTAAGAGCACTGAGGGTAGTTATCCAATTACCCACTTGATCGTACCTCCTCTCATGCTCCCGCTGTGGCTCGAGCTACGATTTGATTGGCTGGCATATTAATCAAGCTCTTTTACCATCAAATCCCACCATGGTTGAATGCTAACAGGGTAGGTACGTGTGGGGCCATGTGCATAATTCTTAAACTTAATCTACCTAACCTAGGTACATAGATACCTATAGGTCATCTTGGAAACTAACTGATCTTTGATTGATCGTAAACTTACTCATCGTAATAACTACCTGGACGGCAGCGGCTTATTTGTGGCATACTTGTCAAATAATCCGGGATGCGAATAATTTTAAGCATCCAAGAGTCACCCCTGCTCCTATAAGAGAATGACAACCTCGAACAATCTAATACCTAGGTCTATGATCACCACCCATATCAACGCGAACCCCCCTTTTGCCCCTAGTGGCCCTACATGTAAACACCTCTCGTCAAGCCTCAATTTACAGTTACACCGCCGTAAGCACCGCCCTAAGATGCACCTCCCCACGCCTCAACCTCCCAACCGCCTCCCTAATCCCCTCCTCCGTCAGCGGGAAAACCTCCGTCACAGGCCTGATGCCGTGCAGCGCCGCGAACGCGAGCATCTCGCGATGCAGGTTCCTCGGCGCGACGAGGGACCCGCGCACGGCGATGCCCTGGAGCACGAGGGGCATGTACGGGATCTCGAAGTTGCCCTCGGCGACGGAGAGCGGCGCGATGACGGACCTGGGAGCCATGATCGGCAGGATCTGCTCCCAGTCCGGCTGCGCGGACGTCGTCACGAGGAGCCGGTTGATCGGCGACGAAACGCGCAGCGTCTTTTGCCCCCGGGTCGCTACGAACTCGTGCGCGCCGAGCTTCAGGGCCTCGTCACGCTTGCTGTCGGAGCTCGACAGGACGATGACGCGGTTCCCCATCTTGGCGGCAAATTGGATTGCTAGGTGGCCGAGGCCGCCTAGTCCCATGACTGTGGCATACGGCGTTAACAAGCAGCATATAACATGTAGATAGGTAGGTAGGTAGGTAGGTAGGAGACTAACCACCAATCGTTTCAGTAGGCCCGCCCTCCGGAGCCCGTAGAACGGAAAATACGGTAGCCCCCGCGCATTGCAAAGGGGCCGCGTCGACGTCGCTCATGCCCTCCGGGATCTGGTGCAAGAAAGATTCGCGCATGATGGCGTGGGAGGCAAAGCTGCCCTGGTCGACGTTGGGAGAGCCGTAGATGGCGCGGTTTAAGCAATACGTCTCGTTGCCTGTGAGACATTGGTGGCAGTTACCACAGCTATCATGCTCGTACCCAAAGCCGACGCGGTCGCCTTTCTTCAGGAACTTGGAGTCCGGGCCGACGGCCTCGACGATGCCAACTCCTTCGTGGCCAAGGACCATGTCTTGGTCCAGCTATCGCTTTGTGTCAGCTACATAAATCTGGAGGGGGGTTTGTAAGTGAGGTTCCTACTAACATAGTGAAGATCTATTTTGAAACTGGTTAGCCACTGAAGGTTTTCGAGATAGTAATGACATATAGGTACTAGGTATGGACGGAGTACTTACCGGTACCACACAATCCCGACGCCGTGATTCTTACCAATACTTTATCACCCCTCAACTGATCTGGTCTGGGAGAAGAGCTCTCCACCACCATGCCGCCCTTCGATCCCTTGAAGACTGTAAAGGAAGCCATCAGATCGTTGTTTAGGGGGTTCTAAGTAATCGCAAGGTAGGAATTGTAGGTAGTGAAATAATTTCAATTTTTAAGACTTTCGTATTCGTTGTACATATGAACTTATGTGTTGATGCTGGATCCGATCTCACATTCCAACTAACATCTTTCAAAGTTATATCTACATCTTTATATACTCGACACGATCCTCCAGTAGGTATTCATGCAAAGCATGCCCATTGAAGCCAATATCTCATCACAGTCCTGTCTCACTAATCAAACCTTGAACTCCTTTTGCTCCAAAGCCTCATATGGCCATATCGAAGCAATCCACGAGTAGAGTCCGGCATCGAGTGACGCAATGTGCTACTTTGATAGTTTTATATTTCAAATCTGGAGGCATGTGAGTGGCACGGAATATTATCGGGCTTGCCTCCGGCTATTTTGCCATCGTTGCAATTGTAATCAGACAGGCACATATCTAGATCTCGCCGGCGGGGATTGGTTGGATCCGGGGATACTGACTCGGAGTCTCGCTCGTTTACTAAGCGTAAGCAACCAACGGGATCTCTGTGGGGGATACGGCACCTAACTGCACACTCCGGTTTCTCCTTTTGCATAAATGCGACAATTGTCTACTACTACTAGGTACATAGGCACTATGCATTCAATCACTCCAGACTCTAGAGTTTGATAGATACCTATGGGCGATGCTAATTCGTAATGCCTAAGCTAATACGTAGGTATGTAGGTACATAGATGTAGATGAGATTCTCAATTGGTATGAATGTATCAAAAATATCAATGTGTTCTAGACGTATACCCAAGTTAATATTGTCAACCGGTATTTTGATCCCCCGCCCTGAACTCCAGAGCTGTCTTTGCTCTGAAGGCCCATAGGGCAATTTTGTTGAGAGTCTAGTTATACAAGCAACATTGAAAGCAAACAAAACCGACCGCCATATCAGTTTTCCTATCTTACGCCTAAAATTCCCCAGAACACCACGAAATCTGCATGCATATCGCCAATACCCAAAAAAGAAATAAAAGAAAGTCCTCCCAAGAAACGATTAAATCAGATTTTAAATGCTTACCCTAGAATCTTGTCGAGTCATAGTGGCTGCTGCGGAAATGTCCATTGGTTTGCGAAATCATTGTTCATGTTCATATTCATATTCGGCCACATTAACAGGCCGAAATCTTGCGTGTCAACAGAAAACGCCATATCCATCGGGTCTGCAAACATTCCCTGCATTGGCATGATGGTCTCATCACCAAAACCCCAAGTGTCTGCTGGTGTTCGTGGTGCAGTGCCACTGCTATTAGTAACAGTCTCGTCATCTGAAGCCCCCCAAGTACTTGCAGCTTGTGGCACACCCTCTACACCCTGTGGTGAGTCTGGCTTGCCTGGTGACTGCTTGGTTAGCATGTCGGCTTTAGCACCAAGGTCACGCGCAATAGCGGCCGCACTGGCCGCAGTGGTGAGACTCCTGCCGAAAACATCAAAGACGGTGACGGAGAGATCAATGGAATCCCTTGCCTTAGGTGCTGAGGGGTGTTGCGGATAGGCGATGACAAATCCAATAAGCGACATGGTTGCGTTCCACTGCCACTGAAATGCTTCATGCCAACCAATGAGAATGGATGTCGACGTGAGTACTTGGTGCATCATGCGCGTTAGCGCGATGGCGTGGGCGGCGCATTTTGCAGCTGTCTTATCTGCTAGGGGAGTAGGTGCCGTTGATGTCGGGGCGAAACGGATAAAGGGGCGGAACAGATTTATGCATAAATTATGATACATAAGCTCTAATAGTAAACGTTGTCGCTGTAGCCATAGTGGTGCGAATTGTTCGATGTCGAGTGAAGAAAAGTCGGTGGAAAACGGAACACTGTGATCGCAGCGTTTTGTTTTGAGAGCATCCGGTACGCCCTTTATCCAATGATCTAGCTTGCCAGCGAAAGAGCCCAGGTACTCTGCATGAGACTCGATTATATTAGAGCCGTCATCTGAGGGCTGGTCATCGAATACACTATTCGTACCCAGCTGCTTCTTATAAAACGCTGTATAAGCCGTTCGCACCGTCAAGAAAAGTTTGATCGTCTGAAGATTGAAGGTCAACCAGGTAGCATCATCTCCGAGCGGGGCAAAGACAGAACCCGATAACACTGCATTTTCTCGGTCGTCTCCGGGGAGGCTACATGTGGTATCGGAATGGTCTAGTAAGAAGGGACGGCCTAGCTTCATACTGATCTTACTATCCGATATATAAAGTGCCCACCACAAGCGCTTTCGCATTTCCCTTTCTCGCTGTGGCATCTCCTCGGGCGGTTCTAGATGAAGACCAAGCATATAAGCCGTTCGCACAGCGAGCGTACACGTGCTGTCAGACATGTTCTGGAAAGAACCCCAGCAAAGGTATACAGTGCACAGGATGTGGCATTGTAGGGTCAAGATGGTAGGGCTTTCTAGCTCGTTCGTCAATAACCTTTGACAGCGTTGGTAGTGCCAGCGGCCGGCGATGGTGGCATCGATATTGTCCATGTTAGGACATGTTGTACTGTTTCCCGCATGCCCAGACCCCGCTTGTAATGACATGCCATGCTGCATGCTCAATGCGATGACAATGTCGACAAGCGCGGAGGGCTTTCTCTCGCTGCCCGGTGCAGTCCATAGCGATTGATAATGCTCTTTGAATGCGACCTCGTCAAGGACCGGAAGTGAGGTGTGGAAAGATTGCCAGAAAAGACTGATGAAATACTCTTCTTGTGTTGGAGTTAGATAATCGCCTGTAGTGGCTGGGTCCCCTCCCGTTGGAGGAGTCGGTCGATGGCCCTGTTCTTTCGAGGTAGATTGTGTTGGTCCGTCAAATAGTTTATTCGACGTGACGGGAAGCATACGATTGATCGAATAAGTTTGTCGAAGGGATACGTTTAGGAATGTGTTTACGCGCCTGATGAAGTAGAATAATGACGATGGACCGTACCAGGTCTCTTGCTGGGAACGTGCAGTACGGATGTGTATTCCTTCCCGCAACCTCTTTTTGTCCGTGTTACTTCCATTGCCACTTGAACTTCCCGGCCTTGAAGACCTAGACGAGGCCAGGCTAGATGGTGTGGTGTGAGGAGTGTCGAGTCCAATATCTGGTTTCTGTGTCTTGCGCTCTTCCTGGAGCGCTTGCTCTAATTCTTTTATTCGGGTTTCTAACTGTTCGATTTTTCGGTATGCGTGAGGAAGCGTACGTACTTCGATTACGCCTTGGTTGCATTGCCCTTTTCTCTTTCGACAGTTGGAACACGGGAGGTTATTGTCACATTTGATGCGGTGCATACGACACCAGTCACAGGCCCTCGCTACCTGACTCCGTTTCTGTCGAGGTTTGGCGGCTTGGGGAGCATCTGTAGCCGCGTTCGACTCGGATGCGCCTGAAGAAGTCCCAACAAATGTGGTATACATTTCTAATGGGTGTGAAGATTGGTATAGCTAAGATGTTAGTAGACAGGCAAGGTGCATGTGGCTGTTAAATGCGACCATTAAAACGGTGGCCAGGAAGCGAAGTGAAGGAGTGGAGCATCTGTGATTGCCATTTCGGTCTGAATGTAGTTTAGTGACGATGTGATACCCTACATAGTATAGGTAAGAAGGCGATATTTATTTTCAAGGGAGGCAAGACACTTCTGGATTGGATTTTCAGGAAGAAATATCAACTAGCCTAGGTAGAGCAAGGTGGAGCTACCTAAGGTTAGTAACCTCCAGTAACCTCCTGTAACCTCCTGTAACCTGGAGGGAGGAGAAGTGAAAATGCTGGAGTTATTTGTGCAATTATTATACTAGCGTACCTACCCTGGATATCAGTACCTAACTACATGGTACTATGATGTATCAATATCGAAGCATGTGACGCAACATTTGTTCGACTTTTTTAAAGTGGATTAGTCATAATAGTTAGGTACAGTAATTGATGTATCAATTGATTAGAAACAGTTAACGCCCGACGTTGCATGCATCCAGTATCCTCTCCTTGTACTATGTAGGCCTGCCCCTGATATGCTCTCAATGCTGCCTTGAGATGTCACATCGAGTACTTATCGCAATTAACCATAAATACTGTTAGAGGAATAACTCAATTCATCGTGGCAGAGCTCTGAAGATAGGTATGTAAATTATCCAGACCTTCATCCATAATTTGTGGCTCCTGGTTCGCCAGATTGCTGTTTAGATACATTCGAAATTCCGCCATCCTCTTCTGAGTCGTCGTGATGTCCGATCCTAACCCCCAGTTGAGTAAATAAACACAATACGCCAATATGTTTGAATTTTATGTGCGATTATCTCTCGACCCAAGTATTTAGTGAACCAGTGGACGAATAATTATGACTATATGCTGAAGGGCAATGAATTGACGAAACCAGTCCCTATATCAAACCCCCCAAATAGATCTGGAGTGCCAAGACTGACTGCGTATGCTTGGTGGAATGTTTTCGGATGAAGAGGCATTTTCAGCTGGCGCACCATACGGTCTACATCCAAGTATGTTAACGGGTCATTACTTGGCGATGTTTTGAATGTATCTGGGGAAAATAGTTTAGCAGAGTCTTTGACATAAGCGACAATAGGTATCTTACGGATGAGCATCTTGGGAAGGGCCCACATCATAGAGAACTGTTCCAAGAATAACAACAAAATGTTCTCGGCCTGAGCCAGACTAGGTAATAACGGCGATGTCGCGTCAACGATACATCTGCGATGCAAATTGGTAATCCAGAGAGCCACAAATGCAATTATGCAAATTGCAGGATCAACACGGGGTGAATATTGGTTGTTCCACTGCTCCACCACCGAGACGATATCCTGGCAAGCCTCGAGGGTCTGTTGCCAGCAATCAAGCCACTCAGCTTCGTCAGCTTGGATGTCGTGTGGTAAGTTTATGAGAAGACGAGTCATGTGTAGGTGCATCATATTCGTTAGGCGAGCATGGTGCTGAAGTCCCAATTCATCTATTAATACATTGCGGACAGGGTTGAGATATCGTGGTGGTAAAGCGAGTCGTAACGAAGCAAGATTGCTCTTCAAGACTTCGGTCTTGTGGTTAACTGGCTTCTTCATCATTCTCAGCCGTAATAGATTCCCGGCCTGCCGTAGAATGGTAGTGGTGACAATGTGAATGTTAAATTCCCTTGTAAAGCGATTCAATACAACGTCCTGAGCCGTTCTCCAAAGCTGATCTACTTCGTCGGGTAAGAATAGCTTCGGCGACTCAGGAGCTCCATCATCCGTTGTCGATCTTCTGACAAGCGCCGTGTTGATGCTCTCCAAGTCAACTACAAAAGGGGCCCCCAATGAAATATTGGAGTAGGAGTCGAGACAATAGAGACACCACCATACATATCTCCAGTCTTCAATCTCATCTTCGCTTGCTAGTTCGGCATCATAGGCAGAACACAGATCAGGATTCTCAATCTGGTTGAGCCCCATCGCATAGGCCTTTCGTGTCAAACGGCTGATCCTCATCCAAGCTGACGGCCCGGGAAACTGATGGAACTCATAGTAGGCCAGCAAACATCCTTGCCTAAGAAGGTCTAAACTGACCTGGGAACTTGCTGAATCACTCTCGTAGGCAGTCGACGCGAGTAGTGTGCTCATACATAGATCTATATCTTCCTGTCGCCAGAAATTTATAGGACCTAGTACCTTAGCTGTGATCGTGGCCATGGTTATGACCAGATCGCTTGTGGCTACACCATCATCGTACAACTTGAGGAACTTGCCCTGTTGAAACATGGGGATCGCAGGATGTACATCATCAAAAAACTGCAGCAGACTAACCCAGTCTGTTAGAGTTTATGATTCTAGAGTATTGACAGATATGCGCTCAAGACTTACAGATTTCTCTCTTGGGAAGGATCTAAGTGATACCCTGGAAATCCGGATGTAGGTATGGTCAGCGTTGGATACTGTGAGAAATCCGCGTTCAGTTCATCTAAACTAAGCATGGACTGCTTTGAGGTAGACGCCCCGTCAAATGAGATCGGCTTATCGGAGGGATGCGACTGCAACGACCCTTCGGCCAATAAGTTGTCGATGATTACCTGGCCATCGTGTGAATCGTTCAAACTAGGCTTGGCCGCTATAGGGAGGCGATGCCTCGGCCGAGCACCTCGCGACGGACCAGGCTTTCTCTTCTCCCTGGAATATTCACAGGGGCAGCTAGCTTCGGAGCAGCGAGAGCATTGTGGCCGTTGCAAATCACCTACAACAAATAAATGATATTAGTTTACTGATGGGATCTTATGGTTTGAATTTGTTGCTTCACACTTGACTTTTTTCCTATGTAATACATTAGCACCTTTGTCATTGTCACGATTCACCTGCAGAGACCAGGACCAAGGCAGATGACGTACCTAATACACCGATCACAGACGCGACTAGTCGGTGGCATGATTATTGGCTGACTGAGCGAATGATAGAAAAGCAACACAGATTGGATATACGTATTATATGGTTAATTGATGAGACTGGGGACGTAATGATCTTGCATCAGATAAGTAAAGAGAGTATTTGAGGTTAGAATGTTTCTGTTTTCGTTGAGATGCTTCAACGTTACATATGTACATATAATGCATACTTGCATAGGTAGGTAGTACACAGTACTGAATAAAGGTGCTATACGCATGTACCTGAATCTGCATCCAGTGACCAAGAGACAGTACTCGGTACTTAGCTGGTAGTAGGTTAGAAAGTAGGTACTAGAGATATAGATGAATAAGGTAGGTAAAGGTAGGTAAATAAGCATAAACATTGAAGTGCATTGTATATCCTCACCGCTACTTGCCATATACCTTGTACATGTACAAGTAGCATTGATTGCTTGTATTGCTTCGGTACATTTTCTTGTAGGTATACAATACCTGGGAGTTGCCGAATCCCCGCCCTTTCCGCCCTGAACATTGAGTCTCAAGTGCTTGCTTTATCGTTGCTGTGATTGATTGGGGTGGGCTTTTGTGGCTGAACGGTGTTGTCTGGTGTGGCGTTCCCCACTAAGAGCACTGCCATGTGCCATGTGCCAAATGTAAAATGTGCACTGAGCTTCATTCCAGGCTAGGCTACTAGGGAGTACCCCTTTTCACTCTTTTCAATCCCCCCTTTCGCTCTGGGTGGAAAGACTTGGTGAGAGTTGTAATCTATTCTCGACTATTCTCAGCTCTTCGATATAAGATACATAAGATAATAGACGATATTCTGATATCTATAGTAGAGTCAATGCTTACCTGCTATGTAGGTAAATGTAGCCGTGGCACAGATTGACGCGTAGGGTACCTACTGGGTGTTACGCAATTCAGCTGGTCTCCTAAAAGGTAGCTCCCAAACTCAAGTCGAGTTGACACGAAATCTAGGCCTTTTTAAACCATTTGCTATTCGAAAAGCTTGGTGTACTGAATGTACCTTGCCCTTCCGCAAGTCGACAGAATGTCCGCGTCATATCCAATACATTCATAGGTGCTCAGTTCATGTTACTTGCCATTACTGAAGTGTCCCATGCTGACGTTTGGCAGTACCTAGTATGTGGCTTTGAATCACATCTGCATGTTCCGTTCCCATAATGCTTTGGACAAGAACAAATGATGAAGTCGTACAATTTCTGAAGAGAAAACTTATCCTTATAAAACGTACCCTACCAGATTTGGGCTATACAGTTCTTTTTCAACGTACCCAGTTTATAATATGCTGTTGCCTGGAAGTTTCTCCGCGGAGCAATCCTGGTGCTGCACACGAAGAGCCACAGTACGACTGCGTCGTTTGCTTTACCAATAGGTAAGTCTGTAAGTTATATTTGTCTCGATGTGGTTTGGGCGGATACTTTCAGGTGGCTGGGATATGAACAGCATCCGAGGCCCTGTAGGCGACTTATTGCTGTCGGACGAGTTTATATAGCACACATCTTGATGAAAATCTCACGTTTTCAGCCTACTTTCTACTTGATGTCTCACGTATCAAAATGGAGAAAACAGACGTTATCATTGTAGGTGCTGGCCCGTCGGGCTTAGCAATAGCACTCTCGTTGGCTCGGTTCAAAATACATGTATGACAGCAATTTCTTGAAGACGTCATAATCAACCGACTGACTGATTTCATAGTCCGTTATACTGGAGAAGGACTTGGAGATAACGAAGGACCCTAGAGGTGTGTATCTTGCGCACGACGCTGTTCGCATCTTGTGGAATCTCGGTCTCGGCGACTCAATGGCAGATATCGGCCATGGTAAGTACCTCATTATAACCTCCATAGCCTGGATGCAAATGGCAGTAGTTTAAAATCAAGTACCTGTGCTGATAAATTATCAATCAAGAGCCATCTAAAATTAACTTCCACAAAACTTCGTTTGTAAATGAGCCCTTCCATGTGGCGGAGTTCGTACACGATGTATTCTGGCAAACCGTCCCCAACGCCATCCTTCATATTCAGCCAAGGTTGGGTGAGATGATAAACTCCTCTCCAGGTTAAACCATCCCAAGTCTAACCTAAATCAAGAACATGCCATGCGCCAGAAAATACTCGAATCGCCCTTTTGCGAATTGCGATGCGGATGTACTGTTGTGGGGAAACAGCAGGATGGCGAGGACCCAATTATCAATTATACGGACGAGAACGGAATTTCCCAGGTCCTTGTGGGCTCGTTCGTTGTCGGTGCCGATGGAAAGAGAGGCGTAGTACGAAAAGAATTTCTGGAGCAATCAGCCGGAATCAGGCAAGTCGACGACTCATACAAGTATGATGGAACATGGGTTGCCGCCAACCTTAGGATCAGACTTCCAACACCGGAGACTCACCCTGATTTCCCTCTTTGGGAACTCGGGCTCAGTCCCGAAGCTGTTTACGACCTCTTCTGGCCCAAAGGCTGGCATTTTTGTACACCACCAGGAAAGCCCACAGCAGCGGGAAGATTTGGCCCTCACCAAGAACGCATGTGGCGCCACGAGTTTGCACAGGAGGATTGGGATGATTCCATGGATTCTGAGAAGCTTCTGTGGGAGCACATCACGCCGCAAGTCACACGTAAAGGAGAGAGCCCTGACAAGATGTTTCCACACGGCAAAGTGACCTATCCACGCGACTGTATCGAAATCCTTCGATGCTGTCCGTACCGATTTACACATAAAGTCGTCAATAAGTGGTTTGATGACCGCATCGTCTTGATCGGCGACGCGGCTCATGTATTCCCACCATTTGGAGGCCAAGGTATTGCGTGTGGTCTTCGTGATGCACATCAGTTGGCATGGCGAATCTCTTTAGCATGCCGCCTACCTGAATGTGGTACATCTCGCCGTGAGGTACTTCTTGAATCTTGGGCTTCTGAGCGCTACCAGGGTGTCAAAGATGCTGCGGCGCTTACGAGTTTGCATGGCGAACTATGTAACCAAGGGGATAGTATCTTCTTCTGGCTGTTACGCAAGCTGTCAGGGTTTCTCAAGTACATTCCCTTCATTCCGAGCTCTGAGAACCCGATGATCACTTCTGAAGCAAGAGGTCATAAGTCTGTCAAAGGAGGTTTCTTTCTCGCAGAGCATGGTGGCGGGGGACGTTTGGCGCAGATTTATGTCAAGTCGAAGAGCCAGCCTCCCATGCTGTCAGATGAGTTGATCCGACGGACGGAGACTATTTTGACATTAATTGTCTTAGTCAGGGGGGAGTACAAAGAGAAACTAGCAGAAGCACAAGCAGCAATCCGAGAAGCTAAGCTAGACACGTCGATTATATCCGAACATTCGATCCAACTCGTCTTACTTGACGAAGTATCCTCAGATGGCAATGATGAAGTTGAGGCATATTACCCCATGTCAACCAATCGCCTCGCTGAATTGGGGATCTCTGCGAAGCCAGGCTACTCGATATCCAACTATATAGATCGTCTTGGGGTGTCTACGACATTTGCCATTGCCCGGCCTGACTTTTACATTTTTTCTTCATCTCGAAATAGGACGGAACTAGCTGAATGCCTAAGTCAACTTCAGCGTCAACTCGAATGAAAGTTCGGGAGTAGAAATGGATAATCCATCGCATATATTGGAGTGAAGTGCGACAAGGATCTGCTGTATTTCTCTTGCTGGTGCAGTTAGGTTGGTGTAGTAGTGTGGATTGGTAGGTACCTACCTATAGTAGTACCCAGTAGTCATGATATACCTAGGTATAGCTAGAAGTTGGTGATATAAATATAATAGACCACTCCTTCCAGATGATTTTTCTTATTCAACTCTTCTATTGGCACCTTATCTCTAAGTTGAATCTTGCGATCCCGACTATGTATACCAAGTGAGGGGGTTAGAGGAAGGTGTTGTCGCTTTGGAAGTAGTCACCGCTATCGTTATCTCGGTACCTATGGGTATATCTAATAACATTACTAAAGCCGGTGAGTGCCCAGTGCTCATGGGCTATCGGTAAGGCCTGGGGCCGGGCATAACTTACCTGGTCGACCTACCGTAGTAATTGAGTATCTACCAAGGGAGGCACTTGGTAGGGGTGTTGTGTGGTTTGTAAGAACTACTGCAGGTAAGCGGTAAATACTTCCTCCCGGATTTATAATCAGGGGCTATAAGTTTGAGAGGCGATGCTCTTCTCGTTTACGCTACAGCCCACCTCTATTCTGCTACTACGACGAGACCTATTTTCATTTACGTTGAATAAAACTCACTATGCCGACCGGAAGCTGCCTCTGTGGAGCGATCAAGGTTGCCTATGAAGGTGAACCAGCATTCCGCGTAAGGATACTCGCATACCCTCTCCACCACAGAGCAATGATAGCTGACTTAGAAAGGCGGTATGCTATTGTCACGACTGCCGTAAAATGGCAAACCTGCAGGTTTTCCAAGTGCCGAAGGTCAACTTCTCAGTGACGCAGGGCCAGCCGAAGATATATACCAAAGTGTCGGACCATGGCAATGTGCGTACTACGATATAATCCTGCCTGGGTACTTAAATGCCATAGTCTATGCTCATGAACTTACAACGGCCCTGTAGGAAATATCTAACCACTTCTGTGAAACTTGTGGCACGACCTTATATCGAACCGGCGGTGCTGCGATAAACCACGACAAGATAGGCCTGCGTGCTGGCGTGTTGGATGACCAAACACCTCTAGATACCCCACCCACAATGGAAGTTTACGTCGAGCAGCGTCCGCCGTGGGTAAAAAGGGTAGAGGGTGCGGTACAGTTGAGCAAGAAGTACGAAGTCGTTACCGAGAAACCTCAGGACTAGATTAGTAGAAGTGATGTGAGATGAGACATTGCTAAGATCATGTCACATATTATCGTCGAGCCTACTACTGTATGTAGGTACCTACTCAGATAACTACCTGCTGTACCCATAATAAAACCCATAGACCCTTGGAAAATTCGCTAGGAGACACGTTGACAACCATAGTTGGTTGAACAAAACTACTAAGTAGACACACCCACTCTCCCGCTCCCTTCGCTCCTGTGCCCTCCATACCTATGACCTCCTCCTCAGCCCAATCTCCAGCGCAAGGGGCTTCCTCAAGAACCCTTCGCGAGTCTCCATCCCCTCCTGCCTGAGAAAAACACTATACCGTCTTGCCCACGTCGCGACAATCATCTTCATCTCCATCTCCGCAACATTCCGCCCCACACATGCCCTGGGCCCAGTGCTGAACGGGATAAACGCGTTGCGCTGGCGCGCCGTGACATTCTCCCATCTCTCAGGGCGGAACTCGTCGGCGTCGGGGCCCCAGATCTCGGTAGAGTGGTGGATGGAGTACGTGGGCACGCTGAGCACGGTTCCAGGGGGGAAGTAATGGCCGCGAATATGCACGCCGCTGGGGGCGTCGTGTGGAATCATGCGCGGAAGTCCGATGCCCGATGTGCAGTGGATGCGCAGCGTCTCGTTGATGACCATCTGCAAGTATGGCAGGTTGCGGATCGCCTCGTACTCAGGCACCCGGACGTTGTCATCGGGGATCGCGGCGTCCAGCTCCTCTTGCATTTTTTGCAGGACACCAGGAGTGCGGGCAGCGTGGTATAGGAGCGCGCAGGACGAGTTGGATGTCGTGTCGGAGCCAGCGATTAGCTGAGTAAGCGCCTCGGCGGTGAGTTCCTCAAAACCCAATGGTTCACCTTTATCGTCTCGCCCTTCTTGCAACAGGGCAAGAAGATCTCTACGGTTGATATCAGGTGGGTTCTCGAGACGGTCCTTAACACGCGCAATGGCGATACCTGCTAGATTCTTCACGGCCAGGAGGCCCTTACTGAAGAATGGATCAGGGAGCCATTTGCCATAAGACTTTAGCTCCGGAAAGCACCCAAGGGTAGCTGATACTTCGCCACGCCGATTGAGAATCTCGACCGCGGGGGAGTATATAGGAGGAGAATCGACCGCCGTACGTACTTCGGCTATATCTGCTCCCGCTTTGAGCATGCCGAATGGGGCACCGAATGCCAGATCCCCAATGGTGTCAAAGGCGACGTAGTTGAACCATTTCAGGCAATCCACATGTGCAGTCTTTTCCCCGCCGTTGGAGTTTTCGACCAGCTCATCCCACCTAGTAACGAACATATCCAAGTTCTGGTGAATGTAAGGCTCAAACTGGGCTATGGACTTCGGCGCAAAGGTACTGGAGATCAGCTTCCTCTTACGGGTATGTTCGGTGCGGTCACGGGTATTGAATAGACCGCGCCTGATGGACACAAAAGCATCATAGAAGTCAGACTTGAGAAACCCGTTTCCATGACCATAGATTATTTGGATAGCTTCGTCATCGGCGATACTGATGTGGTTCGGCTGGATCCGCACAACCGCGCCCAATTTCTTATGGGCACGGTCTACAATAATATAACGCTTCCCCCGCCTGGTGGCGTAAAAGAGCCACAACTTGGTAAATTGGGCTGGGAAAGGCGCTGGGATATGTCGAAGATGGCCATGGGTGATGTAATAGCTGCGGAGGTAGTAGGCCACAATGGCAACGCACCCGATGGTTAATGCCCAGACTGAAGAGAAATGATCGAAGTTCAACATGTTGGTTGCGAGTTATTATGGCATTGATGAGCAATGTGAACTCCTTGAATGGAGTTGCTATATGAAGGTCGGGGAGTCTCCCCTTTTCAATTATAGCATCTGAGACCTGGTTTCCTCGATTCGCTCAATCCCCTCGATTCCCTCTCCAATTCTTCATCCGACAGGGGGCCCCAGTGATTAGTAGCGTAGGTCGGCTTCTCGTGATATCTGACACAGAGTGAGATGCGGAGGTGACAAGACTCCGTCCAATGAAAGACGCTGTTATGGTCCAAAGATGTGTTTGAGTGACGGTGGGCTCTTCAGTTGATAGGGACTAGGTAGCGATTTAGCAACGATGGTTAGAATGCAAAAGTGACTGATCCAATAACAATATATGGCTGTCAATGGGTAATTGATGCAATACGACGATGTTGACTACTCATGATCTATCGGTAGCTGGCATCGGGATTTAATATTGCATATATGTAGTATGCAAGATTGATATACTAAAGTATTTTCAGCTGACATTGTCACTATTACTGATTGGAGAACAGGATTTTACATACATACCTACATATAGGTAGGTACATAACGTGGTATGCAGGACAGGTTCCACACATCATTGATGTTAAAAGGACCATGGAGAACACATTACATACCTAGTAGGTAGAAAATTACATAATTGAGGCACAACATCGAAGATCCATACGTACATGTATACATCACCAAAATGTCTAGGTACGAGTTCGGTTAGTGAGTCGGTATGTGCCTAGGTTGGTTCAAATTAGTACTATCACAAATTTGAACATGTCGAAGTCGTATTTACCTACATATGTAGGTATATATACTGAGTACCTAGGTAACATACCTGAACTTACCTCTTATATTTTACCTACATCATGTATTATGTAGTTTATATGTAGACATCATGGTAAGAGCCCTGGAGGTATTGGCGTTGAACCGACTCATGTACAAAGTATATGTAAGAAGGTAACATTGAAGTATCTGCCTTGTGAATATGTACACTTGCAATTTCAAGCATCGAAGTACATACACAGTACTAGGTACGTGATGAATCTTATATGTATGCCCTTCAATATTGTAGGTAGGCATGCAAAAGAGTTTATCCAGGGCCCTTGGCTACTGAGCGCGTTCCGACTTTCGGCTAACCGCGTTGGAGATGTCGGCCTACTCTGTCGCCTGCGGCAAAAACATACGGCAAGATACTCCGAGGCACTTACGTAACGTATATGGATAGTAGAAGTGCTCCAAATCGTGAGTATGGTCCAGTTCATACCTAAATGACCAATGTAGGAGGGGTAGATGTCTATGGGTAATACCTAGTAGTATGGTGATATCTATAAACCTAAGTACCTATAGGTAGGTAGGTATGGATTTTGACGACATTTGTTTAGCTGAATCACAAAATTATTGACAAATGGTTTGAATCTAAAGTAATTGCATTTTGCATTTTAATTCTTGTAATACTACCGATGACAATAACACTCATCTCAGCTCATGAAGTCTTTATGGCACCTATAGCTTTCCAGCCGTGTTGAAATCATTGAAGGCTTCAATGAGACGGGCCTTCATCGTCTTCTCACCCTCTCTCACCCACACACGGGGATCGTACTTCTTCTTGTTCGGCTTGTGAGGACCCTCGGGGTTTCCGACCTGGGTCCTGAGATATTCAACGTTGTTTAAGATGTAGTCTCGGTGACCTACTAGGTAGGCCCACTGAAGATCGGTATCGAGGTTGACTTTGACAACACCGTGAGAGATGGCCTCGAGATATTCTCCCTTGCTCGAGCCAGAGCCACCATGGAAGACGAAGAATACTGGCTTCTCCTGCCCATCCTTTAGCTTCTGAGAGACATGGAGTTGGTGCTTTCCAAGTAGCTCGGGGTGAAGCTTCACGTTGCCAGGCTGGTAGACACCGTGGACATTACCGAAACCGGCAGCAATGCTGAACAGGTTGGAAATTGGGCTGAGGGCCTCGTAGATGGCAAGGATATCCTCAGGCTGTGTGTATAGAGAGTTGTTGTCAACGTCTTCGTTGTTGACACCATCCTCCTCACCACCCGTTAAGCCAACCTCCATTTCTAACCAGAGGCTCATCGGCGCTGATCGCTTGAGGTATTTGCTTGTGGTGTCGATGTTGTACTTGAGGTCTTCCTCTGACAAGTCAATCATATGACTGCTAAATAGCGGCGTGCCGTTGTCCTTGAAGAAGGCCTCGTCCGCATCCAGCATACCATCTAGCCATGGCAGGAGCTTCTTGGCACAGTGGTCACTGTGCATGATGACGGGGACACCATAGACGGGGGCAATGGAGCGGACGAAATGTGCCGCAGCAACAGCACCAGTGACAGATGCTTCTTGGTTTGTATTAGAGATGGACTTTCCAGCAAAGAAAGCGGCACCTCCGTTGGAGACCTGGATGACTACGGGAGATCTGGTCTCCTTTGCGGCCTCGAGAACGGCAACAACAGTAGAGGATGATGTGACGTTGACGGCGGGAAGAGCAAATTTGTTCTCCTTAGCATATTGGAAGACCTAGGAAAAAGTTTCATATTAGCGTCATTTTTTTTTTTTTTTGGAATTCTTTTGACTTTTCTCATATGACTTACCTTCAAGACATCCTGGCCATAGATGACACCAGGCTTGAGGTTCAGCGTATCCATTAACCCCATCGTGAATGTAATAGAAATACTGGGTATTGAATAAGATAATGTGTTATGTTTATCAGTATGAAACTTCCTTAGGAGTGTGTGGTTGAAGTATAGTAATGTAGGAGAGTAGGAGAGTAGGTGTGTAAGATTGTTAAGATTGATGGAAAGTATCGTTTGTTGTAGAATTGGTGAGAACTCTGAGGGAATTTAAAACAATGACGACGGAAAAGTTGAAGTGGGGGGCGTTTTTGTCTTTTTCTTAAGAGGCTTTAAGCTTTAATTTTGGAGGGGCAGATGAGGGGTCACTACATACATAACTAGTAGTAACTATGGTCTGGATGACGTAATTCTGTTAACCGTATATAAAGTTCATCAATTTCCTTTCCACTCTTTTCCTTCTGTTATCATACGGCCAAGAATGACTAGATGGTTCAATTTTTTATCTGGAGTACTATACTGCTACTGTACCTGATCTAAGGCTACATTGTATGGGGCTTTCAATACATACAGAATGATGACCTAGAGTAGGTCCGTTTGGAGCGTGAATATCAAGAAAGCTTGCATGAGAAAGACCCCACATCCCTTCCAAGTTGTTAGTACCTAGTATATACTACATAGTATATACTACATAGTATGTACATACCTATTTAGTACCTAGCCGTATTCAAGTTACATTGAAACACCGGGAGGGACTTTGCATGGCTAGGTACATAGTAGTCTGAAGCGATCAACCGTTGATATCGCGACTAGTGCTGCTAGAAGACATACTATGTGCATAAGGGTAAAGTTACATGCAAATAACGATAAGGGGGTTTGCTGAGGAAAAGTTCCAGATGTCTTCAATGATTACATAGTAAAACTCGGGATGTCATGGTGGGGTAACCCGGTCCGATTTTCACCATATTCCAAGGGTTGATATCCACAGTTTGCATCAATATCAATACAATCCATGCAATGCTGAAGTCAACTGTGGAGCAGTAGGTAGAGATATCTACCCAGTACTACATATATCAATGTAAGCTACTCCTAATACTATGATAGATGTTGGGAAAAAGCTTACATAAGTAGTATAGGGAGCAACATTGAATACATATGTAGATGATACATGTATAGAGTCAACATAAGCCTGGTATTAGCAAACGAACTCTTGAGTATAGCCACATCATTGATGTGCAGTCATAAGTCTCTCTGAGGAAATCAACATTCTCTTCATTGACGTTATCGCATTCACCATCGAGGGTTAGTAGGAAAAGACGAACCATCAGGCCGTGCTCCAAATCGGCCGGTGTCAACGATGAAGTGATTATGGTAACTACATGGACCCGATTGGGAACCTGGTGATTGTTGCTGGAATACAATCTCGAGGCTGTATCTACTAGAAAAATTCATGAATAACTTTTCAACGCCTACATACATATGTAGGTACATTGGGCACATACATGTAGCATGTATCTCAAACGGTCAGAGTCTCGGATACGTTCCCCGGACGCTAGGCCTTATGTATCCTATTCTACCTATCCGGGACGCCTCCCACCTTCAATACATATCTACCACGTTCATCAATAACATCCCCTGAGTAATTACATACTTCAACAATGGATCGAAGTCTCGTATACTGTTGATCGAAGGAAACGGCATCGCGCAACACATGGGTACACTAGACTGAGTATCTATGTGACCTCCCGAAATATACCATAACACTCTTATGGAATCTCGTTGGTGAACTTGCATCAGAACGACTCCACCAAAATACGGCGATGAAATTTATTGGGCGTAGGACTGATAGATGCCTTGTTGTGACTTCTACAGTGACAGCATGCGAATCTGTCGAATCATATAATGTCATACAAATGAATGTCCCCTAGAGTTCGCTGGAGATACCTGCTGGCTCCCCGGATGATAACCAAAGGCCCATGAGTTGCTTACATAATAGGTGATATGGATCGTGCTTGGGGCAAGCTCACGGCAGCCAGGCGTCACAAAGCAGCCCTAGAACATTTTGACGGGATGTTCTTGATTGTTGACATTGAATCGGAGCCCGGCACGATCCGTAACAAAATCCGGCCTCGACAGCCCTACTTTCTCTGTACACTTACTTTGCTAAGTGATGGTCCTGATGTACATATGTATGTACATATGCACTGATACCACTTGAGCTATGTACTTGCGTACATACATACCTATATGTATGTAGGTATCTGTAATATTGAATATGTATGTAGAGTCAGAGGACATTTGAAGTTCCGTTACAAACTCCAATGAGCAAGTTCCGTTTGTGCATTGTCGTGGTAATCAGATTTGAGTGCTGGTTAGCCAATGATATGGCATATACCGGAGAACAAGTCAGCGGCCAGCTGCAGGTTACCAACCGCTGTTTCACATACATGGATAGCACTCGTTGGCAGCGCCGATAATACATGAAAGCCAGAAGAAGCCAGAAGAAGCCTGCATTGGGCTGCCTTGAAGCCTTATCATTCACAGTAGCCTCATATTCAACTCTTCCTCTTTCTTCTTTTACCCTCCCCAGCAAAAGAAATTGCAATTATTATCGGTCACTTTAAAGATACCATACGTATCGGCCCACGAGGATTAGCATCATGGCCATATTGCCCAACATCAACCCGGAGGCCATTCTCCACAACGTTAAAAACGCCGCGGCTTTTACGAAAGAGGCATTAGAGGCAGCCGATATCCCATCACACCTAGACGCAGCAAGCAAAAAGGCAAAGGAGTTTTCGTCAAAGGTGGCAGCCGAATTCCCATCTCATCTAGACGCAGCAAGCGAGAAGGCGAAGGCATTTTCGGCAAAAGCAGCAGCTGATATCCCAGCGCACCTAGCTGATGCGATCAAGGGAGCAAAGACATTCTCAAGGCAGGATGCAGCTGAGGCTGCAAAGCTCGCTGCTAACTGGGTGGGAGAGAACCCGGGTACCGCATCAACGTACACGGTGATAGCAGTGGGATCTACCGTCGCTATTGTGGCACCGGCTGCTCTAGCTAGCCCAGCTCTAGGAATACTTGGTTTTGGTTCGGGCGGCCCTGTGAAATGTATTGTGTCCCCAGTTTACCCTCTTTATTAATAGCGAGCATAGCTAACTTGTTTTCCCTCTCTCATAGTTATGTTTGCACCAGTTATACAGTCCAAAATAATAAAAGTCAAGGCGGCGAGACGTGCTTTTGCGGTATTACAGAGCGCAGCGATGAGCGGGTATGGCGTTCCTATCGTCAACGCCATCGTTCGAGGTGGGGGTATTGCTGCTGCTCTTGGAGCTGGAGGTCATGCTGGCGCAAGGGCCTTTCAGTGTAGCCCTGGATATGATCCTGAATCACAGTCCAACCCAAACGAGGGCACCTGGACATGTTCCATTGCTGATGTACCGGCAGAAACTGTTATCAAGGATCTTCTCAAGGAAGACGAGAAGCTCCAACTTTCTATGACTGAGGAGGAACGCCCTAAAGAGGAGCACCCTGAGGTGGAACGAGCTTAGTCCATACCTACCTGTTTTCCAATCTATGGCAATGAAGGGGGAAACTAATCGTAGTGTTAGGATAAAGCATCGGTCGAGGATGGGGGTATAGTAATACGAGAGGCCAAATTGTCATTGTGAGGCTAGAGTTAATGTTTCTAGGTAGTTACCCTGGGTAGTTAATTAGGTACCCTAGGTAGGACCTGGTTGTAGGTAGACATCATGCAGCAGACATTAAAGTTAGGTATATTATTAGCAGTACCTCTGTAGATCCACTTCCCCAATCAAAATTCGGGACGACCCGTCGACGCCATGACGTCAACACTCTCAACATACTTTCTGCTTAAACATGGGATATCTTTCTAATACTCTTCTAATTCATCCTCCTATTTCAAGTTCCTTTTTTCTCATTACTAATAAAATTGGGGATAAAGTATAAACGTTAGCGAGATGGCGAGACCTTGGTATCGAGCTTTTCGTGATTTCTTCTCTATTCGTCGTCTCTGGCTATTCCCCTTGCTCGCAGGGAGCGCTTGGTTCATTACACTTACCATCCTTTTGGTGAGATGGCTGGTCATCGGCCGACCACAGTATCCAGGGCAGGTAAACCCCTATGTCCCGTTTATCAGCGACATCGCCGCCCACCAGTTCAAGCCCGTGTTTATTGTCGGGTGTGTAGTCACGGGGGTGACCTTCGTCGGAACTATGTTTGCCGTCCATCACGTACGATACTCACCCCAGTTTTACAAGCTGACCGATGATGCCCTCTGGAGACAAATTACTAGCTTGATTGCCGAGGTGGCTGGGATGGGTGCCGCTGTAAGCCTGATAAACCTGAGCGTCTTCGACACGGCCGATGCACATGTCCGGCACCGACATCTTCTTATGGGCACCTTTGGAGGCTTATTCGTAAGCGCAATTACTACCACGGCCGTGTGGTGGGATCAGATCTGCGGACCTACTGTATTCGTGGGGCTGCGAAAATGGTTGGTCTTACAAGCCTAGGACTCCCAAAATAGAAATTAACACACTAATGACTGAAAGGTGCATGTTTAATACGTTTCTCGTGCTGTGTCAGTTCGGGTGCGGGCTAGCATTCGTCATTCTCATGTATGGTGGCTATTACAAGTCGTCCGGAATCCTTGAGTGGTGCCTGACTTATCTGGGTTCGTTTTGGTTGGCATCTTTTGTGGGCTACACCATGTTAGTCGACTCGCTATAAAACTTCGTAATCGGTGATACTAACATCGTCGTAGGTTCAGGGAGGGCGAAGAGGTTAGGATCGAAAACGAAGATGAGCGACAACCCCTGCTTGTCTAAACCACCTAATAAGCACACACTGATGAATCGATATATAAGAAACATTCCTGGGTTTTTATTTTATTTTATAGAAGCTGACCACATCATTATATATGAAGTGCGAAGTACTGGAATTACTGACATACATATGCCACTCCTTTCATTCAAGGTTGCTAAGTAGCACCTACTCGGCGTTGTCCCATTACTCTCATGATTGCTCTACTCCTTTCTCTAGCAATACAGACCTTTCGCTAACTCCCTCCCTTAAGGGGGATGCGCTTAAAATATCGAAAATGGTTATTGCGCACTCCGTAGTTGGCACTAGGTAACCAATTCCTCAGGTTGGCCGTAGCGACTGAGTCAACGCCGTACTAGCATAGCGGCATGCTACCGTGAATGATTTCGCGTACAGGGAAAATTATAGGTTTTGGATATGTCGCAATGGCCGGAAATATCGGGGATAATCTTCTATTAGGCGGGTCAGGTTCATGACTGTGGCAAGCACTCTTTAAACGTCGCGACTTCGTGTCACATAGTTGGACGAGCTCGATGGCGGTGAAAAGTGACTATCCAATCTTCCGGAATAGACGCATTTACAGAGCTTCGTTATTATGTGTGTCTTCCTTCTCAACTTCGATGACCCGACTATACTGCGCGACGATATTACACGTTACATTGAGAAGTGAACAGGGCCTGGATTGTTGCTGACCTGTGGCACGGCCGAGTACCGAGTCGCAGACGAGCTCATTATTATGCGGGATAATACATGCCTCCATCCCCTTCAGCCGTTGAGTTCGGGTTATGCGGAACCGTACCAACATGCGTAAAGTGATATGCCTGTGCAAGGCTTAAGGTAGGGCCGTTCGGACAACTAACCGCATGAAAAGAAGCATCCAATCCCACCTATACCTACCTACTGTTAACTAGTCTTAAACGGCCCAGTCATCTTCTTATTCATCATTTGTTTAACACGAATAACAGAAATCCATACGCTTTTTTCAGTTTTCACCCATCTCCCGGAAACCCTTCATTTGTCCGCTGTCATGCCTGATCTCAACTTTGACCCCAAAAAGGGAATTCCAGAGCTATCTGGGAAGGTCATAGTCGTGACCGGAGGTAAGTCAAATGAAGTCAATCCTAAATACAGCTTGAGTGCTCTCCCCACAACCAGCCACCGCGCTGCTGTATGACGGCCCCTTTTGCTGTCACCAAACAACCTGCTCACATGGCTAACTGGAAATAGGCACCGCAGGAGTTGGTAGGGGCACTGTGCTCGAGATGGCCGCGCACAACCCAGCACATATCATCTTTACCGGTCGAAATGTTGCATCAGCCAATGACTTGATTGCGCAGGCATCGGCGGGCGCCAAGCTGACCTTCATAGCGTGCAACACGGCCGATAACGCCTCGGTAGCGTCTGCTGCCCAGACCATCTTGACAACCACCCCGGACCGTCTTGATGTGCTAGTCTGCTGTGCTGGCATCATGGGTAAAGCCGCTGATGTTTCGAAGGACGGCTACGAAATCCAGTTTGCTGTTAATCAGCTCGGCCACTCGATTCTCGTGCGCAAGCTGATGCCCCTGTTAGAGAAGACGGCCGCGCTGCCGGGTGCCGACGCACGCGTGGTCATGGTCACCAGCACGGCATGGAAAAACGCACCAACGGGCGGCATCCAGTTCGAAAGGCTTCACACCGAGCAGGACATTCTTGTGGGGGGCCCTTGGAGGCGCTATGGCCAGAGCAAGCTCGCCAACCTGCTGTACGCGCGGGAGTTGGCGGATAGGTATCCCAACGTCCTGGCGTTGGCAATTCATCCAGGGGTCGTCAAGACGGCGCTGATTACGGACCTGAAGTGGAGTCAGAAGCTCATGGTTTATTTCCTCTACATTGGCCAGATGTTGACGCCTACGCAAGGGACGTATAACCTGCTATGGGCGATCACGACTAGGAAGGATGATATCAAGACAGGTGGCTTCTACGTGCCTGTGGGGAAGCTGTCAGGCGAGGAAACTGAGACGAGCGAGTATCGTGATTTGGGAAAGAAGTTATGGGATTGGACGGAGGCAGAGATCGCCCGGTATCTCTAGAATGTGTAAAGATGCGCGGAGATGTATACCCTGGCTGCAGAACGCAATAAACTCAGTTCCTGCAAAAGTGCCGCTCTTGGCACGCCCTGGCTCCTCACCAACTACATAGATATCCATCACCGATACCCCAGGATTCGTACGTCGATGGTACTCTCCCAGGCTACCTCGGTTCCTTGGGGTAGGAGAAAGGATCCCGCCCGAGTTGCACAATAGCTCCGGACGGGGGACAGTGACGGCCGGGTGGGTCGTGGTGGATGACAGTATTTTTGATGATTGGAGAGATGCATCCATAGCAAACGCCAAGGCGCTGTCTCTGCCGGCCCCAAGTAACGCGCGCGATTAGTAAAGCGACGAGGAAGACCCGAGACTAATTTCTAACCTGCGGTCATGTCCCAGCCATGGAGATGCTTGACTTCTGACCTAAATTTTCTTCACGCTCAAAGAGGTTCAAATGAACGGGAACACGACCACGGAACTGAATGGTAAGTTATTCTCAAGTCATTTTTGTTTACCTACCTGGACACCTAGCAGGCAAGTCCCATTTTCACGACTTATAGGATATCTACAACATAGAAGCACTTGCGGACTGAGCGTTGAATGCTAAGGGTCGTGGCTTGCCCCACCAATCACAGGGATTGAATCTCCAGGCCCCGTTCCCAGCGCCAAACCAGTATTTGACCAAGTAAGGCATTATCCAGGGCAACGGGGGGAATTGGTATCCGACTTCATAAGTCTTGTCGGCGCATCCCAGTACGCAGGGAAACACATCATACTACAGACAGGTGGTCAACGTAGAGTTGGTGGAGGACAGGCAGGAAGACGAATAGGTAAATGAATGAATGCATCGAACTCACCAACATCCCGAGATTTCCAGCTTGCTGTGCCACTTTTTCAGCTTGATCCCAGATATTATTCAAAGCCTGGCTGTCCATGAACTTAAGTCCTAAGATTGTATCGATCTCAGCGTAGAGATGGTCGGTCAGGTGTTGGCTAAACGAATCGATGATCTCCTTCATTCCCCCCGGCCCCTCCCATTGGAACTCGTCGGGTTTCGTCGCTGATGCATACGCCGACAGCCTCTCGATGCCGCCGTGAAACGCCTCGTGCTGGCTCTTGGGCTCGGCCATGAGGCCAGGCTTGCCGCTAACTTTTTCTATCTCTCCAAATATAAACGTCTCTTCTACCCAGTGGTGGTGATCTACTGTCTTGGTCCAGGAATGGACGTAAAAGAGGAGGTCTTTGATGTCCTGCTTGTTGTAGTTCTTCTTGGTCGATACTGCTACGTGTGGAGCTTGCTGTAGGATTGCATTCAGACCCCGTATGAGGACATTGTGCGCATGTGCCATATCTGAAGCAAGGCGGAGGTAGGAATGAGAATCCTAGAGACTTATTAGTTGAATATCTAAGACTATCGTACTCGGCACGTTGGTGTATACAGTTAGATACATTGATGGTGTTGTAATCAGGCCGAAGGGCTCGTCGGCCCAAGGGGCATCAGAAGGTTTGGTGGTCATGACAACGACTATGACTAGAACAGCATATATTCAAGATGTGATTTCTGTCCTGAAAGTTTCAAAACAAACAAGTGATTCTGAGCTTGAAGTTTAGATGTTCACTAAGATATGGGTGGTAATACAGACCTTCTAACCTACCGACCTAGGATGGATATCATAGGAATGTTGGCACCTAAATGAATCTGTTACTATTGGCTATGAACATCATCTAGTCCCTCGTTCATGTTGCAGCCTATACCGCAGATCATGGTATATTTGGTAATCCGTAAGCTTTCATTAGCTACTGAGTAGGAGCTGAATATAGCGACAAAAGTACATACCCCGAAGCGAGCTGCCTGGAGTGGATCTTTGCCGTTCACAATGCCTTCCAAGGTAAAGTAGGTGAATCCTCAAAGAACGCGTTACCGTAATAGATCCAGCGTAGGTTAGTGCTTACCTTGCACTTCCTGTTCCATAGTGGGGGTTTTAGCACCGGATTAGACGCACTATCAAACGTAGCGACGACGTGATTGTGAAGACAGGAGCATTGATAGCTTCCGTCGCGTAGAATTCATCATATGCACCTGCAATAATTATGAGACCCAGGCACATGAATACCTATTGATGAGCTGATACACCAAGAGGGACAACACTGTTGACAATAAGTACCTAGGTTAGGTTAGTATTTGGAACGGGTGGCTAAGTACCTAATCTAGTACTCATCATTCTGTATTTCTCGCAACAGAGTCGCTAAGGGCTTCGGAATGAACCTAGATAATGCATATCTGCGGAGCAGAAGTTTTCGCTTTACCTCCATCCAGATCCGTATACTATATCGTCCATTATGGCAGGCTGGTTGTTGACCTGCTCGTCAAATCTTCCCGCCGTTTAGTTTCGCGATCGAGCTTGCAAACCGTCTGTGTACGCGGCGTTGGTTGGAACAAGCCGTCATAGACTCTCTAGCACCAATTGACAAACTGTCATATGCATATGTATGCATGGGTTTCCCAGACCCCGCATGAAGCCTGTGTATTGTATATTTGGCTTTCTGCGCTGGTCTGTACAAATTGTACCTTGGCTTCAATAGCGCAGCCGCGCCGTCCCGTGAAGTCGTGGGTTAGCCACGATACTAACCTAGTTGTTTTCTAAGAAGACACGCCGATCTTATCGAAGGCTATTTCTGAGATTAGTGAAAGTGTTTATACTATTATATTATTATTATATTGATATTATTGATATAAGAATAGGGTAGACTGATACGGTAAGTGGTAACTGTGACGCTGGGGAATGATGCGGAGTTGGGGGAATCAGGAGGCCTTTCCTGACAGGATCGAAGGGGGTAAAGTGGGGTGAGGCATGTATGTACGAAGTAAGGGATCACAGGATTAAAGGGGCCGTGCACCATGCGAAGCATTTAGAAAGGGCAGAGCTCCATTCAGAATCGAATTCTCAGTGCTCACTTCTCAAGTTTCCCGCGCAGGTCGCCATCAGCAACTAAATACGACACAATCCACCTTTGGACGAACCAACTCCTTTCCAAATGGCGTCACCATCCAAGTCGTATTCTCTTCGTGCAGCCGAACGCATACATAACACAACTGGAAAGGATCAACTTGGACGAATATGCGTCTCTGGATTTCTCTTGGAATCTCTATGGCATTCAGTCGTCGAGCGAAAGTTCATAAACACACCGCCTTCAGTTGTGAGAAAGTCTATGGTTAGAGCTGCTGCTACTTGGCCGTTGATATACGTTGCGACTGCAGCATGTATAAAATGGGCAGACTGGAAAGTTCAGGAGGTCGAAAAAGAGAGCAACTAGGCCTAGAGGACATTATGGGAGCTCTTCCCTATTTTATAATTCCTCATGTCTGGCTTGATGAAGCTATGACAGGGAGATACCCATCCACCAGCCTACTAGGTACGGAACGGTTTGCAAAACTCCCGAGTCTGTATTACTTAGCTCTTCGGCGCCGAATTCGGTAGGCTTTTATTTTTTTCCATTTCTTTTCGGGCCCAGACTCTACAGATCTATGGAACAACGTCTCAAGGAGGTAAAGGCAGAGATGGCGACATTGGAATACCGCATAGTACTAGGTTAGGTATATTCACAGCTCCCTAGTTATTGCTATGCCCCGGATGACGAATGACGCAAAATGAGCGGTGCAAGGGGAGAAGATGATGACGAGGGATGGAGAACGATTTCCAATCAAATAATTATCAGGAAAAAGAAACTTGGTTTTAGTTGTCTGGCTGTTACCTAGGACGCATTTCTCCAGACTGACATTGAAATATCACGAAGTGGTATAGAGAATTGCGGCGTCAAAGGTGGGAGAATCACCACTAACGGACAAATGATGCGATAAGCCCTACTGATCACGTCAACTCCAGTGTGCATTACTGGATCCACAAATCTCATTTTGTCCAGGTTTGGCCATACAGCCTTACGCAATAGAAACCATCGTCGAACAATCACGATATTCAACAATGCCAATGCACTCCAACTCTTGCATTTTACCTACCTACAGACCTACCTACCTACCTAGGTAGTGTATACCTAAGTATATATCTTGATATATTCATGGATATCCAAAGTCCTTCGGTACCCCTGGCGCATCCTCGAGTATCCAACTTTATATCCATTCAGCCCCTCCTATCTCATACATCTCATTCATCTCCGATATTTAATCCCCACTGAGTTTTTCAATCTTAGACTTATAAATACTCGGCTTGGGCGCCCAGAAATCTGTTAGCCATGGGAGCGTGTCGAATCCGTAGAGGTTTGAACAAATTTCACGACGGGGAAGAGTCCGCGGGGCATCATACAAGTCAAAGCAGCATACTCGAATGCGCCAGCTGCTCGAATTACTACTAACAGCCCACCAACTCCTCTATTCCAAAAAAGGAATTGGAAAATTTAAACAAAATTTAGAGGCGATTCATCAAAATGTCATACCATCAAACTACATTTCCCCAATTTCCCCGACTACCTGCAGAGATCCGACGCTTGATTTGGATCCATGCGCTGCCCAAGGGGCGCATCCAGCTCTTTGCTAAGAATGTGCCTTGGAAGAATTGGCGTCTTCTGCCCCCTGTGATTGCTCACGTCTGCCAGGAGTCACGGGAAGTCGCGTTGAATCACTCTGTCGTGAGAGGCTTCCCAACCGCTGAAGATACTCAGACTACCACGTGGTTTATTGGATCCCGTGATATCCTCGAACTGCACAGCGGGTATCCCTATCCGCTCTCCAACCCGGAACCGTTCTTTTCCGCAGCTGAACAGATTTCAATCAACGCGGGCGACTTCGAGGGGGATATCAAAATGGTCATCAAAGACTTCATCGAAGGCCAGCTTTTCCATGATGTGAAGATAGTCTACCTCATAGTTGAGCAGATAGAGACAGCGTATTGGCCGCCATTTCGGCCAGATATGACTGAGCAAGACAAGAGCAAAGGAACGATCATCGACCTGTGCAGCGACGAGGACAGGAGAAAAATAGAAGCTTACAAGGCATGGGCGCGCTTCCAGGAGATGTCTCCCATTTTCCCTCGACGAGAAGAAGTAGAGCTGGCTCTAAGGATGCGTTTAGACAGGATCATATTAGAGGAGATTAGTCATCATCACGAGCGTTTATTACAGGCCGGATACCAAGAGGAGCGAGGCGATATTATCTCATCATTCCCAAGAACTACACCTATCAGCCCTAATCACCCCTGGATTCTTCGACAATGGAGACGATTACCCGAATTCCGACCAGCATTGCTGATTCTTGGGTGGCGGTAAAGAGAAGATAGGCGGCTACTGTGTAGTACCTAGGAAGATAATCGTCGGGGTATTGGAAATAAATATACCGATAATATATCCCCGGTGGATCCATCCGAGACATCTATCTGCGTGTGATATTTTAGCGGAAAAAAAGGAGAAAATCATACCTCCGCTAGGTACTAGATAGTAGTAGATACCCTACTACCTACTACCTACTACCTAGGCAGCTAGGGTAGACACATCCTAGGCTATACCGCTTTAATGGATCCAATTGTCCCGCAATCCAATTGGAACCTTCCCGCTTTCAACAGCCATGGGCTGGAGTTGCTGGAGTTATGTACTGTAGAACATAAGGTTCCTACTTGCCACGGTATTCGGTGGGGGTTTCCAGCTTGTATGCCTAGTAGTAGTAGGTATCTTACTTACATAAGACGCCTACTACATACACTAAGATACTTCAACCTTCAAGTTTAGTAGGTATTTACCTACATAAGGTACCATCAACATCAAATGGGCATTGCTTGTATGCTTTTCTTTTATTATCCTAACGAATCTTAAACCTCTTATAGCCAATTTACGACTAAACGGCTCCCTTCTGAATTATAGTCACCATGGCATCAAACCAGCGTTTCTCGGGATATCCGTTGGCTAAAGAGGGCCCTAAAACACCATACAAGCCTATGGAGTACAATAATCCAGCTCTTAGAGGATGGCCCCTAATTCTCGCCGCGAAGCTGTAAGCAATTGGACATATTCATGAATGTCTGGTTATCATCGCTCATCCAGCAATTAGCGTCAATTACTCTTCATTCCTCGCCAAAGCTACCTGGCATAATGCCAATTTTGATTGTGCCAACAACATAGAGGAGTTGCACAAGAGGAACTGGCATCTTCAAGTACGCGGTCCTGATGTTCCTTATGTCATGTTACACTTTTCCGATGCTATAAAGCCATCTACCTAGTAGGTAATTAGTTAGTTGACTGACTAGGCGAATAGCCCATCGTCACACCACTGGCCCCCGACGGCGTGGTGCAAACTCAGGCAGAAATCACACCTGAGCTCTACGAGCGACAGCCTGAAGACTTGACTGGACGTTTCTATTCCGCGGCTGACTACCATGAGCTTTTCAAAGCTGGGAAACTGACACCCCTTCAAGTGGCGAAAGCGTTGCTCCCTCTCCTATCTCGCGAGCAAAGCTCCTCAGAGAAGTACGCAGTGGCTTGTACGGTCACGAGAGAGGACCTCGTGCTCGCGGCAGCTACAAAGTCAACGGAACGATATGCTGCCGGCCAGCCCTTGGGCATTCTAGATGGTGTGCCGATTGGGGTCAAAGATGATCAAGACGTTGAGGGATATGTTACACACATAGGATTACCCTATAATGCGGCCGACCCCTTCTTCAAACCCGCGACGGAAACCGTTTGGCCAGTCGCACAGCTCGAAGCGGCCGGTGCTATCGTAATTGGTAAGCTGACGATGCAAGAACTGGGTTCGGATATCAGTGGGTGTAATCCGAGCTGGGGAAGTCCAGTCAACTGGAATAATCCAGCTTACTACCCCGGTGGCTCGTCTTCCGGCGCAGGTTCCGCTATCTGTGCTGGATTAATTCCTATCGCCATTGGCACTGACGCTGGAGGGAGCATCCGGGTCCCGTCGTCATATTGCGGATCTTACGGCCTCAAGCCAACACTGCATCGTGCAGTTACGATGAAATCTGCCGTGTGTGTGGTTGGTCCCATGGCTGCGACGGCCAACGATTTGGCCATTACATACCGCATTAGTACGTACATCATCCATCTATTGCTTGTTCCCTTTAGCTCCCCCCTCGCAAATCCCTTTGAAATACGCGTATTGGTTTCGACGGTCCCTGGTCCTAAAACTAAATTGACATCCTTTTGGAAAGCTGCATATTGACTTTAGATATGGTAGTGACGACACCTAATCCAGAAGATCCGGTACAAGGCTCATTCGCATTGTCCGTTCCACCTAGTCCCACCGCGAAGAAGACGATCGGTATCTACTGGGATTGGTTCAACGCGGCTTCGCCAGCCGTTGTCAAAGTGACAAAAAATGCCGTTTCTTACTTCGAGAACAAGCTAGGCTACGAAGTTGTCGACATAAGTATTCCGTACTTGCAGGAAGGCCAGGGCTCCCTCAGTGTATGGGCGCTTATCGAAGGCATCGATCACTGCCAGGGCCGAGCCATGGATCGTAACAAGCCCTTTGCAAATGTCAACTACTGCAACCAACTGCTATTTGGATTCGCGTCGCAGACGCCTGCGGCCGATATGTTCAAGCACGGGCAGCTGAGGGGGCTCCTCATGGAGCACCTCGCTTTCCTGTGGAAGCAACACCCAGGCATGCTGATCCTGACACCGACGACCCCCGATGCCGGCTGGAAGATACATCCCGGCGACCAGGCGTACGGGTTCAGCGACGGCAGTATGACCATCCGAAATATGATGTACAGCTGGCTGGCAAATACGACGGGATGTCCCGCAGCCAGTGCACCTGTTGGCTACGTCGATCCCGAAGTGGGCGAGGGTAAGCTGCCGGTAGGCCTTATGGCTATGGGAGAATGGGGCTCGGATGAGCAGCTCCTGGCTTGGACTAAAGAGGCCGAGGCGTACTTGAATGATGCTTGGGACGGTGGTCGCAGTAGACCGAAGAAATGGGTTGATGTTGTTGATATCAGCAAGGATGTCGAATAGGGGTTGGCCTCAAATTAGGTGGGGGACGTTGGTGATGGCGGACATGAGTGTAGTAGTGGAAGTGGTGGTGGCGATCACAGCATTATTGAATATAGATACAGTAGAGGCGGACATCAGTATACTGATACCTCTGCCCTACCCAGTAGATTGTATCCCGTCGTAAATTCTTTGGGTGTTCCGGTGATAGCTTTGCACATCTGTGATAAGGCGGCTAATGCCACCCGATGAAGATTTTCCCACATTCATAAATTCATCAAAGACACATGCGTTAATGCGCAGTTACCTAGCTAGGTTAATAGTTTGATGGCATATATTGATCTTCAAGTCGGTGCACCCCTTTGTTGAGCTTGTACTACCTACCTACCCACTACTATCCACACATGCAGTAGGCATACCAACCCCTCGCTATCGGGCCGGTAGCTGTTTTCAAGCCTCTTCAAGTATACCTACTATTCAGCACATATCAAACTCACCTACGAGCTGGTTTCCTAAGCGATAATGGACCCACAGACAACGAACAATAGAGAATTAGAAAAGGAGGGGGCAGGACGGCACGGGTAGCTTACCTCGTGATGCTAGGTACCAAGAGGTAGAGGTAAGTAGGTACGTCTGCTATGTGGGATGAGTTGAACTGAAAGAATACGAATTCGAGATTTAGATGTGGTTGATTTTATATCTGCCCTAGGTATTGGATCCAAGTCAATAGTTCTAGTCGTAGTCAACCTCCAGTAGGTACGGTGTTCAGGTACTTCATTGGGGGGCTTTTAATGCACGCGGCATTGAGCCCCTCCTAAACACCTACCTACCTACCTAGGTACAGTACCTATATGGCCACGCAATAACTGTTACGACAGACGTTACTATCGCCGTTACCGATTCGCGACTCTCGTATTAGTCCGACCAGAACTACGATGACGACCACGACGGCGGTAAGACGCATGCCGTTACTTCTGATGAGGATACGGATAGGGACCTACCGCTGGTTGGAGATATCGTGTTACTTACCTACTTGTGTAGCAGAGGTTGTTCCGTAAAGGGAAGGTATCATGCCAGACTTCGATTTCGCCTCTGCACCCCAGAATAGAACAGCACCATGATACGGCCAGATAATGGGCCAAACCAAATATGGCAAAAGTTTGTCAGCGATGGGCATTGGAGCTCCGGGCGAAACGCGTTCGCTCTCCTACTCTTACTATGGACCTAACCTTAGGTATGTAGACATGTGGGTAGGTAGGTACGTATGCATGGTACTCTTGTCTTGTTTCTTTCTGCGAGTCACACGCAACCAGGTTTCATAACAAACAGGTCGCCGTTTTCCATCGTAGTATTTATACCGGCCCGTGGCCGCTTGGCAAACCCTAACCAGCGCGCGGCGAGATTTGATAGATTTGATGGGCATGATCTAGGTGGTTTATGGCCTTAGCATCATCCCTCCTCGGTTAGGGAAAAGGGGGGCTCTGAGTCTGCACACCTTGATTACGAATGGCCCCTGTGATGTGATGCGATGCGATGCTCCACTGCGCGATATGTGTGTGGCGGATCGTCAAGATGTCTCTTGTCAGCTAATAGCTTCATGGAAAGCTTTCATGCGATTCATGCCGGTATTCAGGACCTTGGCGCAGCTCTATTAAAGTACGCGCTGTCTTTCCATCATGTGGTCAATCAGGTGGTCACGTCAATGGACGACATTGTTATGCGGGATCTTTTTTCTCTCTTTTTCGGGCAATGCGAACTGCAAGGGCATGAATCTCTAAGCTAGGGGAGCATGTGTCGATCTCTGCTAGGCGATAACTTTTCTATTCTCAATTGCTTTTACGTATGAGATCTCGCATAAAAATGTCTTTGAAGGTAGACTAGGGGGTCTATTAGGCTCGAATATCGTTGTATTGTTATGTCACCGACCCTGGGTCGCCTCTCTCCTTGTTTCTGATTCACGTTTTCTCACGAAGCACTCGCCTATTGTAGTAAGCGTCACCACATACCTACTATGAAGATATCTCGTCTTAGATAAGCTTGATATCACGGCTTAACATCTATCACCTTAACTCCAACGTTAAAACATTCTAAGGCTATTATATTTTTTTAGGTAGGGAGTTCTCGATATACATAAGTGCTCTAATGCTAAAACTTCATGCCCCTAGTTCCATCCCCAGTGCGCTTCTCATCTTTGTGGAGTGGGATTGAGTTTCATCGACATCCAAATCTCGGTAGATGACTTGAGCTTGCCTGCATGGGGTTTACTTCCGCAATTGGCTAATGAAGCCCTATATGTCTCGCGCGCGTAGAAGCTATTATAGGCCGCTGTATGTGTACTAGTTCCCGGCGCACCTGGCCTCCCCCCACGCTGATTGATCTACCTAGGAGGGGATCTCCCATGAATTATCTCGGTAACAGACCCGAAATGGGGTGACAGCACCGGGGTCTTGGCTTATACAGTCGGCAGCATATACTAGCTATTAACTATGTAAGGGCCTTCCTTAGCCAACGACGAATTGGTCCGGATGTCCCCTTGAAAGTAAAGCTTGTTTTCCCTCCGACATATACGTGCTCACTTTTCGCTCTTTTCAACGTCGAGTTCAATATCACGATCCCAATGCCTTGGTCACCTAATGTCGACTCGACATGGTGGTTCAACTACTCGATGAGGTAGTAGGCACTGCTGTTGGCGTTCTTATATGGTCATTTATTTGTTTGGCGGCCAGTGCTCTTATGATCTGGCTGGTATGGGCCCATCACGAGAGAGACAGTTGTATGTTGTAGCTTGCCAAAGCCCGCCGGCACCAACCGTCAAACATGTACTGATGATATTAAATAGATGTCGCACTACTATCCTATGTTACACTTCTAGGCACCGTCATAAGCATTATCCAGCAGTTCCATACCATCGTTTGGTGGCGCGATGTTAAAACTGAACAGTACAAATACGCCATCGCTCATATCGGCTCTCCGGAGATAGCCATCGCAGGGCCTTCCACTGGCTTGGACCTCGTACTATTTTACATACGTATGTAACAAGCAATTCTAACTACCTAAATTTTCAACAGATCTGACCATCCTCTTAGAATACTATACATATAACGTAGAGGCAATGCTCACTCTATTCTGGGCCATCGCACTGTCTCATACCGTATTCAAGGTCAGAGACATCGTCACTTTCAGACCGCTCAAGAATAGAACCGATCAGATAGCAAAGGTGGTAGCAGTGATACTGCCAGCCATCCTCATGGGTCTCTTACGCCTGAGCGGAGTCCAGAGTTCACACCTGGCTTTCTTGATCCTCGCCAACTTCAACAGTATGCGCGCCCACAAAGTGTCAGGGAGCAGACCGAGATAACACGCTATTAGTCATGATTAGCCTCAGTATAGGTAGCCTCCTATTAATCGCGATCCTCATCAAGTACATATACACTCGGCACCGGCTTATCTCGTGGAACACCCGATACTTGTTCTCCAGGAGGTCGGGGGAGACGGATGGACATATCCTTGACATACTAGATGGCCACCAAAGCATATACGATCGATGGCTAGTACTGCGATTCTCCATCGCCTTCGTGGTGCTGGCTGTTTTTCAACTCATTACGATCTTGTCGGAGATATCGCAGCTTTCCCATCACACGACCGAGCAGCTTGGCGAATACGCGGACTTGTCAGCTGCGAGGGCAATCAACGACTTCTTGCTTTTCATGCCGGGTGTGTCGACAAGCCTTCTTGTAAGTGATGACACTCCCAAATCATACGTTCGCTCCTATTTTTGCTTCTACTTTTATCAGGGTGGACATTCGGATATATCAAGCTCGGCCTAGGTTCCAAGGAGTCATTTACCCCTTTCAATAGGGAGCTACCATATACTAACCTATAATCTCGAAGGTGTTCATTGTTTTCGGAACCACTCGTACGTTCCGGAAGACAATGTACAAAACGTTCGTACCCAAGAAACTTCAGAAACAGCCGGTAGAGCCACCACCCATAACGAACGCCATGCGGGACGGGGACGACGATGAGGACTTGCGTGACGAAGAAGACTACGCTCACCCGTTTCACGACATGTCGAATAATTGTTCACCTGAAACTGTGCCAAAGAGCGCCAATGATACCATTAACACGACCACCGAATCAGGAGATAATGGCTTAGAGATAGAGGCCGAAACAGCTATATCAGACTCGAAGCATGTGACTAGAGTGGCAGCTTGAATATAGTTATTCTTGTATTATCGTTATTATTAGTCCCCCGCTACGTGTATCATACCTCAAATTTAGGTACCTAACCTAGGTATTTGTATGATTATGGAGGCAAGCATCTGGATTCGACAAATGGGAAAGGGTGGTTTGGCATTGCTTGGCGTTGTCTACGATGATGATTATTACTAAGTAGGTAGCTATGATTCCTTGTTCACTATTTTTCGAGTCAGTCACCAATAACACCATAAGGCACTTGGTTAAAAGTCAATACATGTTTTTTATTATTGTTTTTTTAGGTATTATCTACATAGATCTTGCGAATAGGGGTTAACTACCCCTCTTACCTAGGTACCTGCCTAGAGTACAAATGGAACAAGAAATCTGGTTTCTTTATTGAACTCCACAAAGAAACCAAGCAGAAGAGGTAAAAAGAACATAAACCATCGATTTCTGCCGTGGTTCTGGTGCATATCATACCTACATAAGTGGGAGCCTCACCCCTCAATGAAAAGGGGGAGGTACTTAGCTTGGCGAGCTTACAAGCCTTCTCCTTGAGGCTTATTGTAGGCTTCATACAGAGCATGAACCTCAGGCATACGGCAGAGGATTCTTTGGCATATATGCGCCTTCACCATAGCCACAGCATCGGGGTCATTTGGCCCCAATATGCCTCTTCTTACCCTGCTTTCCGGCGTTTCCACCAATGCCCTTGAGGCAAGGTCGATTGCATAGGAGCGGTATTGCAAGTTGCCATTCCAATTTGTAAGGTATGTAGGTGCCTCCGGACCACTGAAGTCACCAGTCATAAAGTGAGCGGTCTGGCCATGGGTCATGACGACGATATGGGACCCCTCCTCCGCCGTTGAAGCCAGATCTATGATCCGTTCCCTTACCAGAGCAGCACGGGTGAAGATCAGCTTCAAGTCATACGCGAAGCGGCTTCTTGGGTGGATCTGTTCCCAATCGTCAGGGACATGGCTTAGATCGAGTTGATCTCCATATTTCTCCTGAAGTTCCTCGATGGAAGATCCGAAACTCGAAATTGCGATTCCAGCCTCGGTCAGCTCTGGGAAGACAATGATTTGCTGCTTTTCTGCCACGGGGGCAAACGCCAAACGGATAGTGCTCAGTGCACGACTAAGCGGTGACGATATCAGATGTGTTACCTGGTCCATAAAGGGGAACTCGGAGGCCATCTTGATGCACTGCTGACGGCCCGCATCCGAGATTTCTGGGTCTCTCTTCGCCCTGAACTCCGGCAAGATGTTGTGCAAGGCCTCAGCGTGTCTAAAAACGTGGATAGTAGCCATTTTATTTTTTGGTACGTACGAATGAATAGGTATCAATGTTTTCTCTTTTCCTTCTCAAGGTGAAAGTCTTTGACTAAGTTGGTGAGAGTATGGTAATTCTGATTGGATTCTTTCCTATCCAAGCCTGGTATTTGGCGTGCACATATACTCATTTCATACAGACAGCTGTCCTAGAATAACAGGCACTGTACCAAACAGACGAGATTATTGCAGCCGACTCGACTGTGAGAAAACATTTTTACTGTTTTGTGGACATAATCGAACATGGTGCCCAGGTGATAGATCATAAGTACATCATGAGCTACAAGATTGTAGCCAAACATCAACGGTCATAACTCGGTCGAAATGTTGAAACAAGATACATATCCGACACCCCATATATTGATAGCCACCGTTGGTTCTTCAGCAGGGTTCGTGATGACTGTCCTAACTCAATTAACTGAACGTCATTAGTTAATGTCATATATCACATGTCTGTCTTTCGGATTTGTTGACTTACCCCCCCTTTGTTGTTTTGATAGGGTCAATTTACCACAAAACCCGGTGCAATTTCGTGTTCACCTTCCCCAATGTTTACACCACCGATCATTAGACCAACCCTATGGCTTGGATTTTAGGTTACGGCCAAACCTCCAGGTCACGCTGGAATGGCTTCTCGTTTGGTTGGCACTGTTAGAGTCCCCTGGATATGCGTTATCCTAAACGTCTCTTGCGTACCTATACCGGCCTGGTCCAGCATAGGCAGCTATCTACTTCTCTCAGAGGTGTGATTCACCACATGTCGCCTCGTCTACTGGCGTAACCGTCTTGAAGTTTCCCATTGTGGTTCAGGGTATATAGCTGCCCGCAGCTACCCCCTCTTAGAGTGACTTTGTCGGATGAAGGCATAATGTGAATGGTCGAATAGTATGTCCGTCACATTATCCAGGTATTAGTGACGCAAGGCGGCTAAAGATGGCAAGAAGCTCAGGTTTGGGATCCGGATCTCTTGCCATACCTAGTACAAGTCCTGAAATGCCAAGCAATGGCAGTAGGATCTACTTCACACAATGTCACTGCCGCGAACATCATCGTGAAGTGCCTTTCTTCCCACCACCCACGCAGTTCTTGATAATCCAAGGATGCAACTCGACCTGTTCAAGGGACAATCTCTTGAGCGGATCAACAACGAGTAGCTAAGCCGTCATATTAATAACCTGTCCAACGATTGACAAAATGTGCACACTTACTTTGTGGATGAGGTCCGAGGCATCGGCGCTAACGAAGGATGGAATAGTCATATCCGCCTTGACGATCCTCCTTGTCGTCAGGACAGGCGTGTCCTCGAAGGGCGCCTCGCCTGTCAAAAACTCATACATCAAGACACCCAGGGCCCAGATATCCACTTTATCGTCATAAGAATTGTCTGGGTTCTTCGAGCTAATCATCTCAGGGGGTAAATAATCGAGTGTCCCGCAGTATGTAGTGCGACGATTACTAGGCGCGTGCACACTCCAGCCGAAGTCGGAGAGCTTGATCTCTCCGTGAACACCCACGAGGATATTTTCGGGCTTGATATCACGGTGTATGATATGCTTACGGTGCAAGTAACGCAATGCACTAGTCATCTGTGCAATATACTTGGCCGCTTTAGATTCGGGAAAGCGTCTCGCTTTGCGCAAATGTTTATAGAGCTCGCCCTGCCCGGCAAATTCCAGGATGAGGAAGATGCGCTTGCTGTCGTGGAAATGGCCATACAGCTTCAAGATATTCGGATGACGGAGGTTGCTCTGTATCTCAATCTCGCGTCGTACCTGTTTCTCGACACGCGCTTGTTGCAGCTCTGTCTTGTTGAGGACTTTCAGGGCGCATATGAAGCCCGATTCGCGGTCCCGGGCTAGGTACACTCGGCCGAACTTACCCTTGCCCAGCCCCTTGCCTATCTCGAACATGCCAAGGTGGAGTGCTTTTATTGGCTGATCGATGCAAACCAACGGCTTGGGATCTATTGTTGATTCTTCATTTGACGTTTCTTTCTTCTGCGGAAGAGGCTTTCGAGTGGGTGGGACCGGGAACGCTTCTAGAGGTGGTGAAGTTATGGGTGCATTTTCCTTCTGGGTTTGCTTCTGATTTTGCAGAGCGACTTTGACGAGGTTCAGTCGGCTTGAGATTTCTGAGAGTGGTATTGCTGCAACTTTCACCTATTGGAGTTTTTACCTCGATCAGTAACGTTTGTGAGACGACGACGACTAATTGATAAGGGGTTTACCTTTGACTTTTTGTCCTCGGTGATCTCGTCACGGACTGATAAATTTTTGAAGCTGTCTTCGAGAATAGATGTTGCCATTATTTATGTGTGTGATTCAAATATATACAATAGAATGTTTTGTATGATCTTCTGAGAGAGCGGCGAGGAAATCAAAACATTCAGAGTAGACGTTATTTCAGCTTTGAAGATTAACGAGCTGCACATCCATCTCTTCGCTTAATGTTGCTGAGCAACAAGGTGGCTTTGTAGGACCTCGTGCATGCAATTATTAATAGGAGTAGCTACACCTACACTGCAGGTACTGTAATTCCCCGCACAACGCCGCTCTGCCTGATATGCACGTACATGTATCCAGGCACCAGCAGCCCCTTCGGGTCCACCTAGGTAAGGTCACGGCCAAAAGTACGGACCAAAATATAGGTGCCTTAGGTACCTACATTAGCCGTGCCCCATACATGTAGTGCGCCACGTTTCGAGGGGTCCTTCTATCATAGGTATTGTACAATACTACCTAATTCAACGTCGAGTCCTGACAAAGATAAATATTGGGTTGGTGGAAAGCGAGTTATAGCTACTTAGCGTGTCACTTGTTTAAGTGAAAGGCATGTCGGTTGAGTAATTAAGGTAGCTAAAATGTGTTTCTAGAAGCTGATGATCCAAGGAATAGGGGCTGTGATTATGAGAACGGAAGTATGCTAATGCGCTCACAGCAGAGGAGCATATGTCACAGAAGTCGACTTGCTACCTGAAAAGTACGATCGCGGGCCATTATTCTTCTTGACTAGGTAGTAACTGAATTATGTCGCAATAATAGGCCAGCCCCCAACGTTCAGGAGAGAATCGCCAGTGTCCGGAAATTGGATCAGCTGTGCAATGTTCCGCGCCTCTTCACAACGTTAGATATCTAGCGTTTATCCGAACTATGTCAATCTAATGCGATTTTCATTTGATTCTTTGACAATATTAGGCACATATAGCTCTTACGATGAATATCTAATTCCTGGAAGCGGATTGTTACATGATGGTATTTAATATGTCTAGGTAGGTAGGTAGTCTAAGCTTTTGATACCAAGTTGGTATCTATGTCCAACTTGAGAAGTAGCAGTCGAGTATCTCTAAGCGTTATTTCATATGTACAAGTTTTCCTCCTGAAGTCCTGGCTGCCATTGTCCTGCGGGAGTTTTGAAAAATAAATAAAAGAAGGGGGTGGGGGGGAACATGATAGATACCTACATAAGAGTATATGTATGTATGAGGGAAAGGAATGTCGTGAAGTGAAAAAAGAAGATAAGAATAGCCCTTAGCCCTGTGCTATCCGACTGACAGATTTTCATTTCCATCTTGTCGACTATTTGCCACTTCTCAAGTAAGAACCCTACGGTGAACTGCACGTCGATGCTTCACTGAATCCCAGAACCACCCCATTTATACATCTGTACACCTATGTAGCCAAGCTCGATCGAGAGACTTGGCAGTATTAACAGTTCGCCACCGGTTTCAACGCCTTGGTATCGTCTCTCATGAGTCAAAAATGGCACCGTACGCGGGGACTCCGCGTGTGGTCATGCCGTATACGACCTTCTCCGTCACCTTAGGGTTGGAGATGATGAATACGGCTTCGGCGTTGGATTCGTGGACGAGTTGGTACACCTCGCGAACAATGTCGGGGTACCCTCTCTCGTGGGTGTTCCAGATTACGGCGTTCGGGTCCGCTCGCTTGACCTCTGCTACGACCTGGGGGCCGTATGTCCCGAGAGGCTCTCGGGTACTCCAGAATACACGGCGGGGGGTGATGCCGGCAAAGAGCAGTGAAAGGCAAGGCCCAATACCGGATCCGGTCGCAACCACCACGATACGTCGGAACAGTTTGGAGGTGTATAGAAGACCGTGCAGGGGGGCACCACGCACCCACAGCTTTCGCTCGTGAGACTTCGCGATCTGCTCCTTGGTCCAGTCGCCGGCGTTGCTAACGACGACACTGAAGCCAACGATCTTTCCAGACTCGGGGTCTGTGTCGGGAATAGTGGCAAACGCATGCCACTCGGTCAGTGGCTTATCACTAATCTTCAGCCCGTAGAAAGGGGCCATGCCGCGGTACTTGAAGTGTAAGCGCGTGGCGTGGTTGCTCAGCTTCTCAGGGTACACAGTGCGGTGGCGCAGACGAGACCACGAGGCGATGGTGCATGAAGTCGAGACGCAAATGAACCAGAAGTTCGGTGAGCTGACGAGAACAGCGCCAAGGGACATGTCTAGCTGTCTGGCAGTAACTCTGGCAGAGAAGATGTTATGGACCCAGAAGGTGCTTAAAGCGGTCCAGCCAGCAAAGCGGTGGAAAGCCTCAAAGTAGTCGTGGAATCTTCGGCGTAGGTTGGGGTGGGCTGATGTCAAGATGATAAGGAACATAGAGACCAAGACCCAACTGGTAATCATGTTGACCAGCACATCTGTCAATGGCTCCTCGATCCATTCTTTGGTCGCCAGTACCGTGTAAAGCAGGTACCATACCACGGCGGCTGTTCCTGCGCCACTGTGACACCCACCATAGTGAAAGACCTTGGCCAGGCGCTTTCGGATGTAAAGAGGCCAGGAGTGGGGGACACAGGTGAATATCTCGTACCAGAGGTTCACGAACTCTTCTTGTCGGAACAGGATGCTGCCCATGAGGTTTGCAGACGCCGCACTACCCACATCTCTCGAGTTGGGATTGCCATTGGATTTAACCATCAAGGCCACGAATACAGCACAGTTGACGGTAAAGATGGCGGCAAAGATTTTTCTATACGATGAGGCGTATTTGTCTAAGACAGTTCAGCTTCAGGTCACACAGGCTAATAAGGGGTGGTCACTTACGGCGCACTTGTCGACTCAGCTCACTGCCAAGCTGTTCAGGTAGAACGGCACGCTCGGTGACTGCTTCGATTTGCTTTTCATTGCCGCCCTTGTCGGAGTGTATCGACGGCGTGGTAGTCCCCGTCGACGGGCCCGTCGAAGTGATCGGCGAAGGTGTCATGCTCTCTTGTTGTAAGGCACCCACCTGTCCCTTTTCGGAGTAATTCTTTGCCATGATGAAAAGAGGTCAAGAATGGCTTGGTATGATCTCTTGGGTTGGTTTTCTCGTCCTAAAGGATGGTTTGGCGCAGATGATTCCAGAAGTTGAGAGAAGCAACAGGGCGCAGCATGCAATATATATAAGTGCTCGGCGTAAGTAGGCGCAAGGGGCAAGGGACTCGGAGTCTTCTATGTGCGAGCTAATAGCGGCTCTCCGTCCACAGTCACTGTTCCGGAACCCATCGAACGATGCCTCCCTCGTTATCGACACAGGTCACTGACGGCCTAGTCCTACATGGCAGAATCTCCGAGTCATGATGGACGTAGTATGCATCCCCACAGTTTCAGTGATGATGGAGTCTACCAATCTTTCTGACAGTATACTGTATCTTGTTTGCTTTACGGGCTTCTAGATATGGAAATGCCCCAGGCCTATCCCTGTTTATGGTTGCCCCCCAATTTGTTCAAATCAGATCTGGTAGCGTACAAGCAAATGGTGTGAGATCACAGTATGGATGCCATGCTATAGCTCTGAAGCATAAGAGTAAACTTGCAAGTGGTAAATACAAACTTTGCGGAGATCGAAACTACTGCATTCAGGAACCGTTGACTGCAACACAACATAACTGTGCATATCTGCAGGCCGCATCGGGGCATTGTAAAGAACCGGGCGTGGACCTACGTGGTGGTTTACTGGGACAATTAACATGTCTAGCCCTAGCAGATGTTATGATATCCGATCTCTAGTATAGATCAAGTCATCTAGATGTACTGTAGGAACAAAGCAGAACTTACTACAACAACTACAACAATCGTCAAAATTTGCCTTCTAAAACTTACCAGGTAACCGCACTGTTAGCTTTTTGATTTCAGAGGGGCCCAATATGTGCGTACCCAGGGTATAGGTTCTTGATGAAATCCATTTTTTTATGTTTGTCAAGTTGAATATATTGCCTACCTAGCTAAATTACAGTTCGATGTAGAAAATCTGGGCAACTTAGTACGATGTAGTGACATGTGCCTATAACTTCTATCTGCAACTTGTGTCTACCTACATTTATCAGATGATTACTCTTTACCCTTGGGCCATTGCGGGATGAGACTACAGCCACTTCACCTATGAATTTGTCTCCTTGTACGGTTTAGGAAGTATTGATAACGTGCGACTTTCCTGATATTTCAGTCATTTCCATCCGTTCATGGACAAGTGTTAAGTAACAGGTTGGTAGGACACGCCCCATCTATACCAACCCACCGCCGAGCCCACCATTGAGGCTGAGAGACAACTTGGGCAGGTAACATTGGGTTTTATCTTGGGTGGTGTTACGAGTGCCATTCTCATTGGTCTCCTGAGAATGGGACACCCATGTCGCGACATTGTATACTAAGAAGTATCCCTCCTATACAAGTTTTTACTTACTACATATTTATATCGCGTGTTTCCGAGCTCGGTCGCATAACCTCAACATTTGTTATCTTGACCATTTTCAGGAATTGATGTGGTTCGTTCAATAGCTACCTAACTGTGGCGTATCTCGATCTCTTCAGGAGTTTTTTCGGATAAGAACCTGAAAAGGAAACTTTGTGTTAGACGATGTTACAGGAAATAGTTCAAGGCTTCATTCAAGGCTTGATTCAGCTGGGGGAGATACAGCATTGCTACTTACGCGATAGAGAAATCATGATAAGGGGTGGTAATTCTTGTGGATGTTGTGCTGTTAGAAGCTTGGCAGACGCTACTACGAGAGACAAGCTACGCCACGAGAGGTAGCTAAGATCCATTACCTGCCTACCTAAGTGTTACCTAACGGATAATAGTAAGTTGATTATTATTCCGATGCTTTTAGTGTTAAGACTGTCTTAGACGTTAGCGAAATAATACAGCTTCTCGAACAAATCCATCCATGAAACGCACTGACGTTGAGCATGCCGGTTCTGGGGTATTGGCGATCACCGTCGACAGCGATCAGCTGAAGTAGAGCGATCTGATCTTAATCCTTGTTTTAACAAATGTATTATAGTATATCCAATCTTTTACTCAGATCCGCCTTATATTCTTACTAGGTAAGGTTAGGTAGGTACCTATGTTCCAGTTGGTTAGGGGTCCTACCGTCAACCAGATTCGGGTTTTCAACATCATCCGATGTGGAAAGCCGATGCGGAAACATAATTGGTGCCATGTCCATGGTCACGACTCCGAGGAGGTAAGGGTGACCTACCTAGGTTTTTTAAGGGGGGGCTTTCTTTGCGGTGCATCACCATCTCTCAGGTCGCGTCCAATGACATCACGCTGCCGCTCAAAAAATATCCAGAATTAAGGGTCCTGATTATTTTAATCATCACCCTCAAACCCGCATTCACATGCCGAACGGACTACCAACCTTGAACATTTCTACTCTTCTTTACCAGCGGAGTGAACCGTGATCACTATACTTTACTACAATCAAAGGCCTCCCATTCAAACTTACCTAGATACACTACACTTGCTGACACCTGACTTCGTCGTGAAATGGACAGGTCATAGTAAGCACCCCTATAGTATGGATGCCTAGAGGGATACGCTTACAGACTGTGTCCTCCACTAGGTAGAGTAGGTAGTAAACAAAACGAAAACGAAACGATCATACTCAACACCTTCAACTCCATATACCCATTAATCCAAATGTGGAAGCTGAAATGAGGAAAGAGCTTCTTTTCTTGAGGCTAGAACTCTTCATCGAATCATCTGTTATCTCGACTGTTCATCTCTCGGCGTACGTACTGTATGGCTGGACAGCCAAGACCATCTCACGATTGACCAAGACCCAATTGCGCGAGCAGTCGTCATCATCGCCAAAAGCACATCTTGGTGTTTGGGTGCGTCATGGACTAGTGCCTACTATCGCCAGCTGCACGGCGACGATTGGGATATCATGATCGTATGAATACCCTGCCTAAGGTATCTTTCTTATTTGTTCGGCCTATTGGGCTATTGGCCTATCTCTTTATCGCCACCTCAGAGTTAGTCAAGCCGTCGGCACTCAGTAAGATCTGATGATGATAGCCTCAAGTGGCTAACTTCGGGATCATACCAGACTATGCTCCATTGGGACTAGTAAGGGGCAAGACGATAGCCTCCTACTAGGTATACATAGAATGCAGCAGTTGGCATAACCCCTATCTTCAAGAAATGTCGGATCTTGTCCTACTCAGGTAGGTGTATGCCTCATAATCCAGGAGTCCTATTACCTAGGTATAAGGCCGATTCTCGTCCGTTATTCATTCATGACTGATTAAGCATGCCACTACCTAGCATTAACAGAAATATCTGATGATAGAGAGACGTACCTGATATGCTCCCTTCGAATGATGACACAATTCAGCGGGCTGTAGTAATTATATTTTCCGATTCGCTTAGCCATGGCATTAGACCCGTCCACTTCACCAACATGCTATTCCACGTTACTGAACCTCGGTTCCAGCTTTGCCCCCCTCGTCGGAGCTTTTCTCTCTCGGAAACGGCGTCGGGCATTTACATTGAAACCGGTCGCTTGTTTGCCCCTATTTCGTAACCGAACCATACTCAGGTAGAATATGTTTCTTCTGGGTCTTCAATCGCAGAGCCAGTGTTACATCTTAGCGACGTTGAGGTGGGGAGATCCTAGACCAGAAAACCTCTTGGGAGGATCGGATCATACCTACTAGCTGGGTGCCTAAGGTAGAGATAGACACTTAGGGGGTATCTGCCTTTGCACCTTCAACCTGATTTGGATATTTGTATGCGTACGCAAGTGGCGAAAGCGAGCATCTGTTTATCCAGTACAGTTGCAACCACTGACTGTGACCATTGGCTACCTCTCTGGTGAGGATGTGATTGCACCATTCTCTTCGATTGACGAGATCACTTTCCCCTTCTTGTGGTGCTGCATCGAGATTCTAGACTCTCCTTCGAATTCATGTTTTGCCTCCTCTTAGTCAAGACCAAGTCGTGTTATGACCTCAACCTACGGATCGGTAGATAGGTACCTAGTTAATGACCTTCTTTGTGAGACTGGCCTTATACTACGGCTTCCATCGATGATGAGCGTGCCGGCTATTCTGAAACTCATAGAACCCAGATTCGAGCTCCGAATTTCGTTTCGTTATGTATCCGGAGCCCTGCTATCTTTGGCGGGCAGATACTTTACTATATGAGCTTCCCGATGAGATGGTGATAAACTTCGGTACGTTAAACTTGTGTGAAACCATTTTTGAAGGAGAATAGAAGCTGGAGTTTACTAGCAAGGTATGAAATAAGTAACGACTCAAATCTGCTTGCCTACATAGGACTGACTTTGAAAGCAGACTGCTGTATTCGTAACTATGATAAATAGCCACGTCCCAAGTCCATAATTGTTGGATATGATGGTTGATGTCAGATAATACCCCTCGAGGATATCTTATGTCTGCATTTCGGCAAAGGCAATGAGGCGCATCAAGTCGGGTTACCGACAGCCAAGTCTCTCTTTATGGGAAGGGCCGAAATACGCAAGCCGTGACACGCCTTGAATAAACATGGATCGAACGAAAGCTGATGGAAATATTTGTTTTGGTAGAGTTTCGATGGACTCCAATGTGTGGTGTATGAATGAATCACTATAGGTAGAAAAGAATAGGGGTTCTCCAGGGCTAGCGAGATCGATAATCGAGCATTAAGTATAAGTCCAACCCCTCAAATTTGATAATATAATAAAAATCGGACGCATTAATGACATTATATACACAGATTGAAAAGTTCCTAACAATAATGCAAACCTTGTTGCAGTGGCTTTGTCGCAGTGCAGCGAAATTCGCAATCCAGTCGGCCCTTTGGAAAGTCGGTGTGTAGGATGCATCGTCGAGCCCGGCCGCATCTCCAAAATGCCACACATGGCCATGCGAAGAAAACTCACTCCCCATGTGGTCTGCAATTGAGATCTATTATTAGTCTCCTTTTTCATATACGCCATAAACAACGCCAGGCGAAACTTATATCTCACCCAGCGTCCAGTAACGCCTCGATATACAATACATGCCCATACCTACCTAGGTAGATGAAAATACCAAACGCCGCCCTAAGGTTGAAACACGATACTTAGGTAGTAGCTACACCATCCCAAGCTCATAATTCATTCACAAATATACACATCACTCATTCGCCCCCGTCATCCAATCCTTCCCCCAGCTGCCCCCCTCCGCACCCAGCCCCTCAGCCGCAACATCCCAATCGCGCTCCAGCCTCCACGCATCCTTCGCCTCAACGCCCAGCGTCAGTAGATCGCACCCGCGGTGTCCCCACTTGTCCGCGAAGATGCGTCTCCCCGCATCCGTCAGCGTCTCCACGCCGGATCTGAACCCGTCCGCGTCGCGGTAGAACGGATCGTCGTGCCCGCCTCTCTGGCGGCCCTGCCACGCCTGGCGCTGCACACCCTTTTGTTGTTGTTGTTGTTGTTGTCGTTTCTGGCCCGCCCACTTGACCTCCTGCATGCGCCCCGCGACCTCGATCAGGTGCGCGAACGTCTCGCCTTCCTTGTCGACCCACGGCCACATGTCCTGCTCGCGCTTGAGCTCCGCGTCCCTGTGCGCGCGTTCCGAGCCCGCGGGATCTTTGTTATTCTTGTTTTTCTGTTGTTCCGCCACAGCGCTATTGCCGAGCTCGGCGAACACCGGGTCCCCCTTAAACGTCGCGTGCGCGCCGGGCACGCGGAACAGCGCGGAAATATCGTCGAGGGCGGTCGCGACGTCGAAGATTAGGCCGGCCTCACTCTGCGGCTGCCAGTAGCCGGCCCAGTGCAGGCGTAGGTACATGTCGCAGTCGGCGGCGGCGTAGGGGATGTGGGTGTCCCAGGCGCCGGCGTCGATGTAGGCGTTGCGGTTGACGAGGGCGAGGTGGTCGTAGTCGAAGAAGTGGGTGGCCCATGGCGGCATGTCCGGCCTGTTAAGGTAGCGGAGCAGGCCGACGGCGCGCTCGTAGATGGTCGCGTAGGGGTCGTGGTCCCAGTCGTGGTCGCGGTCGTTCTTCTTCACCTCCTCGTCGCTGAACACCAGCACGTCCATGTGGCTCCACCAGAAGAAGGGCCAGTCGCGCTCGACGGCGGTGTGCAGGAAGAAGTTCTGCAGCTGCGCGAAGCTGAGGAGCGTTGGTGTCGCTAGCACCTTGACTCCTAGGAGCTCAAGCGCCGTGTGGTTGAGGAAAAAGGGGTTTTGTAGTTCTAATTGTTGCTTCCGGTTTGCGGAGAAAGTGCCTGTGTTTTCCACCACGTGAATGTCCCCCGGCGGCCAACCCGCCGCAATGTAGCTACTTACGCATTGTAGTAGTAACGGCCAATTGGTCGTGAACCCGATGAGAAGCGGCGTCACTTCATCAACGTGGGGGTTAGGAGGTAAGTTGTTATCGAGAACTCGCGGCGGAGATCCCGAATAAGTTATCCATGGAAAATGGTCCCCAATTGGTGTTAGGGGAACTGGTTCTGGTTTGTACTTCTTCACGTACGCGACATCATGATTCTCGCCGTCAATCGGTGCTTGCAATTCCTTGTCGCGGGTATCCTGAGCGGTGCCAGCAGCAGGCTCTTCTATTGGCACTTTACCATCAGCGCCTTCACCACCGATAGCTGCAAGGCCGTCCTGGTTTGTCTCTGGTTGGGTTGGATAGAGGCTTTCCTTCCATGGAAATGATATATTGCCCACAGCTATATATAAAGGATCCCGAATGACGTAGTAAACCAAGAGGGCGGCTAGCAACACAAATACATAGCGGGCGGCAAGGGGCAAGACCCGGTTCGATACCATCCTCATCGTCGTTAACGTTACTATCTCCACACTATAAAGGCTCTGCTAATCATATTGGTCTGGGCTGCTTGGGAACTCTTTTTACCGGAGCTCTCTGAATCGTGGTTTGCGACTGCGCACTCAGAATTCGATATAGAAGTGAGACGTAAGCAATATATGATATGAACCTGACCGGGTAGATATGACAGGTTGGTTTCAATTAAAGAAATGCATCATCAGGGGGGAAGGTGACACACGATTAAAGAACAGAAGAGTGAAATAGAAAAAAGTCAACGGGAAGATCGGAGTGACTAAGAGGGCGACTTTAGCCATCTGCGTGGCTTCTTGAAGTTCTGCTGGCCTTGCTTGCTTGCTCGACGAGGGACTATTATCCCTACTATGCTGAACCTCGCCAAGACGGGAGATGTCTATTTTAAACAATCATTCGCTGGATTGACTTAGGATCGACGGCCTAGGTATTCAAACTTCCGCCAACTAGTTCGTTGCCGTCTAGGATCCTTCCGTGCGGAATAATATGTAAGTGTGTTTTCGTACTCGGTCGCAAAGTCACAGTCGCAATCTTTACTGGATTAATCATGGCCTCCAATTGACAGTAAGGGGCTAAATTGAATTAGATAAATTACCATGTACGATACCACATGTCCTAATGACCGAACCGGGGATTGACCGAGTGATCTGCTTCGGATCTACAGGAACAACAAGCTTTCAGAACATGGTCCGATTTAGCGTGGGAGGAGATGCTGGGCTTAGAGGCTTCACTTAGCAGCTTATGCTGTATACCTACTGAGCGTGGATGTATCAGGAAGCAAAGGAACTTCGCATCAACTAGGTATCTAATAGCCCTGGATAGTATATTATAAAGGGATAAAACTGTCTTAAATGACTGGCCATAACTATACATTTCCCTAGCTTGGTAATGCCTTTGAATAATTTCTCACTGGCACCCCTATTTATCCGCGTATAAAGAGACAGTCTCACAGTTTTCCGATGGGTTAGGCCTAACCCACATGCTAAATACCTAAGTAGGCAAGTAATGTAGGTATTATACTGCACAATGCATGTGTAGATGCAGATCACTGACCCTGGTGATCTTGATTGGTTGAATTAGTTCTCCGTATTCTGAAGATCACGGAGCGACAAGTATGCCACTGCTGCTGAGCTACCTATCTAGGCAGGTGCTAAATTAGGAATTATTATTTACACATACATAGCTTGATTTCCAGAAATGATGAAATAAGAGAGCTTGTAGCGAGATGGATAAGTCGTGATTTTCGACTATTTGTAAATACATATATGTCTTTGACTGCGGAATGTGTTTTTTTCGGTGCTGGAATGGTATAGGTATACAAACTCTCTGTAGAAACGAGAAGAGAAATTGGTTTTCATCAACAATCCTGATCGAAAGAAGTAGCAACAACAAAAAAAAATGAGCTAGAAATCCCACCTTCGTAGGTAGGTAAATGGCATTGATACAGCAATTGGATTTGGCGCCACTTCGCCCTCCACCCCCCCTTTCAAAATCATAGTCCAGAACGCCGTCTTTTTCATCAACCCCCCTCATTATCCTGCTCCATCAAATTTGGTATCTTCGAGGCAATGGTGTGCGTTATGTAACCCGGTACCGTAAGCTAGTATTATTCCTCATTGACTCCTCCCATAAAGAAGCCGTTCGGTTTACTGGGCTTCTTTCCCAGCTTTAACATGCTCAGCCGTTTCCTAACCGAATTAAACCCTATCCCGCCGTCGTTAGGCCTGTCGAAATCACTCTCGAAGACATCTACTATCTCTTTGCTCTTGCGTGACCGGTCCACTGACCATTCGGGTATAGTTGGATCTACAATACCGTTCGGGTATGTCTGACTGTACGGATTTGAGCCGACATTTGTGTCGTTTGATGGAGATCGGAATATGCTCCTACGAGTTGAGTTATCTTTGCCCTTGCTTGTCTGACTGTTCGAATCGCTGTCTCCCTTTGTCTGCTTCAAGCTCGAAGCGTCTCCATTCGGTTGTTGTTGGTATTCCTTCTTCTTGCCACCTAAGAAGCTTAGCCGTGTCCCACGTTGTCTTATTGAGATTGGCTGAATGGCTGATGCCTCTTCGACAACGCCATTTGAAATTGCCATCTGTGTCATGGCCTTGGCTTCTGAGGATGGGTTCTCGGTAATGGGAGACTGCCGCTGCCAAGTTGGCGACGGTGCAGAAGAACCATTATCACGAGGCTGTTGAGCAGGGGCAAATATTGCGATCTCTGGAGCGAACGTGGTCAAGAAGTCTGCATCACGTTAGTCAAGTTCAAGGGAGGTTGACTGAAACTACTCACTTCTATAAGAGTCCTCATATCCCTTTATGAGGACGGGGTTCGAACTGCGAGCGAAGCTAGTCAAGCATCTCTTGATCATAATCGCGTGGTCAACAAGCGCCATCTTAATTGCATTATCCTGCTGGTCCAGCTCTGGTTCATCGTCATCGGCTTGGGGGGTAGGAAGGAGTTGGTGATAACAAGCAACGCTACTCTCCGATACGGGATTGACTGATATGCTAATAGCGTCTACCATCAGTTGTGCAATCTCCTCATCATCATCCTCTGCTAGTCTCCGCTCAACTGCTGTCATTTCCTGCGTTTTTCGGACAATTCGCTCAAGCGCGGTCTCCTTTGCGCTAAGTCGCACAGTATGCACATCCACAATTTCACCACGTCGCAATATGGTTGGGAAAGGCTCCGCTGTGGTGTAGACAGTCTTTTCGGCATAGTGGGTGTCGACAGGGCCGCTGGTACTGCGCTTCGAGGATACAGAAAACATTTGAGCATGGGCTGAAAGAAGGTAATCGCGTATAGGCTGCGGGACTCTGGATCGCTGGAATACTTGGTGGGTCAGATCACGATGTGGGCTGAGGGCTGATATGACTAGAAATTGCCCTTCAACTTCGCTGTCGACGTCGCTAGACGCGAGTATCTGTGCAGCTGGGTACTGTTCCTGCATGCGGTCTGTGAAGGCTGACGTGCGTTCAGTGGGCGAACCTTCATATACAAAGGCCTTGTCACGCAGGTTTAGGGGGAAACCAAGGCCCTTATAAACCACCTTGAAATACTTGGGAACCAGCTTATCGCTCTTTGCCAGCTTTTCGTATATGGTCGCAATGGCCCTTTCTGTCCTTGCAAGCTTGGAAAAGTCAAAGACGTTGTTCTCATACTGAACTTGAAGCTCTTTATACGCGGCAAGGGCGCTACTCCAAGCCTCTCCATCCTCGAAGTGCTTGATCATGTCGAAATAGATACGCTCCTTGCGCTCGAAATGCGACTGCTCTGCAAATTCTGGATCTTGTAGGGCGGGTGTGAGCTTTGTAGGATCCCAATCATACAACTCAGCATGAAGGCGGAGAGCAAGGCCGGCCTCGGTGTGATTTCTAGCATCGAATTGCAACCCAGCTAACTGGTGGACATATCGAATAAATATCTCTTCCTTCTGCATATCTCTGAGGAATTCCATGAGCTGCAGACGGTTGATCAAATGCGAAGCCTCGCTTGTGGTATCGCCGCTGTGGACGGCGACGAGAAGATCTAAAAACTCTGCAATGGTCTCGATTAGAGTTCTTATTGCGGCGTATAAAGGGTCGCCATCGACGTGCGATAAGGGGTGGAATCTTTCGAGTAGCTCATTAACGAATAGCTTCTGTAGAATACTCTCGGTCATGATCTTGTCCTTGAAGAACCCGTCGAGGCAATCAATCATCTCGGTTTGGATGACGGATAGGTCCTCGCTCAGCGTCCACTCACTAACAATCATAGTTTGCAGGACTTCCACGGCCATTCTTCTTAGACCTTCGTGCACGCTCAAGCAAAGCTCAACGATCGGGCCCACAAGAGTTGGCACGTATTGGACTTGATAGCCTCCCATTTTTGTCAAGCCATACCGCGTTCTTTCATCGGGACTCGTCTCCCATCCTATGGCTTCCCAAGTCCTTCTCAGCAAATCGGCGCCATGTTCTCTCACATCACCAGCAATCTTCCAAACTGCTCTTCGCTTCTGTTCAGAGAACGTCTCTAGCGCCAAGTGTTCACTGCCAACGAGTCTAAGGAGTGTACTAAAGAACATTCGCCATAGCTCCGTGTCAAAGTCTTCAGCCTCATCTGGATCTGGTAGAAAGGACTCTAGGAGAATGCTTGCGAGATACTGCAGTGTCCTCATAGTAGATTTATGATGATATATGTAAACGCTGAGCCAACTTGACGGGAAAGCTTCGCCCTCGAGAATACTCATGTGTACGTGAAGCGTGTTCTTTAATAGAGTGGTGAGATCCTCCACAGCTAGTTCAAGCTGCATTCCGTTCGGCGAGTTCGAAACGGCGGATAGGATAGCTGATAGTTCGATCAGGGCTTCATCAAACAGTACAGCCTCGCCAGTTATCGGCTTGCTTGGGAAGGGGTATGTTGTAGGAAAGAGAAGAGAGAATTTGCTCTTAGGCTTCAACTCCGTAGCCTGAATAGACAAGTATGATCCTATGATCTTTGGTATGTAGTCAGGGATCTCAGAGTTTAGACGATCAACTTGACTAGCTAATACTGAACAGCAAAGGCGAACTTGATCCCTCCACTGGTCCGTAATCTCGTCCGTCCGACCCCAATGTGGCGCAATCCATCTAACAGTGTTAGCACTGAGGGCAGCCCGTTGCTCGGGACCAGAGAAAAGATCTAGTTTAGAGTAGTTAATAATTAAAACCAGCTTGTACAATACTAGCTTCCCTTTGACAAGAGCACATGAATCCATAAAGTCGATGGCTATATGAAGAATTTCTTCGGTTGTCAGGAGTCCAGTGAGTTCGGGTAACCAGGTGTGAAAATGTTGCACGGCCAATGTCTGGCTTCCAACCAAGACCGGTGCGGTGCTTCGCATCATGGAATCAAGAGCCTTGAAAATACTCTGCAGGTGTCGCGTAAAGCTAGCAGTACTGCCCGTAATGCCAATTCCAGCCTCCTTAACCTTCTGCTGTCCTCTTGCGTGCGTTATAAACTTTAGGATGTGGCGTACGACTTTGAGGGTCGCTCGTAATTTCCGAGCAGTATCTGACTCGGTCGGCTTCGTCAGTAGTCGCGTGAAGGACCGCACAAGACAAGGTGTTGCAAACGGGTAGTTAAATCGGGTTTCGGCGTAGTGATCAACCAAAGGGCCCAGATTGAATCGCCGATCGTGGACAATGCCTAGGACTCGAACGAGAGCTGTGAAAACAAGATCTTCGTACTCATCATTGCCCTGGTATTCGACGAGAACACCGAAGAGAGCATCCAAGACGTCGTTTAACAGTTTGACTACCTCGATTTCAGGCACAAAGATCAGCTGCTTCAACAATGACGGTATCTCATCTCGGGGCCCTTCTTTCCATTTCAGCAAGCCAAGGACTATGCGGTCCTGAGAAAACCTTGTACTACATAAATAGGTCTCGACCCGAAGCGTGGCAAGTGGTCCAGTGACTTCGCTCGAGTCTCCACGAGCACTCCATGGGAGAGAAAGATAGCCGCCCTTACCAGCAGCCCCAGCCTGTGCTGTTTGTGTGTGTTCGTCAAGCTTATACAGAAGCAGAGAATGTGAACCGTCACCTAGGAATGCGTGTTGATCCCACAACGGCATGTATGCAATTGCAAATGGTGTAGCAGGAAGGTCGGAGACGGTGAGCACAACGTGAGCGTTGCTAACATCGGCAGGTAGAAGTGAAAGACGAAGAGTCTGGTCCCAACGTTCGTTGCGCTCCACGGCGAACGAACGCCATGTAGTCAACGCTTCTGAATTCGAAGATGGGTATATGCAGTCTTCAATTCGCTCCCCTGATTGGCGGCGAACCTCCAAGGAGACCATAAGGTTTCCACCGTGCACACTACTAGATATATTGGTAGCACTGGCTCCAAACCGGGAAAGCAGGCTCTGGCGAGTGAGGAGAGCTTCGGAGAGGGTCACATAAATATCAGACCGAGGCTTCGTTGGTGCGCCGGAGAACCCCATTTTGTTAGTCTTGCTAATGCCTGATAGCAATGTGGGGGTTGATTTGACGAGGAGTTCCGCATCCGGGCTGTTGAAAGATTTCAGATGAACCTGCAGTCGTTCGGCCCTTCTGGACTTCTCGTAGTGTCCGGATTTACTTTCCAGGAGGTCGCGAACCATCCCATCCCATCCTTCAGCGCTGTCGTATTTCTCAGTTGAGAAGCCCGCGGACGGCGACCAGACAGTAAGTACATGTTCCGTTTCTTCATCCTGTTTCATGATCTGGTTAAGGCTTAGAACACCGATACCCACCATTCTCTCCGCGAGCATATGCAAAGGCTGTGGTCCGTCAATAGACGGGCGCGGTCCTCTCGTTGAGCCTGCAGTGCTTGGCGGATATGTTCCGTCTCTACTTTCTAAGCCTTCCGTTCGTGGCCTTTCTTCCGGCTGCTCAGATAAAGCGTCAAGTTTGGTTCCCCCTCGAGAAAATGCGGACCGGGTATTTCCCCACATCAAGCTTCTCCTAGAAGACTTATTACCGCCAGAAGATAGAGGTTTGTCTTTCGAGAACGGCGCGTTTGGCTGTCCGAATGACCCTGACCTTGAGACTGGCTTGCCGAATACAATATGCTGGGGTGAGCGGACCTTCACAATGAGGTACAGTTCCGAGTCGGCAGATGGCCCGTCCCCAATATCAGATGAGGTTAGATCAGTGAACAGAGTACGCATCTGAGGATTTCTAGTCAAATAGCCCATTGTACCACCGGCGGGGACCTCGATTATGTAGCTCTCTGATAGGGTTGTCAAAGTGCCTCCAACCGACTTACTGACGAGGTACAGCACTAAAGTCGTCTGTTCGTTCGAGGAGCCAGCAAAACTCCGAATATCAACCATTAGGTGGTGTAGGGCGGACAGTTCAACCTGGGGTTGTGGGGGCTCGTCCAGAAGGCTCATGACTGACTGAAGCTTTGTGATTTCTACGACAGAATCATCGCCAGTCAGGACTCTGCCTCGTTCGTTGGGATCGCGTACTATGACTTCCCCTCCGCATAGTTTATTTCCCCTGACTAGATCCCAGACCGTCTTCTCGCGCAGCGCATTGTATTCCCGGGTTGTGAGTAGATTATGTAAAAATTGCCGTCTTGACAGGTCTAGAGTCTGGATTAATTGAGATACCTTGTCAAGCTTAGCATACTGCCGGGTGAGTAGTAGCTCGTGGAAGTTCGTCGAATGCCACTCTCGAAGGCACGATGCGATCTCATCTATGAGGGGTTCCATAGTCGATGTAGGTGTCTCGTCGCCTAGTCTGAGCATAGGAACTGGTGCCGCTGGCTTAGGCGCTCCTGGTTCACGGACTCTAAAATCAGACACGCGCGTAATTGCTCCGCCCAGCATGGCACCGTTTGGTCTTGACAGCCTGTTCCCATTCTCTATCTCTCGAGCGTATGACTTTCTTACGGTCGACGAGGCCACCCCACTCTTTCCAGAGTCGCTCCCAATATGCGGCGCGTCCTCATCGCCTTGATAGTTGCTGCTATCATCTGAATTTCCATCTCCATCGCCTAACACCTCGCGAATCTCAACGCAACTACGTGGGAATATTCCCGAGAATACGCGAGCTTCAAGGGGCTGACCCTTAACAGAAGTCAAACCGGCCAAAAGCGAAGGAGGGGCTAAAAGATATCCCCTTAGCCATTGGCCATCGACCGTCTCTTCTATGATATATAGATCATCGCCAATCTCTAGAGGGAGCTCGTTCTCGTCCTTAGTCTCAAAGGGGTAGGTCGCGACGGCGAAAGCGATACGGGGCAGCGGTTGCCAGGGCATTGGAACGGTTGGTCACACCGTAGCTGCGGATCGGTCAACCGCATGAGGCGGCGGCGGAAATTGTGGAAGAATTTGATCTTGCTTCTCACGCGGTTACGTACAGACGGGCGGAGAGCGGAATTCGAGAAGTTCAATGGTTTTCTATATGGCAAGTAACAAGTGACAAACTGCAAGCCTATTACAGATTGAAGATGAGTTTCAAAATGGAAGAATTTGATGGTTCGATAGTTGATACCATAGGACAACCTCTTTTTTTCTTCTGTTATTTTCTGGATTCAAGTCCGCTGTCGCAAATCGTGATGTGGCTAGTCCAGGAAAATGAGAGATGGACGTCCAAGTGAAGGAGGAATCGTCGAAGATGGACAGGAAAAAACCACAAAAAAAATGATGATGGTCGAAGAAGATGGGGGTATCAAAGATCAAACAGGTGGGAATGCAGCTAGAGAAGGAAAGAAATTGATCGGATAGTGGTGAACCTTAGAAGTCTACAATTAAGACGAAATCCAGCAGAAGGTTAAGAAGAAAAAGAAAAAAAAAAACGGGTATTCACACAATAGGGTACTGAGAAGTAATTCTCGTATAAGCAGTCAAGAACTTTGATAATGGGAAAAAAGTGAAGACAAAGTTGGACAAGGGGGTTAGAGAGTTGAAATTTCGACGAACAATTGACGAACAATTAATCCCATCCTAATGTAATGTTCCTAATGTTCGTCAAATCTTTATGAACTTATCCATTCCCAATAACTTACTAGTATGGGCTACTAGTATGGTACCTTGTAAAATAGTGTCGAGATGGGCCAACATGAGTTCACAACTGGGACATGGACATGCTGGGACAATGCTGGGACATGCAAGGGGTCAGGCTGAAGAAGATTGAAGTTTTTAGTGTGCCTGTGCCTGGGGCCTGAAGTGCCTGGCATGCCTACCTACCTAACCTAGGTACAGTAAACCTTGGCCATAACGATTCGGTAGACAACGATATTTTTGTATAACGATATAATTTTGGGAACATTGCAATTTTGTATGGGAAATAACGATATTTTAACCTTAGCGATATATCGTTAATTTTTTGACCGCCACCACCAAGATCGTTATGGACCATGTGTAAAAAACCGTTTATTTTGATAAATTTTTGGTGGAATAAGTGGAATTTTGCGTTTGGTAGCCAATTAGACTGTCCTTTTTTCAGGTAAATCTAATCACCGCCACGATATCTAATCGCCGAAAAATTGGCTTACTGCATAATATCTATTGTACAATATTTTTCATAAAATAGTAAGTACCTTTTCCAATAAAATGGCAGTAAAGGTACAACGGCATTACACGGACCATGACAGTGGGTCCATCTCTACATAACGATACCTCTCTATAACGAATTAAGAGTGGTGTTTTTTCCATATCGTTATGGCCAAGGTTTACTGTAGTACTATGTAAAAGTATAGGTACTACAGAAGCAGCTACATGTAGGTCGCTGCTGATTCTACAACTTGAACATACATACTATGTACCTACATAGGTAGTGTGACCGTATGTAATAATACAAGTACCAGCTATCGTAATCCAATAAGCTGTGAGCTGAACCATCCTAGCAACTTGGAAGCTACTGCTACACTATCAATTGATCTCTAACCTAGAGTAATCTCTTAGAACAACCTGTAACTGGACAAGCTCTGAGACTGGAGGGCAAACAAAGAAATTTGACTTACAGGCTTGCTACTGCAATGGAGCATTGAGCCACTAAGGAAGCAGGTTCAAGATTGGGAACATTATCCAATTGGACAACTCATTTTTTAAGTTCGCGGTGTGCCAAGGCTAGTGTATTGGAATGAAGCACTAATGCTTTATCCAGCTTAGTGCCCTTATCTCCAGTTACAAAAATACAGTTTATCATCCTGACTTTAATACAGGTCAATGCGCACAAGCCAGGCACAAACCCACATGGCATATTAATTGGTGGCGCCGTGGAGGGGGATCATCACACCTACTCCACTACCTAATAGCCCACAGATCAACTCTTAACATGTGCCCAACATTGAACTTCTGCAGTACACCAAGACTGACCAAGTACACCACAATGTACCATATTATGTATTACATTGATTCATTTACTCAACAGACTTGGCAACCATTAGAGAGATTCGGCGTTTGCAAGCACCTCTATACTGATATTGTATCCATATATCCAGCATATTCGTCTGAAGAGTACGATGCAGTGTGTATTTCTATATGTAAATCTTCGCATCTACTTCAACATTGCATGGCATTGACAACAAAGCAAGTAAATATAGGCATGTACGAAGTATACACTATAAACGTCCGAATCATATGTGGACGGATGCATGTGACTCCAAGCCAATTGCTACACAGGTAATATCCCAACCCTATTTAGCTTTATATATCTGTATGGGACGGAGTATACTACAAATGTTCTCATCGCTGACGAGTACAGGCAGATAGGTATGCCAGCAGCCATCATCCCGAGCCTATCAAGTTCGCTCCGTATCTGACCTGAAGCCGGCTCGGTTCAGGCTTTCCCCTTAAGCAGTACAGTTCCTCAATGTCTACATGGTAATTGAGGATGAGAGAATTGTCTCTTCTCTCTTTGTCTTGAAGAACAGGATGTCACGAAACTTTGAGCTACATGATGTCTGTGCCAATGGCCCATGTGCTAGGTATCGATATAGGTATGTATCTGAATATCACCTTAGCTGCCAAAAAGCTTACATTGCCGGGAACTCAGTAATATGACCATCATCATGTCATATATCATAACCAACATGTAAGCGATCGACACTGTCCACAGATGTATCTGCTTGCGTTGTTAATGTGTATGTAGTCATATGAATACTCAGGGCTTAGAAGACGAAGACTTCGCCACAATATAATCCCTTTTATGAAGATACTACTCCTTGGAACACATTTCGAGAACCAAGCACCGAACGTACCGAACGTATCGATTTGCAATATGCTAACCTACATGTGGTATTTACCTACATATCCGCGGTTCTAGGTAGTTACAATTTGGTCGCAATATTCATTCCATGGATGAATGTAGAAAGCGATTTCTTGTCCCCACAATGGCTCCAACACGGGCACTAAACCGTCAGGGGCAAACCGATAGGCTTTGCTAGGGTTTTCCTTGCATGCCGGTAGGTGCATAGCAATATGCAGCAAAAGCAATGACGACGATTTATAATTTGACATGAATGCAGTCTTTCATCCCTTGAGGCTTGGAGGGTATCGTCAGTACTACTATGTAGTATCTACCCTAGATACCTAGGTTAGGGTATATTGTTCTACATGTAGGTAATGGAGACAAACCTAAGGTTACAGATAGTTACTAATAGACACAACTGGTCATCAACGAAATCAATCTTGGTTGCTACCATCGCCATCTTACGGAATAAACCCGCTGGTATAGACATTATTAGTCTCTTCTTCTCTAAGCATAAGGAACTCTCGAAAACTGGCCTGAACAACCATCATAGTACTATCTGATCTCCAGCTATCACACCAAGCGCATTTAGCAAATGGTTTCTGACAGTCCCTGACAATACTTGATTCGTCCTACTTGGGACGCACATTCAAGAAGTAAGATATACACGCGTAGCCTTTACATCGGGTCAGAAGATAAGGACGGAATATCAACACCAATGTTCTTTCGATGCTACTATACCTACCTATATACATACGTCACTGAGAATATCACACATTAAGCTTCAGGAACCTTTTCAATGGCGACTACCTAAACCCGCTCGCAGATGCGAGAAGTAGACGAACTCTATGTCGCAAGGCGGCAAGTCCAAGACTGAAACTACTTGGCCCAGTACCTATGTAGTAGCTATCAGGTTGCTTAGCTATTCCAACCAATAAACAAATGGAGTTGTCGTTCATGTCATACAAATATTTCAACACAGGAAACCATGACGAACAAAGGAAACGTTTCTGAAGGAATACGAAAAATCCATGTTTAGCTTCCAACATCATCCTTCACATCTCGGTTTCAACAAACCGGCCCCTCCCTGTACCCGTCGAACCATACCCCGAGTCCGATTCCTTTTCCATGCACTCGGCGGAACTTCCAAACTCAAATGGAGCAGTAAAATCCAGGTCGTCTAATCCACCGAAGGAAAATGGCATGTCAGATTCAAGGTAGTACGAAAGATCCATTGAAGCGTCCTTGGCCCCGTCAGTTGTCATGGTAGAATATTCCCTGACTGCAGAGATGCTCGGCGTTGGTTCCCTTGTAATTGCAGCAGGAGTCAATGATGGTGACCGATCATCGTGTGGTGAGTCCCGGAAGATTTCGAACAGGCCATCGCGGACAATATCGGCAAGGCCACTCAGCACAGCAGCCCCTACCCTTTCAAAGGATCTCTCTACCTTTTTCTGCACAACTCTTGGTAATTCCTTTTGGATTCTCTTCTTGACTCTTCTCCATTCCTCTGCCTTCTCCTTGGAATCGCTTTCATCATAGTCTTTAAGGGTTATTAAAATCTGGACGTGGTTATATTGACCAGAAACAACTTACATGGACTTGGTGTAGCTTGTGGGTTGGCATTTGGGAATAAAATTAGGTATATGTCCCTCCATCTCTGCTCATCGGTCATGCCAGGACAACTCTTCTTCCGTACTTTTAGCTCAGCTTCAGTAGCTTCATCGATGCCTTGTAGTGCTGGCACTAGCTCCATCTTCTCGCAAAGCACGTCGGCTCGAAGGTGCTCGGCTAGGTCCCTTGCATCTTCGAAGGGATCGTTACACCTCGGACAGGAGTGTTTTGGAAGACGATGGACCCGGTACAAATGCTCTCTTCACGGATTCCTGTCAGCAAGCATCGTGATATCAACGGGACTTTCCCTTGGCTCTTACTTCAAGCGATGGATAGATGTCCAGCCTGGTCCACTGCAGCTTCGTTGCTTGCTGTGTACTCTTGGGTCATGCTTGTAGAAAGGGCAGGCGAACTTTCGCTCTGCCTCAATCTCCGTTTTGACACGTTTACTAACGCCTCTGTTGGGATCACCTTCATCACCACCGGCTGAGGAGTTATCCTGCTCATCTCCGCCTAGGCGGCGTTTCGATCGCGTTGACCGGCCTGATCCGCCTTGTCTAGAGCCACTGTTCCCGGCACTTGAACTGCCAGAACTACAGGTAGAATTTCCTGATGCTTCTGACGCTTCATATGCGTCTGCTTTCTGTCAGTACAAGATGAAGAACTTGACACCTCGCATCAGGGCTAGGCAATAGGGGGAAAAGAAGAAAAGGAACTCTGATTATTACGACATACTGCGATTTCGTTAGTTCCTTCTCAACAGCTTCAGAGTCGTAATTAACCAAACCAAAAGCATGGCATCTTACTATACGACCAGGGGCATCTCGTACTCACCAAGAGATAATCGCAAGTCTCTTATCAAACCATCGTGTAAACTGAGCCATTACAATCGCAACGGCCTCTTGTTTCTTAATAGCCACGTACTGATCTGGTGTCAGTCCTATTTCGCCGTGGCTGAGTTGGCAATGGCTGGAACGATAAGCAGCGCCTGCTTTCCTTTCTTTCTCCATAGGGCCGGCTGATCTAGGCTGCTTCTTTGATAAGTCGCCAGGCTTAGATTTGTTGTTCTGTGTATTCAATTCCTTCGTGCATACAAACTCAGCTAGGCATTGCTCGGAAGCTTGGCTAGTACTCTCGGGCTCATCAATGACCATCAAGTCTGAATCTTGGGCGCTATCCAGACCAACTACTGATATGTCTGATCCACTATGCTACAAAACAGTAAGAATTATCTCACTTCCTCTATGACAAGAGTCTTACCAAGTTACCAGCGCGGTTTGGTCCTAATAGATGTGAGTTAACGATGCTGTTCCTGAATGGGGTCAATTGCTTGACCATGCTTCGCTTGAGCCGATGTCGATCACGACTGGTTCTGATCTTCCACTTGGAAACAAGTTGCGCTGTAGTCGCGTTCCAGGTCTTCTCAAAGTATGTGTTGGAGTCGATCTGGCAGTTACTAACCGGTTGCAGCCGCGCTACAACACGGTGAGAGTTCGGGTCAAAATGCAAGTGAGTATAACAGTGAGGGCGGTCAGGGTGAGAGACAGAGCTCGCTGAGTTAAGGTTGTGGGCAGGGAGTTCCGTTTGAAGCATCTCTCCTAAGTCTGATGCGGAGTCATCACGTAGGCGTTGGGGGAACAGTCGATTATAAATAGCATTTATTGAAAATAAGGGGGTAAAGTTATATGTGGCCACTGAGGCTAGCAAACACAAACATGCTCAGTCCCTTAAATCTGGATACTTCAAAGGTTCTTAGAAATGAAGGTGTGAAGAGAGTGGAGATGGGATCGCAGTATACCACAGAGTCCTGACCAAAAAGGCATATTTATTCCTCGATAGTTTTGCGCAACGGCGCAAAACGAGGTGGAGATAATGCGCAAAGCTGACCTTCTACCAATCACACCTGCAGTGGAATTCTCGATGCTGATTGCGTAGAATAGCCTAGGACACGCATCGGGGCACACATTCTAGGAATGCCTAACAATATTGTATCACACGCTATGGCGAACTCCGTTCCCAAGTCATTGGGATTGCCAAATCCTAAACACGATACCGATCCGAGGAATGAGCATGCAGCGAAAACCCGAGTTGAGTCAGGTTCATGAATAGCAACTCTTCAATACTCGGACGCGGGTACGATGCCTTGAGCAAAGCCTCGAGGCCCCCATCGCGCTTCTGTGTGTTGGGTAGCTTCATGGCCATAAAATGGCGACGATGGAACGAAATGGCCGATGAAGTATCGTGAGCGACATCAACCTACAATCAAGTCTATTAGTCTCTCATATACAGACGAGCTCACGTTAAGACATCTTCAAGCCTGGTCGGTCATCCAAAAAAGCAATCGGAATTTGCCAATCTTTTGTCAAAGTTATCGGAGTCCACTCGTCGGCATCACTCTAGACAAACGACAAACTTGAGTTGCGTTATGTCGCAGGTCACCATCAGGTCGAATCAGGTGTCTGGCCAGTCGTGAGTTAAGAGATTTGAAAAGAAATAAATTTTATTTATTAACGGACGACTCCGACAGAAGCCAGCAGACTGGGTCGACCGAGACAATGAAGTCATATCTCTACAGCGGCCCTAGCACAGCAACAGAGAGGCTCGTCCAAGGAAATATCATGTCTGATCAGGATATCACAGATAGAGTGCGGCGGGTGCAGTTGCAATTAGAGATATTAGTGAGACAGGCCAAGGGGCAGGATCCTCAACCATCTTAGGGCCGAGAAGTTGTTGTTAAAACAAAGTGTACTTGCGAGAGAGTGGGATGAAATGGGGGATGGAGACTTCCCAGGTTCTTATAGATAATAGAAGGGTCTATGAGAAATGAGAAGGAAGAAAGCAAGAGGGGTGTAGAGATTAATACTATATATACATACATACGTTTTCGTGGTCCCAGACTTCTCCCATGTCTGGTCTGAGCGCACCTACAGCAGTAGTCCCCCCCACACCACCCTTCTTCCGTATGCACACCAAGAGATCCTTTTTACTTCTCTCGAGACTGCACTAAAACATCTGCAAGACTTTGGCGATCGCGGCCAAGTAGCGACCAGTAGGAGTGGCCTGTTGCATCGTGTCCATCGTCCCCAGCCAATGGGTTTTCGACGGCCCCACGACAGGCAATCGACGAGTATTGGAGGAACCAAAACGTCCTAGAGCCCCATCGGGCAGCAACTACGATCGACGACACACCTATTATTGGAGGCTTCATTCTAGGTTAGGAGTGTGGTTTTAAGTCGTTCGTTCGTGTGGATGGTGCCGTTTGAATGGGCCTATCAATTCGGCATCACATGGACGGACTATTGGCTGCATGTAGGACATGCAGTCAATCTACCTATCTACCTACCCACTGGGCATCTAAGTAATTTACACATGTAGTTGTTGACTCGATACCATGGCTACTCTTCTGAAGCCATTGCTTGTGGCGTTTTTTTCCTTCCAAGGTGAGTCGAAGATGAGGACGTACACTTGTGACTCATGGGTCAGAAGAGAGAAAGGGTTACATATGTCTACCTGGGTAACCAAGGATCGAAGTACGGCTAGATACACTACATCGAATCGGATTGATGTTGGTTGCCTGCAGAGACTGAAGGAATACCTGCCTACTTACATATCTTGCGTCGTACCGGTGTGCGTAATCATATTCTTAGATACAGGCATCTGGTTCGTATTGATGACATCCTCCGCATTGTGTAAACATGTAGGTTACGGAGGTTGCAAGAGTTCCGGAAACCTGTCTGGCTATTCAAGGGTTCGAATATGGATGAGCATCACGTATTGTCGAGACTACCCTCGGAAGATACCTGGGTCAGTTAAGTTAGGGTAGAATACACCATAGGTCTAGCATCCAATCTGAGTCGACGCCACTTGTATGTTTCTCCTTTTTGTTGGCTGCCCAGGTGGGCTTAAACTCGAGCTTGAATATTATTAGTCCTTACCCAGGCCTGTTACCTGTTTAGGTGCGTATAGTAGAACACCCGAGCTACATATTCCCACATCACTTGATCTTGAGCACCACTCCCTCCATTTCTCATATTATAGTAGGTTAGTTTAATAATAATAGCTATTATGCGATAGCCCAGCTATCCCGTACACTGGAGCCGCCATCTAGTAACAACGGAGACGACATACATCATTACGAGGACGCACTTCTTTCTCCCCCTTAGTCTGCCTCCGTACCTTTCTTACATCTCTTCCATCCCAACTAGCTGTGACGCTATCTTTCTCCTCTCTTTCTCCCTCTTCTTTGAGAAGCAAGGCATCACCAATTCAGTACCCATCTACTAGTCCATGCGACTAATACTTCCCCCCCAGCTTCTCCAGATCCAATTCCTGCAGCGAAACCGTCGACCCACTCCCCCCTTTCTTGCCATCGCCACCCCCGTTATCCCGCGACCGCCCATTACTGCCCCCATGCCCCCTTTTCTTCACCCCCGTAATGCTAACCCCCGGCCCACCACCCCCCGCTCCAGCCCAGCTGCCCCAGCTCTCGGACGCGGCCTCGCGCGCATACGACTCAGTTAGCTCGCAGAGGTCCTTTGCGTCGGCGGACATGGCGGTCGCTGACCCTGTATGCTTTTTGTCATCGACGATGTCTTGTTGCGCGTTGTTGTGAGCGTAGGGGTTGTTATCGTTTTCTAGGGCTAGCTGTCGCGCGGGGCTCAGTATAGGAGAGCTTGATGGCGAGACGGGCGAGACGGGAAATGTCGGCGAGGTGGGGAGGTAAGGGGGTGGTGCGGGTAGGGCGCGATTCGGTGGTGGCCCGGCGGGGGTGACGGGATGGGGTATCTCTAGAGACGCGTCGGGCGGTCGTGCGGGTCGGGAGGGCGATAGTGGGAGCGATGGCAGTGTCGCCGAGTGCGCTGGCTCCGATCTATCTTTAGGCGACCAGATCGCTTTGGTCGACGTCGCGTCAGGGGCACTGCTATACGAGCTGCCGCTGTCGCGCAGAAAGTAAGGAGCAAAGTGCACGGCTGCGGGAGGCGAAGGCGGTGCAGAGGTCTGGGTCGTGCTGTTCCTGGTGGTTGTGGTTGCACGGCGCTCATGCCGTGGCCCCAGCAGTTTCTTATCGGATAGTGGGCCGAGGGGATTCGTTGGCGCGAAAGCTGCTGCTGCTGCTGCTCGCTCGTCCATACCCGACGCTACGGAAGAGTTCGGCGTGCCACCCTGGCCCTGCCGCAGCAAGCCCGACAGGAACCTGCGATCGCTCAGCCGCGCAGGGGGCGTCAGGGGCGGACCCTTCGTCGACGAGGGAGAGGGCAGGATCAGAGGCGTGCGCGACCCACTCGGTAGCTCAGAGGACGAGCGCCGATGACGGGGCGCAGCAGCACTGCCCGGGGCGCCGTCGGTGTAGGAGGATGTCTTGGGGCGCGAGCGTCGCCGGTTTAGCAGGAACCCGACGAAGAAGATGAACGCGATTATCGCCAAGCTTGCGCAGATGCCTATTGCGGCCTTGCTCCCCTCGGTGAGGCCAGTTGATGTGCTTGGCACGGCACCCGTACCCGATGCGGTTGAGTTGAGCTTTGAGCTTACCGTAGCCTCTGTTGGCGGCGAGGTTGAACTCGATGGGATGGTTGATGAGCCGCTGCTAGATGGATTTTCTTGTTCTGGATAGATGAGGTAGGCACTCTATTAGATAAGCTGTAGGCATTCGCAGTATTTTGACGAATACTCACCCTTTAGAGCCGAATTACAACTAAAGCCGTCAGGCGGAGGGCCAGGATCGTAAATCAGGTAGTTACCCACACTGGCGAGTGTTAATAAATGCGTGAATTATAGGTAGGTATATTGAGAATCTAGGACTCTGTGCGCCGTCAACTTACTTTTGGCATGTATTAATGATTAAATCAACGCTCGCTACCAACTAGAAATTAGTTAAGGCTCTTGATCTTGATGTATCTCATAAGGGGTAACGAACGACTCAGTCCCTCCCTATCAATCCTAACACCACAGAAGGTCGAATCGCAGCAGTATAAAGTCCAGAGGTCTGTATGAGATTGGGTATGTGAAAGTTGGGTGCAAACATCGTCGAATCCTCCTTTGACCTTCTCGTACCACTCATTGACAAACTGGTTGTAACAGGCCCGCACGCATGCTTCTGCATCCTGCAGACCAATATCTGCGGGACTTGGGCCGTTGTCTCTACGCAGTTCGTGGTAAGAATCCACCCTCCTCCTATTAACCAAGTTCCTATCGAGGTTACCCCTTTGGTGGAGATCCATAGCAAGCGGGTCTGGATCAATAACTCTAGGATGGATATGTATATATGTCAGCCAGACGCGGACGAGAAACGAGAGGCATAATTGAGAAATCTGAGCGATGTATTTTATTAGGTAAGGTGAAGGTGCTCAAACGAATGTGAGAAAGGTCGAATCCTTCGACGAGAGACCCTATACAGATCTCGAGCGACTTGGGCCAGTGTGGCGCCTGCAATATATCTGCCATGTGTACGCATACTATATATCCCATTACTAGCCCGCCAGCAATTACAGGCCCATCTCACGGCGAGATGATGCTTCACACGACAGGAGGCCGTTGCGCTAGGTGTACGATTTGGGATAGATGGCGTTCAGCACGCCAGCACAGGTAAGATGGTGTGTCGCACATGTCCTGCGCCTTCCCGTGCCGAACGATAATGAGTCTCGTATGTTCGTATGGGAGAGCAAGGTGACGGACTGTGCGACGCCGCCAGTGGATGATTGAGGAGAGCTGCAAATACCCGCAGAATTTATCTAGAAGAACAGGATAGTCACATACAGCAGGAAAAACAACAGATCGCACGCAAGCCTGGTAAATACCTACACATATTGTACATACCTACTCATACATAATCCTGTGAAGTGCCGCAGAGCTGAGAGGTAGCTATGCGTCCTCTTTGCAAGATTCGATCTCGCCATGTTTTTTTTGGCCTTGAAACGGTGCACGACGCAGGTGTGATATTTGTGACGGCCGAGATAGCCACCGAACAGTTTTGGGCAATCTGGTTCGATTCTAGGTGCGTCTTGTTGGTGCGTCATCTTGGTTGCAGGTCGTGCTAAATGAAATGTGACAGTTCTCAGCTACCACTATAAATCTAGCAGGTAGCTAGATTGCTATTTCATCTATTCCATTCAGATATAATACTCGCCACGTTTCCAACTTGAGTCGTTATGGACTGTAAATGGCCCCCTTTCTTGCGTATAATAGTATTTATAGCCATCCAGTCATGGTAGATGGGTCTAATGTGGGAAAATCGTAGCCGGGTAGCCACTTTCAGGTCTAGGCTAGGTGGGCTGCAGTGTAGCAATGAAAGCCAACGAGTGAAAGAGTCCAGGCCGGGAGCTGAAATCAATCATACATAAGTAGCTTGCCTACTGAGGTTCGTACTCAGTCGAACGAGGATGACGGGTAACGAGATGAAGTTGGCCGAAGAAGACTGCTGGTCCAATAAATTCACGTTGTAGGCGAACCACCGCAGAATATAGTAGTACATGCTATCAAGAAATCGTTCACGCTGTGTCACTATGTCGTTGTGGAGTATGCCGTAAAAGAGCCCGCCTCCTTTCTATTTCTAAGTTGGAATGAACTGTATATCGGCTGGGCAGACGCATGGATGAGGCTGGGAGTCAACATCAACCTTGAAGATTCCATATGTTTGTGGCGGTGCCATTGACGTAAATATAACTTACGGCGTTGCGTGTTTGTTGGTGTCGACAGAGCTCTGCAGACTGCATTGGCCATTGGGAGTCTGCTCAGACAATTGCACAGCCCTCTTTGACTGTCCGAGCTTGAACAATTCCACCTCCAGGAGAAGTAGATAGACGCTCTGGCTCATCATTCCCTGGGCGTAGACAAGCGCGTTACCAGTAACCCTTATCGAAGGGTAAGGTTAGCTTGTAGCTTCAGGGTGGGCCTTTTGCCCCAATATTCAAACAATATTTCGAATTATATGCTTTCAATGTTCAATGGTGTTAATAGTAGAATCACTGTTGATGGTTGAAGGGGTAATAGGTAGCGCTTACATAACTAGTAGGGGTGGTGTATGGTCGGTATGTGTGGTGGTGGCGTCTGGCCTGGGCATTAAGGGGAGGTACGTATAATACAGTGCCTATAATTTCTTCAACTCTTTATTAGGTATTGGGTACATGTATAGGTATATATAGGAGAATGATTGCTCTTACCTATGTACTACGATGTAGATGCCTAGGTACGTATATCTATAAGGGGCGGGCACTCCCCTTTCTTTTGAGTCAGGTATAATAGAAAATAGGCGTCAATACAGCTATCACCCGGTGCAAGACATCCAATACAAGACACACTCTAACACAAGATTACCTAGGCATTCTAGAAATAATAAGAGACTTCGAAAGCCCGCCATTGTCAAAGATTCCTTATACAGCACCTATCTCAATTCTTTCACAATATCCTCCGCAGCAGATGTCGTAATAAGCCGTTAGCCTTAGCTACATCCTTAGGGAAGACTTTGTCATTAACTAGAGTGTAGCCTCTAAGTTCTTCGAGGGTCGCAAATTTATCAGGATGTCCACCCTTTCGTTGACACTCCAGTAGGTCCACGATGTTAATATGCAAGGATCGCACTTTCTACACAGGATAGGGTTAGTCGGTGGTGAGGCTTAGGATTCATGCCAATTATAACTGTAGGCTAGCTACCTATGAAATCTTGGATGGTAAGACACTGACCTGTCGACAAGCACATATCGTATCAGGGGTAGGAGAAACATCGAGAGCACGGAAGAACTTCTGCCACGATGATAGAGACTCGTCTTCGGTTCCACACAGCCTTCCAAACTCTGAAGTGATGGCGGTCCCAAAGGAACTCCGAGCGATCTTCTTCTCCTTGGTTTTCTTACCCCATTTATAGTGCTTGCAAAGCGAAGCAAACTGGCCCCATAGCGGCAAGGTCTTGTCGTGAGTGAAGCGTGGATATTTCGCGAAAAAAGCTTCTATTGGTTCTCTCTCCGGCTCAGGAGAAGTCGATTTGCACTCGGGATTAGTATCTGAGCTTTTCTGTTGGGTTGATGTCGATGATGCAAGACGGAACTTGCTGGCTGAACCCAACTTGCGAAGCTTGGGCTTAGCAAGTTTGATGTAGTTGCTCCCCATACTCATCATGGCTATTTCGTGAGTTGTGTCTTATCGTAGTATTAAAATCGGTATCAAGTACGAATCGGTATCAAGTACGAAGCCAGTTTTAGATCGTAGCGCAGGTATGATCTATATATTTCTCCTGGACCACACGATGACCTAACTTCCAGATGGCCAATACGCGTTGGCCTTTGGATATATAGATCTCATAACTACTAGGGGTTTCAACACCAATCGTTTGGATACGCATATATCCGTTACAAAACCAAAGAGGAAAGCCTCATTAAACTCACTGTATATCATATATCACAGGTTAGCCAGTGTTCGTTTGTTTTGAAACTTTCAACAACAATATGCGAGTTACATACCCACATACCTACCTAAGGTTAGGTAGGTAGTATGTAACATTCACGCCGTTTACTACGCCCCTTAACTTATAAACCACGAACAACGCGGCCTTGATACCTTCACGGGACCTTAGAAATAAATGAGTATTAGTATCATGGAGCTACTACCTCCTATCGCGGGCTCTAAGCCTTCTCGTCCACCCCTATACCTCCTTCGCCTCCTTTACCTCGATACATAATACTGTGGCAGCGTTTGCAACGCCACAAAAAAAATGCGTACATAGTCGCATGCATGTCGTCGCCTCACAATGGATAGGCACTTATCAGGACTGTAGTTAGCCGGTCAAGTATGTAGGTACCTGGGTAGGCAGGCACACATGCGGTACATATGTACGTGGGCAGTTAAGATTTGACCGAGAGTGCAGATAACTTCAATGCTACTATCAGCTGGACTCGAAGAAGATGTGCCGAAGTTGGCAAGGGAAAGATACATATTGATGCATCATAAAAATTGTGTATGTAGCTTGGAGGCCAAACATTGAAGATGTTGAATCAAGTTGAATGTGCTGCGTAGTTACTAACTACTACCTAGTAATATTGTTGCATGTGCAGGTCTAGGGTACATGTAGTTACATGTGTAGTACCTATGTAGTAGTAACTAGGCATATTAAGTGGAGATTTGCGCATGTACAATACCTAGGTACATGATCTGGCTTCAATATTGAAGTTCAATCAATGATGAGGGCCATGTGAGGCATCTCCAGGGCTAGCTTCAATGTTGTCAGGCAGCTACTACCCCGCTATTCATATTACCTACCCTAGGTATTCGTACCTAAGGGCATTAAACGTAAGCATTATCGATAACCAGTTGGAATCGCAAAGTGCGTACTATGTAGTTATGTAGTAGCCAATCAGAACATTCAACCTGACGGGAATTCCATTTGGATCCATTCGATCCGATACATCTCAGTCTTTAACTTATTACATAAACTCCAATACGCACTAGGTATGGATACGTAGTACGTAGTAGTAACATCCAGTCCAAATAATCGGTACCAGACGGTCCAGACCCCGAATGCTAAACACTTGTCGCTATCAAATCACTGTCGCCAAATACTTTCGGAATACTTTCACACTCAACTCAGCATTTACCAACACTCACTAACTACATGAACGGCCTGATCTTGTCGATCGTATTGAATATATGAATTTGTTCATGCCCATAAACTAATACTTCATCTCGCTCTATCAAACAACTCTTCTGAGTACTGCCAATCTGCTTTCTCTTACTGTCAGATTCGGCATCATTGGTTTCTAATCATGGACCAAAACGAGCAAGATGGCCCAAGCCTGCCGCCGCAAGAGCAGGTACGCGACATGGATACAGCTATCAGTCTAACAAACAAATTCATGATCAAAGTGATTAACTTTATTTATCTTTAGATGCGCCAAAGGCGCCTGGCAAAACTAGGTGCCTCAAATGCGACGTCAGCATCATCGAACCCCAAGTCCGATGATAACACGAAGCCCGAGACCTCGACATCCTCAACCCCTTCGACCCCTTCCCACAAACCAAGCTCCTCAAGTTTAGAGAACAGTCAACCTAGCTCTTTACCAAACAAACCAGCCAACCCCACCTCCAATAACCCATTCTCTCAACTAAGTGTAAAGAGTAAGCCTGGGTCTGAGAACACCACAGCTGGGACCTCAGGTAATAGTCGTGTCCCCAAGAGATCTGTCTCGGCTGTTGACACAACAAAAATGATAGCTTCGCCCTCTAAGAAGATGCATGCCGCCGAGGAGAAGTTAGAGGACTGGTCGAATAGAACTCTGGGTGACATATTCCGCGTCACCCTAGACGAGACCAAGGCATCCGACAGCAAAGGCACGAAGCTAACCTATCTTCCGGAGCTCAAAGCCGAGCTAGAGCAATCCGGGGACCCTACCAAACTAACCGCCTCGTCGATCGACTCGGCGATACTAGAAGCAGCCAAATATGTCCCTTCCAGCAAGCCGCTTCTTGACTATCTTCTGCCATGCTGGAAACGTGTGGTAAAAGCGGCCAAGCCGACTAGACCTCTTCCACCCGAGAAAGCAGCCGTCTTGCAAGAAGCCAAGCGACTATGCATGAGCAATTGCATATTCGCGCTCACCATGCCCGAATATTTTAGGTGGGCATTTCTCTCCTAAATATATGGCATGTCGGCCTCGTTGCGCTAATATACATCAGTCGTGATCCCAATCCTAACCACGATTCTCTCGTGCCTTATCTTCTCCGCGCGCATGACAACGAGGATGGCATCTGCTTAGACTTCTTTGACGAAGCCGTCTCTCGCATTCCCGAAGACGAGACAGTTGCGGCGATATTCACAGATGCTATGGTTCTCATGAGCAAGAAACTTGCTACAATGACTATGAATGATGACTATAAGCCATACATCAACGTAAGATTATGCATTTTGCCTAGTACTACACATGTTAACCATTCCTGACTATTTCTAGTGTCTTCTCACGTATGCCAGATGCCCGCCCTTACTTAATGCTCTCGTAGGCCATCCTCACTTTCAGGTGCACCCTACTACAAACATGACAAAAGAGCAATTGGCAGTGGCCAGCGAGACTCAGACAATCTTGGGCCCTTTCTTTCGCATCTCGCCTCTTCAAACCGAAGTCACCAAGACCTATTTCGCTAGTCCACGAACCATCGATGCCGGCCACGTGAAGTCGGCGCAGAGTGCTCTCCAGATGACGTTGAAAGCTCATCAAGATGACTTGACAATTATTACTAACTGCTTCATCCGTGCGAGCCTCAACTCTCGAAACAGCATCCTCGACTGGTTTGCATTCATCATGAACTCGAACCACAAAAGGCGAGCACTCCAAGTCAAGCCCACGGATGTAGCCTCAGACGGTTTTATGATTAACGTAACGGCTATCCTCGACCAGTTGTGCCAACCTTTCATGGACTCAACCTTCTCCAAGGTAGATAGGATCGATATTGAATATCTCCGACGAAGTCCTCGAATCGATATTAGCGACGAGACTAAACTCAACGCCGACCAAGCCACTTCGGAGGCATTTTACAAGACTCGCGACCCAAATCCTTCCAATTTTATATCAGAGGTTTTCTTTCTGGCCTTAGCTGCTCATCATTATGGCCTTGGTGCAACCAATGCGAAACTGAAGGACCTCGAGAAGGACATACAGTATGTGGAGAAAATGATTAAGCAGATGGAAGATGAGCTACCTAAGTTGCAAAACGTAAGTCCCATTGTTCCGATTGACCTCGCTCTATAACTGATAGTATTAGGATGCCATACGCCTTCACGTTGCAAGACAACATCATCAAAATGCGGTCAACTCGGTTGAAAGGCACATAGCACTAAAACTGGCCATAGAAGGAGTTGTGCTGAATCCTACAATGCAGACGTTATCCTTGCAGTTTATGAGATACGTGTCCGTGTGGCTTCTACGAGTTGCAAGTGGAACAGACTACATCCCAGGCAAGGAGTTTCAGCTTCCTCTCTCAGCTAATAAGCCCGAGGCTTTCAGTTGCCTACCGGAGTACGCTCTTCAGAATGTGGTCGAGAACTTCAAATTTGTTTTTCGGTAAGTCATTGAAATGCGCTCGCGAAAATGGCTTAATACTTACCGCTTCAATAGCTTCTTGCCGCAGATCCTCATGTCAGCTGTCGGGGACGAAATTATCACATTATGTATCACCTTCTTGAGGTCTTCGGACTATATTAAGAACCCCTATTTGAAGTCATCTCTTGTCACGTTGCTTTTCTCCGGCACGTGGCAGCTATACCACCTTAGCAAGGGGGTATTAGGTGAAGCCTTAGTCGGTTCAAGTCTCGCCAACCAGCATCTTCTACACTCCCTTATGAAGTTCTATATCGGTAAGTCCCTAGTCGCTGTTGGAGTTGGAGCAATGAGAAATTGACAATAGCAGAATGCGAGCACAGTGGTGTCAGTTCAGCCTTCTACGACAAATTCAACATCCGATATGAGATCTTCCAGATTATTAAGTGTATCTGGCCAAATAGTGTGTATAAAGAACAACTCAGTCGGGAAAGCAAGTAAGTTTTATCAATACTACTCGGCTAGTCCCTTGCCTCTTCTAACTCTCCATAGGGTCAACAAGCAGTTTTTTGTGCAATTTGTCAACCTGCTGCTGAACGATGCAACATACTTGCTAGATGAGGCATTAACAAAGCTCGTCATCATTCATGACTATCAGAAGAAATTGCTGGATCAAACGATATCTCTCGAGGAGAAGGAGAAGATAAGAACGGACCTGGAGACGGCGGAGCAGCAGTGCCAATCATGGATGCAGCTCGTCAACGATACCATGGGAATGATGAAGCTCTTCACCGCCGCTCTACGCGACGCGTTCACCATGCCTGAGATAGTCACTCGACTGGCAGGTATGCTTAACTACAACTTGGAATCCCTAGTGGGTCCCAAACGAGGCAACCTCAAGGTGCAGGATGGAAAGAAGTACCATTTCGACCCCAAAACGCTCTTGTCTGATTTCATCGATATTTATCTGAACCTGGCACCAAAGACGGCCTTCATCGACGCAGTCGCGGCTGACGGCCGCTCATACAAACCGGCCAACTTTCAAATAGCGTCCCACTTGCTGAAAACCAGTCTTTCAAGGCCGGACATCGCCATCGCCTGGGATACGCTGATACAGAAGTTTACGGAAGCCAAGGAACGTCTAGATCAGGCTGAATTGGACTTGGGCGAAATACCAGAGGAATTTGAAGACCCATTGATGGGTGACTTGATGACTGACCCAGTAATTCTACCATCGCAGAACATTGTCGACCGCTCAACCATTACTCAGCAGCTCCTCTCCAACCCGCTGGACCCCTTCACCCGAAGCCCAATGACTATTGACGATGTAGTCCCGGCCGATGACTTGCGTACCCGGATCGAGGAATGGAAGGCTGAGCGAATTGCGGCAGCAAAGGGTACAGCAGCTGAAGGAGAGGCGATGGATGTCACGGCTGGTTGAGAAGGGTTCTAAGCAGCCAACTCGGTATACGTCGCACTTTGCATTTGTCAGGGGAGGAAGGGCTTATTCATGACACATTTGGGGAGTGGGTGCATACAAACGGCTTTCAGAAAGGGAAGGTTAGATGCGTAGGTACCTGGGTATGCGCTTGTATTCCTATAGATGTTGGCGGTGATGATGTAGAGGAATCATAATGCCAGTAACAGCAATTACCCTTTGCGCAGCTGCATTTGGTGTCAACTCCTTTTGCCCCTTTTGTAATATGCTCGCTGCTTGCCGATGTCTCTCAAGTACAAGTGAGCTTACATGCACAACGCTTAAATGGGTGCAACGCACATATATGACGTATTAAGCCAGATACGTAAAACATCGCAGCTGCTACATCCATACAACTTGTAGTATAGTATATAGGGTACCTAGTAGTGTACAAGCTAATAGGTAAGGACGACGCGAGTTTTTAGTTTAATTTTAAATGTAAAGTTAACTTTCTAACCATACTAGTAGGTAGTAACTACCTAGGTACCTAACCTAGTACTCCACTACTATGTTTGTACTGCATGGTGTCTTCCTCGTCTCGCCTTCTTCTTCTCCTTTATCAACCTACCATTTCCACCCCTCTAGGCCGGTATACCCTGCAGACTCTTAATCGTGTCTGCGGCGCTCTTCTCCAACGGGATCCAATCAATGCCCAAGACATTGGTGGCGCGCGAGTTATCGAACCCGATCGAGCCACCCGCGGGGAAGTCAGCCCCCGGCGCCCCCCTGACGTCCTCCGCCGGCAGCTGGCCCGCGAGCTCCGGGAACGCAGCCCGCACCGCCTTCAGTATCCGCCGGTTGTCGTAGTACCCCGCCGTCGTGAAGAACCGCTTGCCGCCCGCCTCAGGCCGCTCCATCGCCTCGACGTGCGCGAGCGCCGCGTCCCGCACGTCCACCCACAGAAACACGCCCGCCGCCGGGATCTCCTCCTTCCATTTTCCCTGCAGCAGCTCCGCGAACCGGCCGTTGCTCGTGTTGATGGCGGCCAGCGAGTCCAGGTGGTGGGCGACGGGGCCGAAGACGAGGGGCGGGCAGATGGTGGCGAGGTCGAAGCCCGGCTTCTCGGTCGCGACGAAGTCCCACGCGGCCTTCTCGGCGAACTTCTTGGACACCCGGTACGAGGTGGCGGCGGAGCCCGTGACGCCGTCCTCGTACGAGCTCGGGTTCCAGTCGGCCTCGGAGAAGGTGCGGTGCGGGTTCGCGAGGTCGGCCTCGGAGAGGATGGCGGCGAAGGAGCTGGTGACGACGACGCGCTTCACCGAGGGCGCGTGCTTGGCGACGGCGCGCAGCACAGAGGTGGTCCCGTTGACGGCGGGCTCGAGCAGCTCCGTGCGCGCGTCCGTCCAGTGGTAGTGGAACGGCGAGGCTGTGTGCTGCACGTAGTCGAGATCCGGGTTGCTAGCGATGACGCTGTTGAAGGCGTCCGGCGCCCCGATGTCCGGCACGATGGCCACTGTCAGCTTCGCGCCGGGATACTTGGCGCGGATGGGCGAAGCCTTGGTTTCCGAGCGCACGGTCGTTACGACTTCGTAGCCCCGCTTTAGGAGGAGGTCGAGGACGTGGGCTGTGAGGGGTGCATGGGTTAGAATGTTTGAGCGCATGCGTGGAGGTGTGTCGGGAGGGGAGTGGGTCGCAAGTACTCACCGGCGATAAAGCCAGATCCACCGGTAAGTAGTACCTTGGGCATTTTCGGCTGTATGGCAAATACGTTGTGCTGTGTTCTGAGTATGTGAACGGGGATTCTGATTCCAATCGATTGATGGAAGAGCCTAAGCAATAGGTAAGTCGAACAAAGAATAGGAAAAATGTATGTAAGCAAGGCGCTTTTTATGGACGTTTCTACTCTGATGTGTTTGTTCTATGTATGTAGATGTGTCCCGGGCTCCTAACACATCGAAGGTCGGGAACCCGCTGCTACTTATATATCATCTCGGTACATTCGATACTACATTCATCCGAGACGGTGCGTGCCATATTCGCAGTAAAATGGCAACATCGCGGGGTTAGTTGTTAGAGATAGATGGTACGGTAACGTCACCGAGCCACTACTACTTGTTTTGGGTAGCATAGGTAGGTAGCTTGTCCCACTGAAGGGGGTTTTCGGCGATAGCACTTATTTTTTTCAGTACCTACATAGAGAAGGGACACTAGGCGATACGTAGCTATCGAATTGATCTGCACATGAATTCGCAACACATCGCCGTCCACGATCCGGAATATCTGCTTAAATTCATTCTCCATTACTTAAAGTCCGGCTTTGCTACTAGCGAGGCAAGGAGGAAGAGGATATGTAAACCGGTCTAAAATGGCTGCTTACAGCCGCGGTGGTGCTACGGAGCGAAGCGCCTTGTACGAAATATTGAACAATACATGAACTAGGAAATAAGCAAAGGGGGCCTTGAGAAGCTTAGGTAGGTAGGTACATAGGTAGGCCTGAGGAACCACGGTGCAGTAGCCGATGTTTTTCGGCGTTTGTAGTGGGTGGGTCTGCGGCGATAGGTACCCGGCCATAGTTACCTGAGCTCTTATGGTCTCTCACTCACTAGGTCTGAAGTCAAGAGCTTCAAGTTGAAGTATAGGTGTGTGTATTTCCTAAACTCCGTTATGTATGAGTCAAACTACCTATTGAAGCCCCTCAAAGTTTTCGTGATTATAGATCAATAGAGATCTTCTTGCTTTCTAATCATATTGGCTACCAGGCTTAGTCGGGACCACATATGTAGTGTACCTACTAGTAACCATGCCGTGCCACCATTCCGAACGGAAGTGATACTTGACATCCTACGCGAATCCAATACCACATCATTTGAGGATGTGTAGCACTATCTTATTCGATAGCCTCGCATACCTACACTAGCAACCACTAAACTATTCGTAAAATACCCGTCGGAGTTTTTTTCATGGTTACAAAGCTTCAAGCTAGTCAGATTTGCTAGGTATATAAGAGAGAGAGGGCTCTCTCGTAGCCTTGGTACCGGCTTCATTTAGCTTTGAGCATCGCGTATATCCCAGAGCCGAAGATGCCTGCCTAATCCTTCCTCGAACCGAACCCTCGCGCGCCACGTCATTGAGGCCATTCAAAGTCACCCCTCTCCGCCGCGGTGTCTCTTTTCTAGCGCGCATCGCCCCGGGAACCAGTACTAGTTAACTTCATGCCGGAGTCGGAATCGGTCGCCGCTACCTATTCCACCGAAGCGCAAAGCTCTGTGCGACAGGCGTATTGCCGGCAGGACTCTGGAGAAGGGCGCTGAGGGCTGGCTTGACCCCCTATTCTCTGCACGGCATTAGTCGAGATTGAGGTTGGGTTGGTGGGTTTGTATGGTAGGTCTCTATACTGGTCGTAAGTGGTTTACCGTAAACACACGTCGGTAGGGGAAGGTTTCCCCTTACTTGTAGGGCATCTGAAAAGATACCTGCCGGCGCTGCCCCGTCAGCTGTCTCTTAAGTAACCTCCCAAACTCTACTATTAAGGTCGCGAACGGGTTGGTTGCTATTAGGTAGGTATATATATATATATATATTTCTTTAGAACTAGAAAGGGCTCCATTATGTATATTAGATTAGGCAGCCTCATTTCAATTCGAACATACAGAACACTTTCAAGCATTGCAGCATCCATTCCTCTCTTTCTTTTTCTGCGCACACACTCTGCGCACACCCACCTCAAAAAAATAAAATAAAAACTTCCAAGGTGAAAACCAATCCAACGCCTTGCGTCTTTTGAGAGGAAACATCCAATAGCAAGAGATTCAACCAATCAATGTTTGCTTGTCTGTCTGTCTGTCTGATCTGTCCTACCCATTCACCCCTCCGGCGCAGTAGGATCGATCGTCTCAACATGAATCTCGCACTCGAGCCGCTTGCTCGCGATCGAGTGCCTCCACGCGTCCACCATGACCTGCGCCGGCGCGAACCCCCTTATCCTCAGCGTGGCCTTCCCGGCGTAGCACTCGTAGGTGAGGACGAACCACTCGAGGCGGCCGTCGTTGAGGACGTACTGGCACACGCGGGCGAACTGCAGCTCGGGCATGTGGTAGGCGGCGCGGCCGATGGCGACGAAGACGCTGTGCACGGAGGTCAGGGCCTCGATGCGGCTGGCGACGCGCAGGTAGGGCTCCTTCATCATGTACGAGTTGCGGATGTTGAGGCGCTTGAGGCGGGACCAGAAGGGCGGCGGGAGGAGGGCGGCGCGGTGTTGCTGGCTCGGACTCTCACTCTGGTCCTGGCCTTGGTCTTGGGTCTGGGTCTGGCTGCTCGTGGGAGAGCCACCCAGCAGAAACGGCGCGAAGAACTGCGCGGCGTCGATGCAGTCGTCGAACTCGAAGGACTCGCACTGCTGGCTGAAGTTGCGGATCTTGACGTGGAAGTCCGACCACGGCTGGCGCGGCGGGCCCGGCGACGGGACCAGCATCGGGCTGGGGCGGCGCAGGCTCAGCACTCGGACGGTTTCGGCGTGCTGCTCGAGGCCCAGGGCAAATTCTATTGTTCATTTTCACCACAGACTGTCAGGCAAATGCTGGGAAAACCCTCGACATATTTTTTTTCTTTTTCTTTTTGGAGGTGTGCGCGCGAGATTAGGTAGGTAACCTAAGGTAGCTGGAGGTACGCAGTCTCCGGGGAAACGCTACCTTAGGTACCTAGGATTGGAGGTTGGATTTGGGGGTGGTGAAAGAGGGATAAGAATAGATAGAATTGAGTGAGAAAAAATCAAATAGGTAATAAAATCAAATAAAAAATCAAAAGCAATGAATAAAGAATGGAGGGGGCGCATTTTTGTTTGGAAAAATTAAATAACTGACTATTCCTTTGCTTGACATCTCGAGGCCGCATGGAATCGTGGCTCAGCTCGATATCAAGATATTCCAGTGCCTGGAGCTTGGAAATGATAGCCAGTAAAGACGTGGGCTGCAGATGTCTCCCCGAGCATCGAAAGCCGCTGAATGCGTCTATTTCCGGCAGGGAGAGCGTGTCCAGATCAAGTTTTACGTACGAGGTGAGACCTCGTCCAGTCACCAGAGGTGTCCCGTTGTTACCGAGCAATTCCGACGAATCACTGGGCGAGTCGATCAGAAGGTGCAGATCCAGGCCGAGGGGCGAGGTGTCGCTCTTCTCCCAGAGCGTCATGGCCTGAAAGAAGGAGCCTAGGGCGGTGTTCAAAATGTCCGTACTTCGCCGTCGCTCGGGCGAGGTCTCCTGTTCTCCGTCCTGGTGCCGCTCGTACGTCTCGAGGGGGACGTGGAAGCAGATGGTCTGGACAATACCTCTGCGTCGCGGAGATGCGACGATGCGAGTAAAAGACTCGAGACGTTGCGGGGTCACCCACAATTCTCGGAAGGAGAAGCGCTCGTACTCCTCCTGCCACTCGCGCGAGACGGTCGCGTAGGGCGCCGCGCTCGAGGTCGATTCACCAAACCAGCGATGGGAGTCAGTCTGTCGGCCCACGAGAGAGTGTATGATTTGGCGTACCTCGTATGGCAACGAGTTTATGGAAGGGGCCGCAGCCATGTTCCTGTAGTGAATGGTGTACGGCATCGGGGAAGCGGCATGGGGGAAGGGGCATAGCAAGCCGAGGAGAGGAGGGAAAAGCTGGGAAGATCAGTCAATAGGAATAAGGGGAGGGGGTAAAGATAGATAAGCGAGGGTGTGGATGTGGGTGTGGATGTGGATGTGGGAGTGGGCGTGGTGGGCGTGGTGGGCGTGAACGAGAGCGAGGGCGAGGGCGAGGGAGTGAGCGAGGGGGTGAGCGAGGGGGTGAATGGCTTCAAAATGGTATTTTCAAAGATTCCCATGCTTGAAGCGAATGGGAATTTAGGGAACGACTAAAGATGGTACGGACGGAGTATACTCCCCTCCTTCAAGACATGGACATGAAAAGCTTCCAGAGGAGGGATTTCGATTTCGTGCATACCTAAAACTACTAGGTTAGGTATGTTGGATTCTGACCTACTACTAGATTGAAAACTATGTACTAACCTAGGTAAACCAGTAATAGGTTATGGATGAATAAGTAAAGTGCTAAGAGATATTATCTATGTAAGTAGTGCCCGCTTGAATTGCTTGTCGCCACATATGTAGCCCGCTAAGTTGTTTGAAAAACAATAGTGGCCTGTCATTCTAGAACGGTCGGTTGGGGCCGGCAGACTATAAATGCGGAGGCTGCTAGAAAGATGAGGTCAGGTTTTAAGAAAAGGAACAGGAAAAGGAAAAAAGGAAAAGAGGAAAAAAGCAAAGAAAGGAAAAGAAAAAAAGTTGGCATCGGCTTTGGGTTCATGGGTTTCTAGTCAGGCACAACCTATAAGCGTTCAGGTCTTACTGTTGGATGTGATTATGTTATGTATTGTTCTATATATTAAGTTGAGATGAGAGATCAGACTCATACATACTACATAGGTATGCGGAGGATGTATGTAGAAATCACTCATGGTCAGCACATACTACATACATACCTAGGTTAGATGAATGTAGCCCAGCTCAAAGGAAAAGAGGAATTAGGCATTAAGAAGGATTCTAAACAGTTAACTTTTAAGACCAATGAAAAGAATCAAAAGAGCATCTCGTACTAATAACTAGCTCCCGACAATACGAGAGGTTTTAGCTATCTACCTACCTAGGTATGTATACTCCTCCCGAGGGACCCTCCCCTAAAGAGGTAAGTAAGCAATATATTTGAAACCTCTCTTACCTCTCAACAGCCCTTTCCATACATATGTATTGTACATACATCCATGGATGAATGCTACCTAGATACTACCTAGATATTACCTAGATTCAAGTGTTCAGGGAATGGGCTTGTTCGAAGAGCGGGATGAAGTGACAGTGTAAAACCCGAAGACTAACCTAGGCCTTATATACCTAACTAAATGTTATGTAGTATCACGTACTAAAGAGAAAGAAAATAAATTAAAGAAAAAAAGAAAAAAAGAAAAAAAGAAAAAAAGAAGAAAAAAAGAGAAAAAAAAATAGGAAAAAAACCGTCCAACCAGGGAGGGAGCCAACTAACCTAGGAACTATTCACCTTTTCAGTATGGGCAAGTCGCGGTAGTTAAATAAGGTCACCCCATTCCATTCCATACAACTCCATCTATGACACTACACAAAAAGGCTCAAACTAAACGGGCTCCATAGAATATATGAAATTCTGCACCATTCTATCCATCTTAAATCCATTCTATAATTTTCTATTAACCAACCTAAGCCTAGGTCTCTTCATCGCAGTTCTCGTTTCAGGCTCGTCAATTGGGTGAAATCACTAGGTGCAAAAGGGCCAACGTCATGTGCCTTTTATTAGTTCTTCCTTACATATTTTCGTCGATCCAGATTTGATCTTTCTTTTAGGCCGGTGAAAAATGGTGTGTGACTCTAGCCGACACAAGGCACAACATACTTAGTTAGTTGGCTTCAATCTACTCAGCGCTGACAGATGCCAACGTTGGATCGTGGGCTGCGTAGCGCGTTTTCCTCCAGTATCCTAGAACGTGGACGATTTGACGGGTAAAGGAACATGACATCTGAATCTTTTCCTCGGCAATCTACATATGTAGTAGTTACTTAGGTACTAACCTAGGTAGATAGGTACGGTTCCAGGTTATTTTAACTTGCACAATGGACTTGTCAAGATGACGTTTCAACATCAAGTCTACATATGTAGGTCTATATATTCCAAGATCCATAAAAGGTGCGATACAAAGTCGTATTTAAGCTAGGTACAACCCACAGAGACTCTATCTACCTATAGATATATTTGACATATTACACACAATATCGAATATTGAAAGGTTCTGGTGGCTGGCTGGAAACCCGCAGCGGGGAGATGCCTTGGCAGCTCAGATAAGGATGCGGGATTCTCAATCTCAATCTCCTGTCATCTGTCTCATATCTCTCTTTCACTCCCCAAAACCCAAGCCAAAGCCACCAAAATCTCTCAAATGCCAGGTCCACGGTTACCTACCTATATGTGTGGAGAGAGAGTGTATAGGCCTGTTCAATGAGAGATCGGCTGGGCTGGGACAGATAAGGTATAATACGACGCCGGCATAACAGATACTAGGATACGAATGGCTGCGCAATAAGCCACGATTTCTACCTACATTACATACATAGGTAGCATACCCATAATGCGTAGAGATAACCCACCCTGGCCGGAATCCTTCCCGACCGTCAGCGGTCAGCGGGGTTGCTGGTCTTTTTTGTCTCTCAGATAAAGAAAAGTACATATTACCTACTATGTAATAGGCAGAATGTGTAGCCAACATGCTTATCTATCAGGTAGGTATAATAAGACAAGCAACAGCCATGACCATGGCCATGACGAAGATAATGCGCAAGAGGTCGCTCTTCCTTCTTTTCCTCGACGGCAAAGATGGGATTCCTCAACCTTAGCGCCCGAAGCGCAGCAGCAGCAGTGCTTCTTCTGCTCCTCTGCGCATCATGGCCATCCGCGCTCGCCTCGCCCGTGAAGCAACGCGCGCCTTTAAAGCCGCAGCAAACGACGCAGAACGGCGACGTCGCGTTCGGGCTCGGCGAGCAGTCCTACTTTGCGAATCTGCAGCACCCCAAGATCACGCTCAGCGGCACTTTCTCCGCCGCAGCCAGCCAGCAGAGGAGCCCTTCGGTGCTGCCGTTTACCGTGATATTCGCCGAGGACGAGGTCGTGACGGGCGAGTACCTGCAGGATGCCATCGCCCGCTATGTAGCCGGCGACGATGTGTTCTCCGAGGACTTTCTGGAGGGCCTGTATATCGCACACAACGGCACGAGTAGCAGCAGCAGCAGCAGCAGGCCGAGCCTGGATGCGAGCGCGTTGGAATATCTGACTAGCACGATCAAACCCCGGTATTTGTTCCTAGACAGTAGTTTTAACGAAAGCTGTGGTAAGTTGTTTGCTGCACCGACCTACCTAAAGGGGAGAATGTTCCCAAAATTTATACCTAATTAATCCTAGACTCCATGGGCGATAACATCCCCATCACCTACGTCTCGCCCCCGGACCGCGCGACCCTCGTCCCGGGGCCATTCGCCGCCTCCATCTCGTCTACATCCGCCACTCTCGGGATCGTGTACCGGCTCTACCGAGACACGCACCGGAACTTCCTATACGGCACGTACCTCTCCGCCGGCACCTTCCGCCCCCTCGAGCTCACGCACTCGCGGTCCTGGGCCCCGCTGATCCCCGTCCCCTCACGCATCTACAGCTGGGGCGACGCACGACCGCTCGCCGGGTTCCGCGTGGCAATCAAGGACCTCTTCGACATGAAGGGGCTTGTCACCTCTGGCGGCAGCCTCGCGTGGGCCGAAATCACCGAGGCAGCCAACGCGACGGCGCCCGCGGTCCAGCGCATCCTCGACCTCGGCGGCGTGCTCGTCGGCAAGTACAAGCTGGCGCAGTTCGCGTCGGGGGCGAACCCGTGGGAGTGGCAGGACGAGCAGTACCCGTTCAACGCGCGCGGCGACGGCTGGCTCACGTGCTCCGCCTCCTCCTCCGGCGGGGGATGTTCTGTCGCGGCGTACGACTGGCTCGACTTCGCGGTCGGCTCGGACACGGGGTCGTCGATGCGGCGGCCGGCCGCTGTCTCCGGGACGTACGGCAACCGGCCGAGCCAGGGGATGATGGATCTGAGCGGCGTCATGCCGTTGGGCGCAGCGACCGACACGGCGGGCGTGTTCGCGCGGGACGTGCGCGGCTGGGTGCGCTTTGCGAAACACTGGTACGTGCCCGCCATGCAGCAGGACCCCGCGATCACGGGGCTGAGCCCCCTCGCCGCCCCCGACTCGCACGCCTTCCCGAAGCGCATCCTGTACCTCACGGATTACCTCCCGCTGAGGAACCCCGCCGCCGAGGCGATCCTGCAGGCGTTCCTGAAGAACATGACGACCGTGTTCGGCATGACGCTCGAGAACTTCAACATGACCGCCTTCGTGGCGAACGCTCCCGCCGACGTCCCGAAATACGACGCCCTCAGCAACGCGACCGGCGTCATCAACACGATGACGCAGTGGCAGGAGGTCGGGCGGCCCCTCATCACGGCCTGGAACGCTCGCTACGACGGCCGCTTCCCGCCCATCGACGCCGCGCGGCGGCCCTGGCGGCTGTACAACGAGTCCGTCTTCACACCCGCACTATACAACCGCTCCATGGCCGCCAAGCGAGCAGCCGTCGACTGGTTCGAGTCCTCGGTGCTGTTCTCCACACCCGAGTCCTGCAGCGAGAGCATCATGGTGTGGGACATCGGCACAGGCGGGCTCCCGAGCTACCGGGAGGCGGACATGATGACTGGGCACCCCGACACGACGGCCTTCCTCGCCGTGACGCCGCCGGGGGCCGGGATCAACGGCGCGAGTCTGTGTCCGATCTACGGGTGCGTGGACATGACGATTCCGATCGGGCAGGTGCCGTATCTGAGCAACATCACGCTCGTGGAGGAGATGGTGCCGGTCACGGTGAGCGTGATCGCGAGGCGCGGGTGCGACTTTATGCTCTGGAATATGTGGGAGCGGCTCGCGGACGAGGGCGTGCTGAGGGCGGTGAAGACAGGGAGGACGCCATTCTGAGTTAGAGTAACGAGGGGGGGGAAGGGGAGGATGCTGATTCGTAAGATGGTATCGAACCTAATTACGCTCGTGGGTACGTAGGTAAACCTATAACTTAGCTTAATGTGAAGATATATATCCCATTTCCAATGATATAAGACTTCCAAGGCTGTGTTTGGTCAATGTTGAAACGCTTGTCTTGTGTTCGTGGTCCCCTTCCCCCCCCCCCCCCCCCCCCCCCCTTTTCTTTTTTAAACTTGTCAATGTGTCCAACTATGCAAGACGATGCAACGCAATACGACGGTAGCCAAGGCAGCCAATCTCGATAGGAATGCAACTTACCTAGGACCTAGGTAAGTAGGTAAGCAGTAAGGCACATTAGCCAATTGCAGGTGGGGGCGACAACGTCCTACCTCAACCTATTGAGTTCATCACGAAAACCTATCTACTTACCTGCACATACCTAGCCCCCTTTAAGTACGTCGGTGGGTAGGTCCTCGGTAAGCAGTTTATCGTTAATCGTCATTGCGTTAGTCTGACGGAGGAGAGAGAGAGAGGCCCATTCAGCCAGTCAGTCAACTACTGATTTCCTGATTCATCCATCTAGCTAGTTAGCCCAAAACTGGGGGCCATGTGTTTTGCCCATCCCTCATTCGTCGAAGCCGCGCGCATGAAACAAGTGTTAGATAGATAGAGATCGGGATGTTTGTTTTGTGCTGAAGGATGCGGGCGGGATTGATTGCAGTTTTGCAGTTTTGCAGTTTTCAGCCTGGCGGACGGCGTCGCCGAATGTGACGCTCTATATATATCAATCTACCTAGTACCTTACCCACCTGGGCAGTTTTGGCTATTGGGGGATTTATACTTAGGTTGAAGATTACTACATTCAATGTAATAATTCCTATGTGCTTGGGCTTGGTACATAGACATAGTAGTAATTGTCTTGTCTCAGCGTTGTCTTGCCTGCTTACCGACCTAAACTTAGTATGCACGACAAGATTAGTAGGTTAGAGGGTTGATAGACTGAAGTATGTATTTGAAGTCAGTCTGCCTGCTCCAGGAATGCGGCAGAAATTTGAATCAGATATAAATGCCACGAGGCTTGCTTCATTTCTTTCTTTCCCACTGTCTTTCCTTTTTTCCCCATTTAGGACATTTTTCTTTTTCTTTCCTTTTTGTTTCCTGCCTTTTTCCTATCAGTCTTTTATCCGTTAGGTGGCTACGTGGCAGTATCCTAACACCTCCTCTATTCTCTATACCGACTGTCGTAAGTTAGTTATTTTCCTACTTGCACCTTCAATACCTACATTTCCCAATTCTTCCCTGCCTAATTCTTTTTATTCCTGCAAAGCCCTACCAACCAACCAACCAACCAACCAACCAACCCACATTCAAACATGCACAGTCACTACCTTCCAAGTTGTAAGACAACTCGAGGAGTACCACCAACACGACTAAAGTACTGTACACAACATATATCAAAAGAAAGATGCAAAAATATATTATCCAACCCCGTCCAAGTGGGGAGAAAAATTCCAGCCAAAAGATGATACTCAGGACTAATAGCTATCATACATAAAGACAAAAGGAAAAACCCACGTACCTAAATCCCCCCAAAAATGCCCAGCGCCTTCCTTCCTCCTGGACCTGACTGGGCCAAGCCTTTTTATGGGATATGAAAAAAAAGAAAATAACGATACAAGGACATACTTGCGCAGCTCGATACAGAAACCAATACCAGATAAAAACCCTACACATACGAACCGACGAGTCCCGGATCCTGTTGTTACACACAGTTGAAAGTAGATACACCTCCAGCTGATGAGTTCAAAATCAAAAAATCAAAAAAAAATCAAAAACGAGTATTCAAACCGATGCTTGCTTATTCCTCCTAAAAAGTTGGCTATAATATCAATTCACTCATCTCTCCTTTCCTCCTGTCCTCTGCTCGCCTCCCCCCTTTAATCTATTGCCTTTTCATCAGTCTTAGGCACGTTAACGCACCCACACACCTATACAAATACGCACACCCCTTACATGCCCACACCTAGACGAGTTGATGATGAAGACAGTCTCCTATGCATTAACCGCATTACGTATTGGGTCGTCGAAAGTTAGTCGGGACGTCGTTATATTACAACCTTTTACTTCGGCCAGACACCAAAAAAAGGAACGAGTAGGAAATGTTTGTGGTGTTATGGCGCCAGTCACCAAACCCACCCTCCTCTCCCCCGCCCTAGTTATTCCTGACACCCATAGCTAGCCTCATGTCTCGGCTCCTCCTTCGTCTAGTGCTATGCACTGCTCGGGGTTCAGTTCGGGGTTTCACTTGGGAGGAGAGGTATGACTGAATTAGTGCTGCGTTGGACCTCGGAAGTCGTTGAGTGTCTTCGTCATATTGTTCGTCTTCGGAGATCGTTCCGTCGGAGCAAATATTGGTGTCCTCCAAAACCCTCCACCCGCCGAATTACCGCAAATGGAAAATACAGAAATACAGAGGACTTTGAGAAATCCTGACATGCCACTCGTCATACATACGGGACGAAAATATAGGAATAAGCCAATAATCCATACGACACGGAGGGAAACGCTAAGAGAACAATGAAGAAATAGTTCGTCGTAATGGGACGTGGCGTTCTGAATAAAGCCGTGGCGCGTGAAACTTGGACGGCGGAGCAACATGGATAGGTCGAAACTTGATCGTCGAGATGTCTGCCAAAATCCATAGGGAAACAATTGCCCGGAGGCACATCGATTTTCGAGCGTAGGCCCCCTGTTCCAGCCAACCGAGGCGGGATACGGCTCGGCATAGGACGCGGCCAGAAGTTGACCGCTAGTAAGATCGCCACACGTGTGAGGCGGAGTCAAGAACTGATTAACACCAAAATGAAAGAGCAGCCGTTTGTTTCTGTGGTATCGCCAAAAAAGACTATGTCCGTAGTCACCCAGTCTTGATCGATACGCAATCCGGTCCTTTGAGCCCCCATGGTATATCCTATTCGAAACAAAAAGGAGAAAAAAGAATACAAACGAGATTATTATGGTACAAGAATAGGTCGGAATCTCGTGACAAGAATTATTAAAGATGCAGATGCCGATGACAATGTGTATGAGAACCCCCCCGCGCTGTGGGATATGGAAAGAATTATGCAACAGGAAGGAAAAAAAAGGAACATGTTCATACATGCCGGGTCGTATCAGTTACATATTATCGATCCTGCTACTGGGCATCTGCAGCCCTGACTCGTCATAATCCTCCTTAATGGACCATGAATCATATATTGCAGGTGCGTAAGAGGGAGGCATCTGGCCAATGGAAGTAACCTCGACTGGAGGCTGATATGGGACCGTGCTGTACCATGCATCTTCTGGATTGGGCGGTGGTTGATACTGCTCGTGCGGTTGGACCTGTTGCGGGGGAGGCACATGAGACTGAACCGACTGAGGAGGATGAGGATGAATCGGTTGGTGAATTTGCTGTGCGTATTGCACCATAGGGTGTTCCACGATGGGCGATGACGCGTTGAGCGTATAAGTCGGTGGTGGTGGTTGGTGCGTGTAGAAACCATCTTGACCAGACGGACTCCGCCCTGCGCCTGCCGCCGAATAAGTACTAGGACTACTTTGAAGAGAGCCTGCCATATTAGCTCCGACGTATGGAATTTCCAATGGGAGTCGTTCGGGTTGTTGTCTCGGCATCTGAGGAGGCATTTGAGGAGGCATCTGGGGAGGCATCTGGGGAGGCATCGGGTACGGTTGTATCGGATTCGTGTTCATGGTCGCCACACCGGGGTTGTTCTGCTCCGTCACGTAGTATGGGTGCTGGGGCATGCTCGTCGTTCTATGAAGCATATGAACCCCTGGATGTTGCGGGTGTTGAGGGTGTTGCGGATGTTGCGAGTGTTGTGGGTGTTGTGGGTGTTGCGGTTGCTGGACCATCTCACCATGATATTCGTGGGCGCCACCGGAAACGCTATGTCGATGTCCATATTGTTGTGGCATGTTGGGATGGGGGACGCTATAATCGGCTATTTGTTGGCCGAAATCGGGGAAAGATGATGCTCGTGGGATAGCATGGCCCTGCAGACCTGGATGCGCACTGGTAAGGTGGCCGGTGGGCCATGGCATGCCGGGTTGTCTGGGAGTAGATGGAGACTCGCCACCGTCGGACTCGGAAGAAAAGTCGTCGACCTCTGATGAATGGATGCCTCTCTGGTGGGAACGTCTCTGGTGTTTAACCATCGTGGTCTTCCGGCAAAAGCTGCAGAGAAGTTAGCTATCGCTTCTACGGGTCAGTCATTGCAATGCTACCTCTTGAGGCACCCTTCATGGGCGCACTTATATGGCCTCTTTCCGGTGTGTATGCGCCGATGTCTTGCCAAACTCGAAGACTATTGGTGTCAGTATGTTTTCTTATAAAAGACCCCCCGAAACAACAAGGGAAAGAAAAAGAGTTGAGCTCGCGGAGAACTTACATCTGAGAAGCGCTTGCCACAACCTACGTGTTGGCATTGATGAGGTTTCTCACCGGTGTGAGTTCGAATATGCACCGTCAAGGCACTACGTTGTATGAAACTTTTACCGCATCCAGGCGTCGTACATGCGTATGGTCTCTCATTCGTATGTATTCGATAATGTCTTTGAAGATCAGACTTTCTGTTAAAACTCTACGTCCTTGTAAGCGACTAAGACAACGACAATGTTGACGACGATGATGCAGTAGTGAAAGGTTGGGCGCTAGGCGGAGGCGACAGCACATACCTTGTTGCACGTTTGCCAGTCGCACTGAAAGGGCCGAGCCGTCGGCTCGTTGTCAACAAGTTCCATCAACTCCATCTCTTTTGGTTACCCGGAGATCTAAGTCCCGGCAGCTAGTAGTGTGAGTGTGCGAAAGAGACTACTTATATGTCCTACAGTGCGAGCCAAGAAATATAAGAGTCGACCAGCAAGTGTGGACCAGGCACCGATGTCCCTTAAGGCGAAGGGACAAGGGTAACGTGGGTCGTTCGAAGGCAGCCCCAGGTGTGGATAGTACCCAGCAGCCCCTTGTTCGGAACAGTAGGTAAGCGGAATCTGTGCAATGCCACGCCGAGACTGAAATCTATGCGTGGAGACGACTTGGGCCCAATATACTCGGCCCAGACCGATATGAGATTTCAATGCAGATGCTGAATTAGGGATATGGGGTTCAAGACACAACAACAAGCGTCCAGCGCAACGGTTGAATGAAATAACACAATCTGATGTGGCCTAGGGTTGACCGTCGTTCTTCCTCTTCTTTTTTCTTCTTCCCGTTTTCTTCTGTTCCTTTTTAAAAAAGGGGATAAACACGGGTAGGGTAGGATCTGAGTTCTCGTGACAGACCAAAAATCGTGTTAATTGAGGACAACAGGGCAAACGCTTAGCGAGTGAAAACTAGCTGGCAGAAACCTGAACATACATCAGTATACCGCAGGCCTGGATCAGCCTGATATTACCCAGAGAGAAGATGACAAATAGGGAAAGAATAATCAGGCCGTTGTTTAAGGAATGGTGATCGCTGACTTACCAATAAACGATATGCCTCTGTGCACCGCTGCTTCAGTAAAGGAAGGCTTGGAACGAAGAGAGAAATTATTACGTGAACGAGCTAGGTCTTCAGCCTGTCTGTGTGGCCAAGCAGGCATACGTTTTATAGAAGCGGCGAAATGGACGACGTCAGCAAGAATGAAAGACTGGACTTTGTCGACAGAGTTGGGACTATAATGTTTCACTGTCGAAAGAGTCCCTAGGCAGCTTATGTTTGGCTTTTGAGTCTTCGAAGATGACCAGGCTCGGCAGTCGATCGATGAGAATCCTGAGCACTCCAAACAGTTCAGGCCAAACTGGGAGGTTAAGACCCGGTACTATCACTAGGTAATTTTGGCGTATTGTTGAGGCGAACTATATTTCAGTCTTCACTTCCGATTTCCCCCTTGGGATGCTCGCGGCCAGCGCACAGAACTCTGTCCAAGGTACGTGGCCCACCCAAAATGTATGAGCCGGCAGAAACTTGGCCTGCTTAAGGAAAAGGATCCAAATAGGCCTCGGGGATAGCTATAGCAGAATCCAGTCCCTAGTATTGTGATGAAATCAAACACTTTGCTAGCAAGACTCTTAATATCAAAATGAAACCAACGAGAATAATAGGATGAGGCCGGCCAGCACGGACCTAAGAGAGTGAATGAATTATAGGGATATCCAACACGATGCGAGTACTCAGGCTAGAAGCTACTAACCTAGGAGTAGCGACAGGATGTGATGTTATATGTCACAGCCGAGTGCCGATTGGCAGCTACCTACCTAAGATGTCACGGCCACCACAGATGGCAGATGGCAGGTGGCAGGTGGACTAATCAGTCCCGTCGACTTCCAAATCAGTATGGACTGAAATAAATATTGTCGAGGTATATTATCAAGGATAATTAGGACTTCTCGAAGCGGCCGGGAAGCTGAATGGAGATGGGACGTCTTTCTCTTTCCGGTTGTGGAGACCTTGGTGGGAGTCGCAAAATGGAGAGGAGAGGGCTCGAGCACATCCCACTCTGGCTGGAGCAACGGGAGAAATTGACGAGATCGCAAGGGGAAGACCAGACCGGCGATCCCTTCGACAATTGCTAACCCTGGAATATGTGCAAATATTCCAAAGGGGTTAGTATCGATATCGAAAAAAACATACAATGGCGCAAAATAAAATGTGAGGGTTGTTGTAGTGGCGCCTCGAGTGGTCTCGTTCCTTACTTTGCGAACTTGCTTGCGTTGTCCAAAGGTCCGTGTTGATCAGAGTCCGTGGGTTTTCCGTATGTATGGTAGGTATGTGCGGGTTTCGCTATCATGAGATTCTGGAAGACGAGCCAAGCCTTGTTTCCCCCAGATTGGTTGGTGACCGCAAATCAAGCCGTTATATTATTATATTCTATTATACAACCCAACAATCGATGATGAAGTTGGTAGGCGTCTCGGTTACCGTACCGAAAGAACCGAAAATTTCAAGATCTAAGAACAAAACAAGGAGTTTCTTCAATGGGCCGAGTGCTTAAGGAAAATAAAAATGTGACAGGAGAAGGTCAGGTGACAAAGGGGGAAACCTATGGGTTTGGAGAAGTCGTAATAGGTAATTACAAGTAGGTAGCAGGTGGTACCTAGATGGTAGTGATAAGAGGTAGTAGTGGCGGTAATAGTGGCAGTAGTAGTGATGATGATGCTGGGAATAGTACCTAGGTATCTATGTATACACCTACATAGGAGGCACTAGGTAGGGATATAGGTAGGTAGGTAACTAGATAGGTATCTATATCACTATCACTTATCGCACTTACCTAGTAGGTATTGTACAAGTACCTACCTACCTACCTACCTACCTACATACCTAGCATTTGATAGGATGGGAGGCCGATAGCGCGATCTGGAACGGAAACAGGAACAGGGTCAGTAGGAAAAGGAGAGAGAGGGAGGGTAGAATACGGGACAAGCCCGAGGTCTACAGACCTGACGACCACAGTCAAGAAAGACTTGAGCTTCAATGGTCGTTATTTCTTGTGATCAAATTGTCAGCCGTACCCCGAAAGCAGCACTGAGCAGTATCGACTTCGTCGACCCCTGCTCCATCCTCCTAGTTTGGTAGGCCTGTCTGTTGTCAGCAATTCCCGCGTACCGGTGAAGGTCCCCTACGAATTGCGCCTTTGGTATGGCAGGTTGTACTATGTAGGGTTGTTGGCTATAGTACTCAAAGGTAAGGACAACGGTAAGGAATATCGAAAAGAGAAGAGACTAGGTTAGGTCAGTACTACAGACCTGGGGGGTATTTTTTTGGGGACGTCAAGGGTCAGGGGTTCATGGTTCAGGGTTGATGGATCATGGATCATGGGTTATGGAGATACTGGGAACACAAAAAGAGGGTACCTATGGCATGGCATGGATTGTTACTTACCTAGGGTAGGTATATGTATTATGTATATGTAGCCCTGAAGGAAGGTATCTATGTACGCTCCAGGGCTGGCAATGGCATGGATAAGGTATCTTAGAGTGCCTACTGCTCCTCCCCTTTTAATTAATGCACGTTTATAACGATTTTAAGTTTGTCTGTTAGATCATGGGGATTTGCCTGTTGATATGTAACCCCTAGTTGCTTAAAGTTTAACTTTGTCCGTATTGACATAAGCCCTTCTTGCATTTGTTTTTACACGCTACCTACATAGTTATGTATGTATTTAAAGTATGTAGAAGTATCTATGTAGTAGCACTTATACCATGGCGCAGGCCTACATGTACGTGAAATAACTACTAGATCTTACCCACTTTCCAATCATGATGTTAAGTATTTATTATTATTCTTTTTTTTTTGGTCCTGCGCTATTATGTCTCGGTGAAATTCGTGAGATTTAATGTTTCCGTTTAAATAACACTGAACGTATCCAGTAACCTATCCAGTACTAAGCTGGTAAGGTCCTTACCTAGTAAGTAGGTATTAAAATGCATCCCACTTTTCTTTTCTAATTAGAGTCACTTTACGATGACGATGTATTAAGAGCTATGTTATTCTGATATACCAGTTAATAAACCAATTAATATACCTCCAGGGCTGTTGTACCTACCTAGGTATGCACCAGTTAACAAACTAATAACTACATAGTATCATGGAAGGATAGCTAATATGTAGATACGAATAGCTAAGCTACCTTGAGCTGGACCTTAAGCTGGATTCTAAATGACTTTATCCATGGATGACTTTAACCTACCCTAGGTATTTTATCTTTTCCCCCTTAGCTTCAACATTGAATCTTTATTGTCTTCAATCACTTCTACTACATACCTTGACTTATTGTTATAATTATGATGAACATTATCACCATCACTATCTTCCAACTTTATCTAGCAAAAGACATATGCCTAACAAGCTCTTCTCCACCGCCACTTGCTGGGTATCATCAATTTGGATTAATGAATTCAAAAGCCAAATACCTCTTCTAGGTATGCACCTTGAAGAGGGGTAACTATCCCAAACGGGAACCAGCATCCTACATATGGTTCAGGTATGATCAAAGTGGTGTGGCATGATAGGGCATTGCCTGGTAATGAGAAATAGAGTCACATCCATCTTATCCAGTTTATCAGGTTTCTTCCTATGTATCCTCTCTTAGGTAAAATGGAGGAGGCACTTGAGGTTCAAACACAAAGCATATATATGCCTGGACCGAGTTCAAACCAAATTCATGTAAATTCATGTATAGAAGATGCGTCATTGGTCAATTGACTCAACCTCACGGACTACGCATTGAGGTCACTGGGTTGGGGCCAATGATTGGGAAAAGAGTTTAATGGATTGCTATGATTCAACTGGGTGATTCACCTAGGTTAGGTGAGTATCAAAGAAATAAGCTGATAGTTTTATCAGGCAAAGGTTAATCGGCCAAGTGCAAATGATGAAATTGTTCACTTGAAATTTACTTTCCAATAACTATTTCTTCTTTTTTTTTTATGTTAGATACCTATCTGGTTCGTACGAATGACAATCAATCAACCAGCCCCATGATAAATACTCTATTATACATACCTATCTATCTGTAGATAGGTAGGTATGTAGGTTAGGTATGTGCACCCCGTACTAGGTAGGCCTCGTTTAATATCAGGGGTTCGGCTTGGCGGCGTAGTCGTCAGTCAGCAAAACTCGACCAGGTCTCTGCTTTCTGACCGGCTCGCTCCGTGGCTAAGGCGATGTTCCGTCGTATCGGAGACAATACTTAATGACAATGACGACGATGAGGGGAGGCCGATCAAAATGGCGAAACTCCCCCGGACGGCGGATTTTCCCTTTTTAG